TATTTGGACTTCAATCACCTACCGTTAAATCATTGGGCTCCACCAGCGGGTCTAACTTGTGGATCCCACCGTTAACCAACCAACCACCTATTGCTACACTACACCAACGCAAAGGAGAGACCAGGCAGCTTTTATGTCATGTAAGATCAATTGATTTAAGTGGAGTGACAATAATACCCACTTTATGACATTAATCATAAAATAGTTCAACAAGAAGTAAAGTGGAGAACAGCAGGTTTCCAGAATAAAGAGTTCAAGCATATGACTGAAAATAATAATGAAGTAATGGTTACTTATCCAGACATCATTTTTCGCTGTTAATATCACAGCTTTCTCAACAAATTGGGATGAGAACGGCTTGGAGATTACTTATTCGAGGTCTCAATTTCATGTCTCTGATCACAAGTCCTAGGGCGGTTATCAATTATTTTAGAAATAAATGGCTTTTTTTTGGTGACCCTTGATTTTGAATTGGATAACCTATAATTATTGATTAAAAATAATAAACTAAGAAAAATGTACTCATGGTGGTGACATTTTCATTAGCCTAAAAATAAAAATATATTATGGTACTCATGGATAAAAATTTCCTTCGGATTTATTGTTTCGGTCACCTAAAAAACGAAAACGTTTGATGTGTTTCAGAAATATTTTAAACCCATTCAAAAATATAATCAGAAAAAAAAAATAGAATTATTTTTTCAAAACATTGATCGAAACATATTAAAGTATCTTGAAATACATTGAAACAATTCTGAAAATACATTGAAATATCTATATAATAAAATAAGAGTGTGTCTGAATTTTATCTCAGTCATATTTTTCCCCTTAAAACCATCATCAATCACTTATCTTACCCATTATCCTTTTGTCAGACTCAAACGTCAAATTGCATCACTTATTTCTATCATATGTTTAATCAATTATATATTTCTTTCTTAAAAACATCACATCACTCATTTTTATCATATATTTAATATTTATTTAATTAATTTGTAGTTAATATATTTTAAAAAAATTAATATGATGGAATCGATTTTTTGGACGCTCGAATTTTATATTTTATCGTGCCTTCAAGCACGGGTTATGACTATTATAAAATATTTCACAATATTATGAAATATATCGAAATATTAAAATTTTAATTTCATTACTAATTCATTTTGATCTTTTTTAAAACAAAATTATTATTAATAATTCCATCATTTTCGAAACAAAAATTTAATCATAGAAGGTGTTTAGAAAGGTGGAATGTTACTAGAGAGTGACTACAGCACATATGTCACCTGATATGTGACGCCATGTGTGTTTCTTGTCAAAAAAAAAAAGTAAGGACAAACATAAGTCCAATCACTTACGGTCACATGGAAATTGAAAGGATTAGGTGAAGGACACAGGTGCTTGTGTCCTTTCTTTATGTTGTTAATGGTCAAGACACCAAGATTTGAGCAGAAGCTAACTAAAATTTGTGCATAATAGACAGACCTGAATATCTAGCTGTGGGATTAAAGTGGAGCAATGCTATCAAAACTTTTGATCTGACAATTACCCACGAAGTTTCCCAATTGAAAACGATGTTCAATCATAGATTTCTATAAGTTTAATGTTTATAATCGATAGAACATGAAACGATTCTCTTATCATATCATAATATATAGACACAAAATTGATCGATTCCAAGGACAAAGCCGATAGGGATATGCCCCGGTATGAGTAGGGCAAAAAGTGCATCTTGGTCAGGTAATGAGATGTGTCCACCATGGCACAACGGGTCACAAAAAAAAATGTTTCTACAGACATATCATATGAAATGTACCTAAAATATAAGAAAATTTGAATAAAATGTATGACCCTTACTAACGTAGATTTTTTGGCGTCAACCCAATGAGTATTAGGTACAATTCAATAAATACGCTACAGAGGTCATTAAATGTCGAGAGAACATGCTTTGAGTGTTCGGCTTCTGGGACAGGGCAATCCTTGTAAGACTACATCTTTAGGAAATGCCGACTGTTTGCGAGAAATATGGCTCCCTAATAATTAATCTTATGAAAGTTCCCTCAGTCAACTTGATGAGACTCTTATGTTGTCACATCATTTTTTAAAAAATATAAATAGTTCAATGAATTGAGTATCAGGTACGCATTCGTAAACAATTCAATACAATAAAAATTTTACCTCGTTTTTGAGCAGTTACTGACTTAAGCATCGAAAATGATACCAAATCACTCAATCTCCACCATAGTACAATTATCTCAAACTATTACATGAATTCACTCATGCAACTTTCAACTACTTAATACAATATTATTAATTTTATTTATTCGAGATTGAAATAATAAGTACGAAGCACAACAAAGGCGGAGTTATTATTGATTCTAGTATTCATACGTTAATAGAGGATACTGGAAAATGTGAATTGGACATAACTCAACCATTAACATAATACGCCAGGTTCTAGTAATTAAATTGAAACACATAACCTTTTGGTTGTCGGCTGTCGGCCGAACTTTTTGATCCAGATCCGTAAATACTCCATAGTATTAGTGACACATTTGACTGAGGGTTCAAAGAGTCGTGAGTTTTCACTCATGGGGCCAGCAAGGTTGGTGTCCATTGTAGTGATTGTTAAACTACCGACTCATCTAAAAACTTTCAAACTTTAGAGTATATGTAAATATACACCAACAACATGTTCATTGCTCCATAATGCAATAACATGGATGAATGATCCAAAAAAGGGCACATATGCAAGAGAGTGTTAGATTAATACGCTCCTCCCTCTCAGTTTAAACTTTTAGTATAGATGGTGATTCACAATAGTTAGAGACCACTGGCATTTTCGAAATGCATTAATTCTCTTTCCTCCTAAACTTTATTTTCCATTTCCCATTTTTAAGCATTGCCTAAATCAAAGAGAGCCCTGCTTGATAGTGGAACTACTTATTAGCCTTGTGCCCCACCCCGTTGTTTTTACCCATTTTAATTTACACAAGTAAATCTTATATGCACAACACATAAGTGGTTCATTTTGTGCCATGAATAAAGAAATTTCAAAAAGAAAAAACCCATTACAAGTTACAAAAATTATAATCACTACGTTCGAAACTAATCTTTAAGATTGTTTTTTATTTGAGTCGGAATTCCCATTTGTTTGGCTCTAATATTTCTCATCGCAATCAAATTTGAATGCGAGTCAATTTGAGTTTAGATCATTTTTATTTTCGATTTTGAGTTTTGAGTTTACATCCTAGTTCCTTTAATAAATCTATTAATCTTATCATTCCCTTTATGACAAAATCTTTCTAATACTCTTTTTGCATATACTGCATTGTTCTTATGATAGTTATTCACTTTTTCTTTTCTTAACATGTGAAAAGCTCTTCTAATATATGTATGTAGCTGGGTATAAAACTACTTTGTTGTTTTGATTTCCTTTGCCTTTTTCAGATAGTCTTTCACTTCATGTGAATAAACAGAGATATACTAATGATCAAAGATATGGGAAAATGGTGTTTTACTTCACCACACAAGCTCTCTTTCCCTGTACACCCCTCCCCCTCCCCCAAGCACACACACCCACGCATATATGCACATGTATATCATGGATGACCTACTTGTCAATTTCATATCTTCAATAAATTTAGGTCGTGTTGAGTAACTTGCTACGACAATTAGGCATCACATATATATAAAACTAGACTATTTAAAATTCACAATATTTAATTTGAGTTGAATTTGAATTTGAGCATTTTGGCCCGATTGATCTTAAACTCGATTAGAGACAAATTGGAACTGGGCCGAGTTTAGGCAAACCTAAGACACACACCAACCCAATTGACACGCCAGAGGCCTCACCTCTTAACTAGTAGATTTGAGGCTCGAAGTCAGAGTAGAGTTGTTTATGTGGTGACAAAATGTTAGTACTTAACAGATCTAAGACCTAAATTCAATCCCTACAAGATGTTTAGCGACACACATCTCCTTTTTCAGTAAGGAAAAAAAAAAAGATGCATTGTTATGTGTATATGTATAGGTATGTGTGTGTGTGTGTGTATACCTTTATATGTATCAAATTTTGAAGAGTAATATATTACTCTCGGCCACATGAAGTTGAAACACCATTCACAACTTACCAAGCTCCTGTTGCATTAAATTGGGACAGATTTCTTTATAATGTATCCTACTTTTCATTTACACAAGTAGTAAAAATTCATTTTTGTTGAAGCCCATTGCATAGCTGATCCATAAGAATTGTCTTACATAGTAGGCAGTCTTACATAGTAGGCATAAGTTCAATCTAAATATTCTTTGAAAAAATTTGTATTCACATAAAACTTCTCGTCTACAATGAACTCTATAAGAGGTAAGTGTTAATCAAGTTTCTAAACTCGAACTTATAACATATCATTTACAAGAGTGAAAACTTGTCATCATTTTATATCCAATCACTATAAAATACTCTTCCCATGAGTAAATAACTTGAATTCGAGTGCAACAATAGAAACAGTGCCAATCTTTGGCAAAAATAAAATTGAAAGATCGGGAATCAAAAAAAGATTACATGTCAACGGGCTTTTGGTTTAATAATATTCTTATTTGGTGAAGGTTTTACCTTCTCGAGATCAATGATTCAAGTCACTCTCCCAAAAAAAAAAAAGAACCACATCAAAATTAGAAAACATAAAAGAGTCAATTTTATCTTATGCATTTGGTTTACAAAAAGTTTTAATTAACTGAGTCTTATCTCATATTTCCCAAAAAAAAAAATACGTGATTGAAATAATTTTTATTATGAAAACATAATTTAAAAAAAAAAAAAAAACAGAAACAGACCCACCAAAACACAGGTTTAGTAAACTAGCCCCAAGAAAATAAAGAAATCAATCAGCCCAATATTTCCCAAATTCACGCAGTCTAATGACCTAGAGCCACCACGTGGCCCAAGCCCAGCCCAATATAATAATACTCTTCTCTCGATCCCCGAGGCCTCTCTCTTCCTCTCGTCCTTTAAAACCTTCAAATTTTTTTCTCTCTCTTCTCAGTACACACCACCACAAAGTACAGACATGGAACCATGGCTAGACGATCTCTCCGACGACCTCCAAAGCATGAGCTTCAACTCCACCAACACCAACACCACCACAACAACCACCGACATCAACCGCTCCACTTCCTCCGGCTCCGAAACCACCTGGACGGCCATTTCCTCCTCCACCCACTACGGCCCACCCATCACCAATAAACCCCACACCACCCCCTCCGGCGACCCCTGCTGGGACTCTATCCGCCGAGCCAAATCTACCTCCCCTTCCAACCCTCTCTCCCTCTCCGACCTCCGCTTCCTCTGTCGCCTCGGCTCCGGCGACATCGGCTCCGTCTACTTAGCCGAACTCAAATCGGCCGAGACCACCGGAGCATTGTTCGCCGCCAAGGTCATGGACAAGAAGGAACTTGCGAGCCGTAATAAGGAGGGAAGATCGAGGACAGAGAGGGAAATTCTCGAGATGTTGGACCACCCATTTTTGCCCACGCTTTATGCGACCTTAGAGTCCCCTAAATGGTCGTGTCTTCTGACGGAGTTTTGTCCCGGCGGCGACCTCCATGTTCTCCGGCAACGTCAGCCATGTAAACGCTTCCCTGAATCTGCCGTCAGGTGCGCAGTTTAGCATTCTTGAGCAGGCGCATTTTAGTATTTAAAATCATTAATTTTCATGGCTAATTTACGTGGATTTGATTCGGTGTGGCGGAAGTACATGCGTAATTTTTGCTCTTTCTTTTTCAAATTTCTTGTGATTTAAAAAAAATAATAAAAATTACTGTGATAGTGATGTATCGTTCCTGATGTGTTTGGGTCCACAACCTGCAACACTGTTGGGGTATCAAGTTTGTGGGGACTACTTAGTTGGCAACTGTCTAACTGAGTGAATCGGGTTTACGGTGTTTTCTGTAGTCTGTCGTACACTGGATAATTTTTTTTTGTGTGGCGGAAACTAGAAAATAAACGGCGTAGGATTATGGATCGTGATCGCACGTGCTCGTGTCCACGTAAGTTTGTCAGTGTGTCTCTCTCTAAAGTCAAAGTCTGCAAGTACTTTGATGTTCCTTCATAGTATTTGTCTCGCCAATGGGCTCTTGACAAGTCATTAACATTGGCAGTAAGATTACGATAATGCCACTGTTCTCATGTGCATTAAACATAAAATTATAACAAAAAATTATACGTAAAATTTGTATTAGCAATTAAAAATTATGTGTGATTAGTGAAGGTAGTGAAATCTTTTGACCCATATTTGCAATTATTTAGTAGCAATTATGCGAGATCAATCACTGTTTGTTGTGTTAAATCACCGCTTTGATTGCTCACAGTTGGGCGTTTATAGTTGGCCCACTACGAAATTATTTAGTAGTTGCCCTTGAGCAGTAGCAAGGGGCATTTTAGTCACAAAATTTGTAAAATTTTCTACTCTACGTAAAATCCATTAATTTTTGCGGTTGACTTGGGTTTCTTTATTTAGTGTCATGTCATTTGGGTCCCAATAAAAACTCAAAATAATATTCTATCGTGTCATTTGGAAATTTAAGGTGGTGGGGGTGTAATTTTCTATATGTAATATCTTTAACTTATTTCTGGCTGGCCCCCCCCCCCCCCCCCCCCCATTGATTCTCCTTGTGACAATTATGCCATTATTGAGGTTGGGTACATAGTGAGAATGACAATGGAACTAAACCAAAAGCATCAAGAATTCATGAAGTAGTAGATCCCATTTGTCTAACCAAATTTGGGAAGGATTTGTAAGTTAGAACACAACATAAGAGATCCAAATTTGTCTTATAAATGTTGGAATAGGCCAGTTCAATTATGTACCATTTGATTACATTTTTGTGAGTATTATTTTATTTTTTCAAAATGTTTTTAAATAGTGTTTCTTGTTATTTTTCTTTATTGAGTTATCACTTTTGTAAAGTAGTAATCAAACTTTTTACTTCTTTTCATGATTGTTTTCTGCTTGAAAAAGCTCCTTAAAAACAGTTACCAGACAGCAACATATCCTGTAATTTATTTACTGGAATGTTTATAGCTCGAATGGAAAGATTTTAGAGATGTAATATTGTGAGATTATAAGTTCAACATCAAATAATCCAATGTGCGTGGTTGCAAGTCGTTGTAGATGTTGATGTTTGTATTGTAATCACTAGTCCAAAATACACATAGTTGAGACTATTGTCTGTTATAACCAGAATGAACGGAGAACCACAAGTTGTAGGGATCACAAGTGTCTTTTGAAATTGTTGTTATGTGTATCTTAACTGTCTCACATGTCAAGGAATACAAGTCACTTGTCTTATACATGTAATTTTAGTCTCCTATTTACTCTGTCAATCATTTTATATATATCTGCTAACCAAGGCAGGTAACACATTTCCTTGATGCAGTGACATTAGTACACCTACATAAACCTGGTGTATCAGCTTTATGTTGTACCGAATCCAAAACAAATGGGAAAAAAAAAAAACGTGCCCAATGCATAAGCTTCCTGCTTATAGCGTGGTATTGGAGGGCTTGATAGTAGACATTTTTAATGCAATTTTTGGATTGAGTAATTCTCAGACTCGACACCACGATCTTAGTTACTTTGGCGGATGAGCATGTGCTTTTAGCTTCTTTCGACTCAAAGAAAGAAAAGAAAAGATAAGATAAATATTCATCAGAATATGCCAAAACATGCAGCAAAAAGGGCAAGGAACCCCCTTTTTTCTTTTTTAAAACCTAGGTATTGGTATATTTTGCTTCATTGCATGGGTATATTTTATAGGGTCCTAGACATCCCACAATATGAAAGTTCACTCACCAGGAAACATATTGGTCCCCTCACTATATGATGCCACACCTGGTAGAGTAAGAAACAAAGTTGTCTCTTTATACTTTATTTTATCTTTTGTTTGTTGGTTTAGAAGTACAACTTGCATAGATTAGTTGCATAATAATTTGATTCATGAGTGGAAGCATGATGTAAGAATCCCTTAGTGAAATTATAAATGACAGTGATACGAGTAGGTCCACATGCACCAAGGTGTGACTTAATCTTGTGGGACCTCAATTATTTTCCTGCATAGGGGCAGATCTGTAATTTTACTCCCACATGTTATCATCAATTATCTCTTAGACTAAAGTCCTGGAGTCATGGTAAAATGCTATATTGATCTTGATTGATTTCACTTGGCGTGGCCAATTTGAGCAAGTAGCCAATATAACAATCAGTCAACTTGCTGCTTTTTTTTCAGGTTCTATGCATCAGAGGTTGTGGTAGCTCTAGAGTATGTCCACATGATGGGAATCGTCTATCGTGATCTCAAGCCTGAAAACGTGTTAGTTCGATCGGATGGCCATATCATGCTCACTGATTTTGACCTCTCGTTGAAATGTGACAACTCTACATCTACGCCAGCTCAGATATTCTCAGAGCAAAATCCACCAAGTGCACCACCACCTAATGAGTACCATCTCGATCCACCACCCTTTACGTCTTCATCGTGCATTCTTCCCAATTGTATTGTCCCTGCAGTGTCATGCTTCCACCCTAGACGCAAGCGAAAGAAGAAGTCGAGTCATCATGGTGGTCCTGAATTCGTGGCCGAGCCCATTGATGTCCGGTCAATGTCATTCGTGGGGACTCACGAGTATTTGGCGCCAGAAATTGTGTCCGGTGAGGGCCATGGTAGTGCTGTGGATTGGTGGACATTGGGGATCTTCATATTTGAACTATTTTACGGTGTCACACCCTTTAGAGGAATGGATAATGAGCTAACCCTAGCTAATATTGTTGCTCGAGCCCTCGAGTTCCCTAAGGAACCCGCCATACCACCCATGGCTAAGGATCTGATTTCGCAACTATTGGTCAAAGATCCGGCGAGGCGAATGGGGTCCACAATGGGTGCCTCAGCAATCAAGCACCATCCATTCTTTCAAGCAGTGAATTGGGCACTTTTGAGATGCACATCCCCACCGTTCATTCCTACCCCATTCAGCCGAAATGTTTTATCAGATGAAAGCTGTCCAGAGACTCCAGTGGACTATTACTAGTGCCTATAATAGGGGGTCAACAAGGAAAGCTTCCGATACTTATACGGTGGGTTTATAGTGGAAAATTTTCTAAAGCAAGATCACTTTACTCTTGTTTGCCGACACTGTGGCAGCCATTGATGCATGATGCTTCATATGTAAATTTTTTGAATCTATTTTGGGGTGGAAAATGTTGAAAATACCTGGTTTTCACCAATTTGGCAATAGATTATGGGCTATAGTATAACGCTGAGTTTTTGGATATGGTTAATGAAAGTTCGGGTCAGTGTAAAATTATGTATAATTTTGGAGTTTACACTTCAATCTATCACAATTGCACCATGAGAATTAAATAATTTGGACTCAATAATGCCCATCGTGCGAACTATGAGGTCTCATTAGATTTTTTTCACACTTTGTATTCGGCTCAATTTCTAATAAATTTGAATTTATTTTTTTTAAATGTCATGTCCTAACCATTTAGTTATCAAAAGAAAATGGTAGTCCATGAGATTTTAATTTACATAATTTATTCTGCGGGCGAATAAACTATTCCATTCAATTGCATTGCTGTCTGGGTAAATTCTAAGATATCGAAACAAAAATATTCGGTATCATATTTAACACTTTTGAAAGGAGAAGTTAAAACTCATCGAGGTAATGTTATGATCGATCGTAAAAATTTCAGTATCAATTTCAATCTTTTATGATCAATTATATCTTTTAAAATTATAACTTACACGTCAAAACAATTATAATTTAACTGTTAAAAGTTATAATTTTTGGTACCATAATGTCAACGGTTCCGTTGCCTTTCCCTATTGTTTGTTAGCCGTTGCTCTCTTGCAATAATTTGCAAGAGAGAAAGAGGGAAACATTTGTTTTCAAAATTTTTAAAGTGATGGGTAAGTTTATATCTTCTAGTCAATGGCGGTGATGGAAACATCGGATCCCGACAACATGCATGTAAACAATGATACAGACGTGTGATGCCGGTGGCATGGCGTGATAGGTTGGCCATTGTTTCCGGCGGGCCGGAGCATGGGCCTTCATGCATCATCAACTTCCCCCCTAATTGTTGCGAGAGCTTGCGGATACCACGCCCCCACCCACGTGATTTGTTTATAGCATGAAGGAATGTAGGGTTGGGGATTTTTGTCTTTTATCTATCAGAGCTACTCTTTTAAGTTTTTGGGTTTTTTTTTTAATTTCTATCAAGAGACTTGAAATGGGGATTGTCACTAGGTTCTTGCATACTTTATCATAGAGAATTATAATTTTTTTTTTATTTTTTACTTTATTTTGAAAGGTATTAGAACATAAATTGTATCTGTTAAGGTCGAATTCCTGACGAACAGGTATGTTTGTTTCGCAGGATAAAAAGAGATTAAAGAGGGGGATTGGGTCAAATTGTTCTATGGTATCACTTATTATTTTGATTCTGCAAAGACTATTTCTTTGATTCTCTAAAGAGATCTATTCAATTAGACATAACATTATTATTGCTGACTCTTATGACCCCACTATAGTTTTAATCAGCAACAATTTTGGGAAGGTAATTTAGAGTTGAAATGCCCCATTAGTGTTTTTTTGATCAAACACTAACCACTTACTCTAACAGAGTAAGGGCTAGTGAAGACATTATATATTATTCACACACCCAAAGACTATCCGATGTGGAATAACCCCAGCTCCCACCGCCCCGGCCCCATTGGTGTTCATCATATGATCGACACATACAATATGTTTTAAATGTGGGTTTTTATTTAACCCACACGAGAGGTGGAATGAAAATGGTCCCCTATGCCACTCATATTACAAGTCGGCAATTTTACTTTTTTTAAGGCCATGATAGTAGCATCAAAAAAAGCAGTCAAAAAAAACTTCCTACACGCCCACAAGTCAAATCTAGGATTGGAATAAAAAGGTAATTCTCTTGAGATATAAGTAGGTCACTTGTGATTAGGTTGGATGGAAATTTTCGAACTTACTCCATTCAAAACAACATATCAAGGACGTTCGCAAAGATACAATTAGTTTCATCATTTGTATCTTTTTTGGTTCATGGATAACTCTAGTAGGGCAGGCAGATATCCCTCTTTGCTGTAAAATTGGATTGCTGACATTTTGGGATGCTAAACAATTATATGCTTTTGGTCCAACATCAAATAATATTTTAGCATCCCAAAATGCCTAAAATAATCTATATTAGGACCGTTTGATCCAAAAAAAAAATCTATATTAAGACCGACAATTTTTGTTATAGCCCTTTAAGCTGATAAAAAATTAACACGCAATTTTGTGATACTTATCTCTATCTTTCAGTAACTATGTTAGAGTTGTTGGGCCTTTGTGGAATCTAATTTTGTGTGTGTGATCCGGAAGATGACCCTACCCGAAATAATATTGCCTGATTTTTAATGAAAAATCTTCTGAGCCTTGGTCCATGGAGCGAAAGTACGTGAGAAATATAAAAACCTGTTACTTTCGTGATTAGGGTTTGAGTGTAACAGTATAGCCGTCCTTTCTATTCTGCTTTCTCAATAGTGAAATCTCTACAGCTTCGTAGACTTAGACAAATTGTCAAACTACGTAAAATCTATATGTCTTGTTCTTTCTTACTTCTCATTGTTTTATGTTTTTTGTTTATTTTTCGATTATGTGTGTTTATTTGTGGGTTTAAAGCGCATTGGATCCCAACAAGAGTATTTTAAACAAAAAAAAAGTATTTTTTATATGAAAATTCAATTGCACATCAAATAAATTTCTAAAAATATTTGAATATATATGTTAGAGTTATTTAGTATTTGAATTAAAGTGAGACCTTAGAAATCTCACGTGTGTAGAGGTGGGACAAACGGAGAAGATAAGTATTTAGTCCAATTTACTCCACACCCCGGTAGTGGGTCCCCTGCCTTGCATAAATGGAATAAAATATGAACTACTATTAAACTTACTTTTTAATATTTTATTTAATTACTTTCCGTCATAATTCTTATATTAAAAATTCACTTTCTGAATATCAAAAGTTGTAACGGCTAATTTTTCAACAGCTTTTTATTAGTTATTATCTGATTAAATATGTGATTAATTACGGAATATAAAACACCTATATTTTCTATATATATATATTTACATATTTAAGTATAGAAAAATACAATCTAAATATATACTACAATCTCTCTACTGCATAAGTTTTTTGGCAATATTAAAAGGTATCGTGTGAAACTTCTACTTCATTCAATTATGCAGATCTGAGTGAAGCAACAGTCAATAAATTGAGTTGTTATATCATGAGATGACGTGTTGTTTCTTTCTGCATTGTATTTTTTTTCATAAAGGGACACGAATCGTCTTAACAGACGACTCAGTCCGTACTTTACTATGTCATTTACTTTATTTTTCAACAAATTAAATGAAAAATGATTTAAAAAACAACTTTAGAATTGAATACGCTCACCCCATGAGAAAGACCCCGACCCCACCAACCAAGTCAATGAAGTCAATATTCAAATGAATCATACACCCATACCCACATAGCACTTAACTTACACCAACAACCACCCTTAAATTTAACACATGCCCACCACTAGGACTTCGATGACTTCAAATTCAAAATGGTTATCTTGGTTTGTCCATAGTTAGTATATTAGATAATTCAATCTAAATCACCATCAAAAGCACTATAAAATGGCATTTGGATCACCCTCAACACCATCGTAACATCAGCAAAAATCATTTGCTAGATTGAATATTCGACCCACAGGTACAAATCAATTTGCTCGTCTTATTTGATATTATGAAATTTATTTCATCTGTTTTTGGATAGGAAAAAAAAGGATGGAGAGAAGAGAAGAGAAAGTAGAGGATGGAGGTGGCAATAGAAAATAGAGAAAGAGGTAGAGTTACAGTAACCCACGAGGGAAAGGTAAATATTAGCAAGAATAAACTACACCAATTAAGTTTTGAACTAAATTTTATTTCAATTAAGCTCTTAAATTTTAACAATTAAGCCCCTGAACTATTTTTGTATCAATTGAGCTCTTAAACTCTAAAATTTCAACAATTAAGTCATTCTGTCAAACAACCGTTAGATTTTTGGACAGAATGTCCTATGTGCTCACCATATGGGCAATAAATTAAAGTTATTGTAGATTATTCGTTTGAAACTTATCAGACGAAGAAATTTATTCTTTACAACCATCAACTGAAAACCCTAAACTTAAACCTCTTTCATACCCATTAAACAGAGCAACTCAGTAAGTTCTTCGATCTGGTGTAGAAAATAGATTAAACAAATGTAAGACTCTTCGAAAAGCTTGTTAATCTGATTTGTTTGATAGGTATGAAAGAGGTTTAGGTTTAGGGTTTCAGTTGATAGGTATAAGGAATGAGGTTATTCGTCTGATAGGTTGCGAATAAATAGTCTTAAATAACCCTAATTTGTTATCCATGTGGTGAGCATGTAAGATATTTCATTCAAAAACCTAATGGCTTTTTATAGAAGGGCTTAATATTTAAAATTTTAGAAATTAGGGGTTCAATTATCACAAAAATTAGTTCTGTGACTTAATTACAATTTTTTGAGTTTCGAAACTCAATTGATATAAAACTTAATTAAATGACTTCATTGATATAAATTTCATAATTTAAGGGCCATTTGTTTTGTTTACTCTATCATCAATAACCATGTGTCTAAAGACAAATTGCTATATAAAAAAATTGAGCATTGATCATGAAATATTTTATATTTTAAATAAATAATTTTATTTTTGTAATTACTGAATTTAAAATTGAAGTTAATAAATATGAAAATAAGACAAAAGTAGGTGAAAAAAAAAAGAGATAGGTTTGGATTAGTGAGGTTGATTGACATCAAAGAGTCTGGTAGTTAAGTTGTCTGATATTGAAAATCATGTAGAGAATATAATATTTTTGTGCAAAAACAAAACTTTTTTTAGAATGAATTTTTGTACTGATAAATGAAATTGAATAAAATTTAAATTAATTTCAATCATTGTTTTGTTTTTTATAAATGTGAAATTCAAATGATTAATGTTATGTGCATCAAAATTTGTACCGAATGATGTAAGTCATTAGATTTATGGGATCTATTGACACTTATTACACATCTGATGAATATGATATTGTCACATCATTTATGTTCTGTTTAGTAGGAAGAATAAAGAAAATGAGGAATACACCATACATTTTTCTTCTTTTGTGTTTGGTAGAATAGATAAAAAATATATATAGATATTTTTTTGTGATTGGAATTGATGAAAAAAATAGAAGAATATACATACATAATTTACTATTTTATCCTTATATGAGATTAGTGTATATATTATACATCATATCACTATAGTATATGCATCATGTGTTTTAACAAACACAAATCACATAAAAATATATCTATTTTTTATTTGATTTTTAAATAAAAAAATAAAAATAAACACACACATACATAGTGTTAACACATAATGTAGTTCCACCGATTGATATATGAGTTTGAGTTTAAGTGTTTAACGTAAATAAGTAATTAGTTAAATATTAAAAAAGTAAATAACATATTTTTATCTAACACGAGTACCGTTTTTCATCTTTTTCTACCCATTTTTTGAGGGATTGATTTTGGTAAGTCAGAAGGAATGTTCATTCGTCTATTTTTTTTTCCTTCCTTACGAAACATGATGTTTTATCTATTTCTCTAATTTTTCATCATATTAATTTTTCATTATTTCATCGTACCAAACAAAACATTAGTGTAAAAAATTTAATGTACATAACAAATTGCAAGGTATAATACTGGATAAGAAATACAACCACTTCTACTGTACATATAATTTTAGTATTTGAAGAGGCAGTCTCCGTATTCAGACCAAACTATTGTGGGCGTTAGTGTAATTTAATCTAAAAGACATCAGACTGCAGAGTTCGTACTTCCACAGAGCTTCACTGGGTTTTCTTTCTGCTTCGAATTCTTCTTCAGTCCATTAGATTACTTTCCTCGTTGATTTCAAAGCCTAGAGAACCAAAAATGGAGGAAGCTCAGAAAGAGAACGGAAGCTCAGCGACGACGGTGGAGGAGAGAGAGGAAGAGCCTATTGTCGGGCCTGGTCCGGCCCCTCGCGCTCGTACCAAGCGCCCTCTCCAATTCGAGCGAGCCTATCTCGATGCTCTTCCCTCGGCCAACATGTACGTATTTTCACCGATATATACACTTGTAAGCATATTTGTGCTGAATGCATATGTATGTAGACTTGTTTTAGGGTTTAGGGTTTTGGTTCTGGATCGCCAATTTTGTCTTTCACTATCTTTGGATTAAGATGGTTTTTGTTTCAAATTAAAAAGGAGTTTGTTTTTTCTTCCAAATATTGGATCTTCTTGGTGTTTGATGATGTTCTTAATACGATTGAGTAGAATGAAGAATGTAAAGTGCATAAGGAATTCAATCTGAGCTTGAAGGCTCTTAGGAATAAGATTTTTGGAAGGGGATCAATCACATAGGAAAATTATTGTGGTTCACCCTCTGGAGCCCGGGTAATCTACTCTTCAATATATTGACCAAAATGGGAAATTATACAGTTTTTGGTAAAGCTATCATTCATATATCTGGTTGAGGGTTTTAGTCTCTTATTTATAGTTGATTCTGGGCCTAGCCAGAACTACAGCGAGATCCTTGTCCTTTTCTCATAATGGCTGCTTGAATTGTGCCACGGTTGCGGGGGTATTGGGGTGGTTACGAATCTCGTGCATAGATAAGTGACTGTTGCTATAGGGGAGTGTTTGGTGGGTGCCAGTTGTCTTTAACACCGTCTTCCTTGAGGTGTAAATTCAGGGGTCTCGAGGTCTGGAGTCAGAATCTTCATGTGACTGGGCTGGATGAACCAAGCCCAACCTTAGGCATATCCTAGATATTATCAGTTGCTCCCCAATCCTTGGTCAGGTAGAGTTATTTGAGCTGGGATTGAGTTATGGATGGGGTGAGCGAGGTTGCCTAGGAACAACCTCAAGATGCACATGATGGGACATGTTTTTGACGGTTATGGCGAACGAGCACTCATTCCTTCCTCGTTTCTCTCGCACATCTCTTATTTCAAGGTACCACATGTCTGTCCGTATGCTTGGCTTTAAATGCTTCTATAGAAGAAAACCCGCCTTTTTCATTACTTCGAAATCTCTTCTTATTCTTTCTCCAGATTTTACTCCTTTCCTTCTTTTCTTGCGGTTTCATCTTTCCCAAATTGCTGGAGATCTAGGGCTTTGCTGGTAAATCCCAAATTCGATTTGAAGATTTTGCGAGGTTAGCTTAGTCCGTTCCTCAGATTTGTTCTGGATTTTTTATTGTTGCTTATTTTCAGCTAGTTATGCTCTTTGCTTTGTTCTTATTTTCTTCTTTTCGCTTTGGATCTCTCGAATTCAAGGTGGTTTTTTAATTTCTGGACGTTTTGCTTTTGCTACTTTAAGAATCAAGGTCGTTCCTTGTCCTTTTCTCCTCTTCTCTTGGACCCTTACTCTACTGTTAGGATTTTACTTTTTGGCCGTTGGTGTCTTGATCTTTCGGCCCTTAGGGACTGCTTTGCTAATGTTCACTTCCTTTATACCTCTTTCCATCTTCGTTTCTCCAACCCTACCATGTCTACCTCTTCTGAAGCTACTGCTTCATTTGTTTCCTTTGTCATAGGCTTCAGGTCTCCTAAACTTGAGGAGGACGACCTAAGTGATGTAGGTGACGAAATAAATAATTTTTTCGGTGTTGATTCCCTCGATGTTAGGGAAAAGGTTGAGATCCCTATTCTGTCATCTTCTCCAGTGCTGAGGTCTAAGAAGTCTAATAAAAGGAAATCCAAGATGAATGATGTTGGGGTTTTTGGTAGGGAGATAGAGGTCGTCCCCAGAGCTTCAAACTTTGTGAGGTCACCCTTCCTTTTCTAAGTATCCTTTCAGCTCGGTTTGGTTTTCCTCGGGGTATGTAGTGTTGGTCCCCACGTATGAATATTCGGTATGACTCCCAGGTTCCAAAGAAAATTTGCTAATTTGTAGCTTCTTTCGAGAATGGTCTTCGCTTTCTTATGCATCTCTTTCTCAAAAGTGTTCTTCAACAGTTCCATGTCTGCCCTGCTCAACTTTCTTTCAATTTTTGGGTGTTATGGTGGGCCTTTTTGTTTTTTTTCAAGAAGAACGAACTTGGTGTCCCCACTGTACTCTTACTCATGAAGTTCTTCAATGTTGAGGTTGCTCCTTCTGATGGTTTTTTGTATATTGCCAAATAGGTGAAGTCTCGAATTCTCATCATTGACCTCCCGAGCTCTCACAAGGGTTGGAAGAAACTCTTCTTCTTCGTGTCTGGGAGAGAATGGGAGTATAACCCCAGAGATGCAGCTGACACACTTTCTATACCTCGACCTTGGTCTGCCCCTGATAATTTGGGTAAATCTTGCCTGAAAAGACTTGACCTTGCCTCAATGTTTCATTCTGCTGATGTTGTTTCTTCTATCTCTTTCAGGTGTTCAACCCGATCTTAGTGTTGAGGACATGATAGTTTTCCTGGGCTTGGAGAGTTGTGAGCCAAAAAAATACTCCAAGCTTCTCAAGCCTGAGGTGCTTACTCAGTTTGGGTTTAGTCCTCCCGAAATAAGAGTTAAGACCCCTATTCCCATCTCTGTGGTTGGCGTAGAAAGGCGTACTGGTAAGGCTTCTTTCCCTTTATCCCTAGCTTTTCTTTTCTTTTTTTCTGTTTTCATTGACCTGCTTATTTTGGCTTCTCAAGTTCCAGCTCAATTACTCCTGATGTCAATGTTGTGAAGGATTAGGTTGCCCATCTTAGGAAGAGTAGAAGTGGGGGAAAATGCAAGGCTAAGGTCGAGTCTAAAAACGACCCCGCTCCATTTCCGAAAGTGCGGAGAACAAAATTGCCTTCACCCTCTCCTTCTCAGGCGATCTTTTCACCTCCATCGATTTCTCAGAAGGCTGTACTGACTTTTACTTCTCAAGTGATCTCTCGTCCTCTCATAGAGGGATCTTCTGGACACGTTGGGGGCATCATCCTCTCCTTCGTCAATAGAGTTTATTGAGGCTCTGGAGGCCATAGCTCCTCTCTTGCGAGGGCCTTCTTCTTCCCGGCCTGTCGAGAAGACTCCTCACTTGCTTGTGGAGGGTTTGTCGACGAAGGTCGAGAAAGGCAAGAGTTCGCTCATTAGGAACGTGAACCTTGCTTCTGAGGCCATTGTCTCATTTATTCTCGAGTCCGATATTCAAGAGGTCTCGATGATCCCTTTACTCACCTCTGCTACTACCACTTTGTATGCAACTACTTCAATAAGTTCTGCTTTTGCTATGAGTAAATTTTTTGCTAACCTTGACTCCTTATGCTTTTCGCAGTTGGCCATTCACATAAGTGCTCTGGTAAGCCGAGTTCGAGCTTTGGAAAGCACAGCTGAGGAGGCTCAGAAGTCTTCGAAGGCATCTGAGCTTGCCTTCACCAATGGTGATCTCAAGTCCCATGTACATGACCTGAAGGCTCAGTTTGAGGGGCTGTCCTCGGCAAATAAAGGCCTAGAGATTGAGGCCAAAAAGGCTAGGGAAGAACTCAAACTAAAGGCTGACAGTCTGTTCCAATCTCGGAAGGATGCCTTTGAGGCTCTTGACTCCCATGAGACAATGAAGAGAGAATATAACATGCTGGTTGAGATCAATGCTACTCTACAGAAGGAGATTGAGGTTGAGAGGGCCGCAGCTCGGAAGAAGGATGCTGAGATTACTGAGCTCAAGGATGAGACTACCTTTCAGGAGCAGGCGATGGACATGTATCCAGACCAGGACTTCGACTTCAACTTCGACCCTCCTTTGGACAAGGAGAAGGAAAAATCAAGTGTTGGGAAGGAGGCAGAGGTCCTAGTTCCTGCTGCTCTTGGGGGTGGAGGAGCTCATGGTTGGTAATGCTCCTGCTGACTCTGAGGTTCAGACTCCTAAGCATATTTCTTTTGAGGCAGACGTAGGGAGTTCTGAGGTGACTCTGCCCCCAGCTGAAGACCCTGCTCCTATCGTCATTGAAGCTCCTTCTGATCTTATTCCCATTGCTTCCTCTGTTGTTAAGCTGCCTGAAGTCACTGCTGACCCCGCTGTAGAGACTTAGGACTTTTGTTTTTTTTTTTTTTTGTTAAGAAATTTTTGTACTTTGTAGAAGACTTTGTAATTTGTTTCTTTTTTTTTAGAAATGAAAAATACTTTCTTCTTGTATTCTTGTATTCTATCTAGTTTTGTATTTTGTCCTTTCTCCTATGCTCCTTTGTTTCAAAGAGAACTCTGTTCTTCTGTAACTGAATTTGAATTTTGTCAAGTATGAGGTCTGTTCTCAACCTGAGAAACTTAGATGTTCGCTAGGAGCACTTTGTGGTTTGGTGGGCTGAAGATCTTATCTTAGCATGAGCTGAGGTGCATATCCTAATTTTTATGAGTTGAAGGGCCCATCGAGTACTTATGAGCCGAAGGGCTCATCGTTTGTTTATGAATTGAAGAGCTCATTGAGTAGTTATGAGCTATAGAGCTCATCGTTTGTTTATAAGCTGAAGAGCTCATCGAGTGTCTATGAGTTAAAGAGTTCATCGTGTGCTTATGCTAGCAATAGAACGTTGACTAAGTTGAAATTTTGTCGTTTTATTGATGATAGACTTTTACAAGTGTTTTGGTTTACTGAAAGAATCTCTTTAAATGGTCAGCATTCCAGGAATGAGGCAAGATTTTTTCTTCCTCCGTTTGCAACTCGTAATTCCTAAGTTTGATTATCTTGAATATGATATATGAGCCTTCCCAGTTGGGCCCTAACTTTCCATGATGTGAATCTTTTCTGTAGGGAGGAGTTTCTTGAGGATCAGATCTCCGACTTTGAAGCTTCTAACCTTCTTGTTGTAATATCTGGTTGTCTTTCTTTGATAACTCATGATGCACTACAAGGCTCTATCCCTCTTTTCATCTAAGAAGTCGAGGTTGAGCAGAATTGACTCATCATTATGCTCGGATTTGGAGAGCTCTGCCCTTGGAGATAGAATGCCTATCTTAACAGGAGCTACTGGCTCAGTTCTGAATGCCAAGGCGAACGACGTCTCTTGAGTTGCTGACCTGGTTGTAGTTCTGTAAGCTCATAACACTTCTGTAACATGTTCCACCCATCGTCCTTTTTAAGGCTTCGAGTTTGATATTTAGAATCGTTTTTATGGTTCGGATGGTTACTTCTGCTTGTCTATTCAACTAAGGATGAGTTGGAGTAGAGAATTAATTTTTTACGCCTAGCTTGGCATAGAACCTTTGAATTCGAGGTTGTCGAACTGTTTTCTAATGTCTGAGACGATTGCCCTAGGTATTCTAGACCTGTAGATTATAGATTTTTAGGGGAAGCTTTGAACTTTCTACTCTGTAATTGTTGTCATGGCTTCTATCTTAGCCCTTTTGGTGAAATAGTCCACTCCAACAATGACGAACTTGCATTGTCCAGTGCTGGTAGGAAGAGATCCAAGTATGTCTAATCCCCATTGTTGGAGTGGTTAGGGGCTAATCATTGAGGTAAGGAGCTCCGGTGGGCACAGTGGGACGTTGGCGTGCAATTGGCAGGCCTTGCATCTTCTGACTAGGTCTGCTGCATCTTTAAGTAGGGTGGACCAAAAATATCTTTGCCTTATTATTTTACTTGCCATGGCTTGAGCTCCGATGTGATTGTCGCAGATGTTTTTGTGGATTTTTCTTAGGATGTAGTCAGTTTCTTCGTCCCCTATACATTTCAAGAGAGGTGCCGAGAAACCCCGCTTGTACAAGTTTCCTTTTAGGAGGGTGAATCTGGATGATCTGGCTCTTAGCTTTGTGACTTCTTTGGAATCCGCTGGTAGGGTTCCATTCTGAAGGTATTTCCTGATTGGATCCATCCAGGTTAGCTGGGCCAGGGAACGTTTCTTCATCCTTGTGGCTTACTGACGGCTCAACTAGGTGCTCAATTGGAATCAATCTGTTCAGGTTCTCTTAAGAAGCTGTAGATATCCTTGCTAAGGCGTCCGCTCGAGAGTTCTCAGCTCTGAGGACATGCATGACCTTAACTTACACAAATTTCTTCATTAGCTCTTGTACCTTCAGTAAGTATAGAACTATTCTCTCTCCCTTAGTTTCGTAAGTTTTCTCAATTTGCTTCACCACAAGCTGGGAGTCGTTGTAGATCACGAGTTGTTCTGCTTCCATGTAATGTGTCATGTTGAGCCCGACAATGACGGTTTCGTATTCAGTTTTGTTATTTGAAGCCGTGAATCTGAACTTGAGGGCGTATTCGATATCTATTCCGTCAGGGAAGATAAGGATCAACCCAGCAGCGTTGCTTTACGCGTTGGCAGCTCCATCTACTGAAAGCTTCCATATGGGGAGGTCGGGTACTAACTGGGTTGCCTCCATGGATGCTTCTGAGGTTGTGGTGAGTTCTGCAATGAAGTTTGTCAGTGCTTGCCCTTTGACTACAGTACAGGGTTTGTATCTGATATCCAACTTGCTGAGCTTTATCGCCCATTTGACTAGTCGTCCTGAAGACTTTGACTCGTGTAACACCTGTTTCATTGGCTGGTCTGTAGGAACCTCAATAGTGTGAGCCTGAAAATAGGGTTTGAGCCTTCTCGCTGTTGTGACTAGAGCTAAAATTAGCTTTTCCATTTTCGGATATCTTTCTTCTACCCCACTTAAAGCTCTGCTACAGTAGTAAACTGGTTGTTGAGTTTTGTCTCGCTCTCTGACCAGTGCCGCGTTGGTTGAAAAATCTAAAACAACAAGGTATAGGGTGAGCACTTTTCTCTTCCTAGGGCTCACCAGGATTGAGGGTGAGCTAAGGTAGTTTTTGAGGGTTTTGAATGCTTCCTCACAGTGTGTATCTCATTGGAACGCCTTTTTCAAGATTTGGAAGAAAGACTGACACTTGTCGGTTGACTTGGAGATAAAGTGACTCAAGGCTGCTATCCTTTCTGTTAGGCGTTGGACCTCTCTTGTGTTTGAGGGTGGTTGCATGTCTATCACTATCGTGATCTTCTCTAGGTTCGCATCTAATCCTCTGTTGTTGATTATAAAACCCAGGAACTTTTCAGCAGAGACCCCAAAGGTGCATTTGATTGGTTTAAGCTTCATCTGGTATTTCTTGAGGATTTAGAAAGACTCTTCAAGATGCCCGATGCCCTTTGGAGACGTTGAAGAAGACTCAGCAACTCTTCATTCTGTTGGAGGAGGCGCTGATTGGCTAGGCGAAGGGCCTCAAGCCCATTATTTGGAAGGGGATCCATTATGGGGGATCAACTTCAGGAACGAGCTAGAAGTTACGAAGATTTTTCTGTTGTCTTCTGCTGACAGCTTCTTGTTGGTTCTGTAACCAAAGAGGATTGATTTGACTTTTGCTCATCTTGCGCGAAGAAACCATCAATTACTAAAGAAAATTAGTAGATTTTTAATAGGAACAATCGTTCCCATAGACGATGCCAATTGATAACGTTATTAACACAATTAAGCAGAATGGAGAATGTAAAGTGCACTGAGGAATTCAGTCCGAGCTTCAAGGCTTTTAGGAATAAGATTTTTGGAAGGGGATCAATCACACGGGGAAATTATAGTGGTTCACCAGCTCGAGAGTTCGGCTAATCCACTCTTCAATAAAATCTGTTGGCCCTGGGGAATATATTGACCAAGGGAGGAAATTACACAGTATTTTGGTAAAGCTATCATTCATATATATGATTGAGGGTTTTAGCCTCTTATTTATAGTTGATTCTAGGTCTAGCCAAATCTACAGCGAGATCCTTGTCATTTTCTCATAACGGCTGCTTGAATTGTGCAATGGTTGCGGGGGTATTGGGGTGGTTACGAATTTGGTGCCTAGATAAGTGAATGTTGTTATCGGGGGGGTGCTTGGTGGGTGCCAGCTGTCTTTAACACTGCCTTCCTTGAGGTGTAAATTCAGGGGTCTCAAGGTATGGAGTCAAAATCCTCATGTGACTGGGCTCCCAACCTGCGAGAGCTGGGCTGGATAAATCAAGCTCAACCCCTTAGGCATATCCTAGGTATCATCAGTTATATTGCAAAGGGGATGAACTACCTTCGAGCGTGATGAGAATGCTGGTAGGATTATCGATAATGGCCTTTAGCTATGAATAAGTATATTTCAACCTCGTATACAAGCAGCGTAGTCAGATCAGAGTGTTGTGTGTGAAATTTTTGGCTTTGAAACCTGAGACAAGCAATCGGGGTTGCGTCTGGTCCTGTTCTCTGTCAAATGTCAGGGTTCACCGTGTGTTTTTGACGAAGCTCAGAGGTCATCTTATTGGTTACCACAAATATTAGGGAGGAACTGAAATGGAAATCTTGCCCGACATTTATAACTGAGAACACCAGAGCATACCACATTCCCATTCTTTACCACTGATCTATTGAGAACCTCCACCTCCCTCAATTGGACATCTTGATTGGTAGTAAGACAAGATTTGGAGCTCTAATCAGGCAAGAAATCTGCTGTTCAATATTTATTCAGGCTTAGATTTATTAGATATAATTTAAGAATTCAGTGACTCAAATGTTTAGGCAATAAGCAATCAAAATGTCATGACTTTTGGTTGTGGGAAACCATGCTTCACAAGAAGGGGGTTGGAGGGGTTGAAAGGCCTCTGTGGTGTTCAAGTCTCAACTTCCACCTTAATTTTGTAAATTAATGTATGACAAAACATAGTATGCAAAAAAAAAAAATTGACTGGGCTCCTCCATGTCCTGTGAATCTAGTTATTAGAGCAATCAACACTTTCCACTTCTCCTATTCATTGGTATCAAAGACATACATGGGTCTTGTGTATTTTTCCCCATACTTCAATCATGAAGATGGAACTCCAATCTTTTTGTTGCCCCTAGGTTCAATATATTCGCTTCAACCTTGGAGGATCTCTTTTTGACTTGTAAGTGTGTGGAGTTTGTCTTTTTTTTTTATATGGGAGGGGGGGAGGGTTGAATTGGAAGGATTTCCCTGCACTTTATGTGGTTTTCTTGTTGGTCTCCATCCAGCAGCTTTTGTCATAGGCATCTTTTCTTGCTACCCTTCGGATGGTGTAATCTTATTGCAGTGTAATACTGTTTCTTGAGTTCAGCACTAGTTATCTAATGGTGCTCTGTTCTTTCGCAAAATTGTTAATAGAAGCATTATAAATCAGAACAAATCAGACAGCTTGAATTATGCTTCTTTTTTTTTTTTTTGCAGGTATGAGAAGAGTTACATGCATCGAGATGTTGTCACACATGTTGCTGTGTCAGCAGCAGATTTTTTCATAACCGGGAGCACCGACGGTAATACTAATAGCTATCTTTTACTGAAGTTTACTGCATAAATCAGTAAATAATACAGGGGCTCTCCCTCCATATCCGGAATACACAAGCTTATGCTTTGACAACTAGGCCTCTAGTGACTTCTGATGGGCACATTCATGCATAAATTCTCCAATTGGTCTACTTTCCAGAATTAGAGAAATAGGTTTTATTGATGAGTGGGCTATATAGCTTAACCCAAAATATTCAGACTCTACTTTGTGTCTATGACACGTACCCATTTTATAATTTACATTGTTGTGGGTCAGAATTTGAAAAGTGGATCCGTTGTGCTTGCAAGAAGTTACTCACTTTTTAAACTATTATTAAAGAATTAAATTAAATTTATAATTACAGATATTTAAAAAATATAATCTTATAATATCTTGACTCTATTGTATTCTAGATTTCAAAAGTTCTATCATACCATCATAATAACCGTATCCAAAGATCAAAATTTCATTTCGAAACAGTTGAAGCGGCCAAAATGTTAATTGAATCGAAATTTCAATGTTTCAAGATGTTTCGGAATATTTTGAGGTGTTTTGCCATGTTTTCACCGATGTTTTGAGATATTTCAGGATATTTTGGAAATAAATTCTCAAATTTTTATTTGTTTAGATTATATTTTCGTGCATAGATTGTATCCCCTTTCATCGGTGACTAGTATTATCTCTTAGCATCAAATAAGCAACGAGCTGCTATGAATTCTAAATTTGATCTCACCTCCACAACATGAATTAATCTTAAGCATGGGTTTGTTTTGCATTTCTTAAGATTTTTTTAGTTTCACCAGTTTAGGTGGAAGGAATGCATTAGTTTTAAGTGGATGGGTTTGGAAAAGGCGGTTGATAAAAAAATTAGAGCATTCATTTATAGTTAGAGGTGTAGGCAACAGAAGGCTTGATGAGATGAGATGGTTTAGTCACGTCCAATAAGGACAAATGGTTGAAGCAATCAGAAGGGATTGATTTAGTTGGATGCTGAGGGCATAATTAGGATAAGAAATGAAGATGTGTTGTTCTATTACACAATTAAAAGAGAGTTGAACATGGTAATGATAAACAATGATGACTGTCAGTAAGGGAATGCTATTTCCAGGAATTTAATTTGATCATCCTAGTCTAGGCTATAGGTTTTACCAAGCTATCAAAAGAACTGACTCCCATGAAATAATATGCTTTTGTTCGTCTTAAGGGATTGTTGGAGGCATCATTATTCTCGCAATGTCTGTAGATTATTGACTTATTTTAATGGTTTGGATTTAGTGGAGCTTGCTTTACTTTCCTATCCCTAACAAAATAACTCCATGAAGCAAAGAAGAAAGCCAGGTTCTGTTCTTAGAAAGAGTAATATGTTTTGTTGCTACTGGAGTGTTAATCTTTTAGTAACCATAAAATGACCATGGTGGCCATTTCCCAGAATCATTTCCTATATGCACCGAATTACAGTGCTAATTATTTTTTCTTCTTTCTACAATCATTTTATCTGATTATAAGTTTATTATATAATTGTCTAGAATGGGTTGTTGAAAGTGGAATTACAAAGTGGAGTGGAAGTAAGTATATGCCACTCTGTTGATTTCAAATATTTGTGCTGCTTCTCTTTCAGGTCACTTGAAATTCTGGAAGAAAAAGGCCCTTGGTATTGAATTTGCGAAGCATTTTAGATCACATCTTGGAGCAATTGAAGGGTTGGCTGTGAGTCATTCCTTTCCCATTCCTGCCATGCCTGTGTATACACATTTCTTTTCCTTTTCTGTTTTTTTTTTTTTTTTAACGCACACGTGGGGGGAAATGGTAGATAACCGGTAGAATCCTGTGCACATTTTGAATCTATCTGCTGAGTTGGTTTTTGCTCTGATTCTAGTCTTTCATTTTTTTTTTAATTCTGACTATGCATGGAAGATATGGCTTGTGTAATAAAGTGGTAATTATCCAAAATTAGGGTAGCTTATGGGTGGTTTGTGGGCCATTTTGGAATTTACCTTTTTTACCCTGCCAAATATGTTCATTATTGGTTTTGTTACCGTCATTCTTGTCAATCTTTGGAAATTCTACAAGAAGAATTTAACCAGTCCATTTTAGGTAGTGGGAAATGCTGCTGTGCATATGAAATCTCTGTATTATGTACACTTTCTTATCTCTCTGGCGCAATATTTGTATACAGTTCAAGTATGCATAAGCTACTTAATAATATCATTGTGGTTGAATCTCAGGAGGAGTAGATTCAATACTACGTAACTAGGTAAAGCGCACAAACTTGTGGCTGCAATTAGTCGTTTTTAAGGAGGAAATCAGAAGGCATTGTGAAAGCATTCCGGCTGATCATCCTTGTAATTACTACCTTATCTAGCCATAATTTTGATGTAAGGTGAAGGCTGGTGGCTTTAGCCCTCTATCCATCCTTTTGGACCTAAAACTGCCCATGTGTTTAACATTACGGCCTGTTTTGGCTCACAGCTTAGATGAACTCAAGTGGCCCATCTAGGAAACACGGATACTTGCCAGGAGGTTGACGTGGCGGTGTCAAAGCCTGGATAGAGAGTAGAGAAGAAGAGGCGAAGGCTTAGGATCTTCTTTTATTCGAAGGTTTCGGATCTGCTTCAAGCCAAAGGCCTCAGATCCGCATTGGATTTGCTTCAAAAATAGCCGAAAAACTTTAACGATCGATTTGCAACCAGATCTACTTCAAGCCTTCTTCTTCTTCATCTCTCCTTTTTCTTCTTCCCTTCTACTTCATTGTTCTGTGCTTCAGATCTGCTACGGGTGTCGCCCTCGGCCGCCCTTTTCTTTTTCTTTTCTCTCTCTCGATTTTAACGTAGACTTTTCCTTCATTTCTTTTTTATATTTTTCTTCTTTTTTTTGGTATAATTTATTTATTAACCCACAACCCACTTTGGAATTAGCCCACATCTCAATTTAGTATTAGCCCACTCCCCAATTCTACATATTAGCTCATTGCTCAATTGTAAGATATTAGCTAACTACTTAATCATGTTAGGTCTTATTATTAATGTTATTTATATAAAAAAAATATAACATTATTTTAATTAGTTGTATCCTTACCGTACCCGTATCCTATATTTTAAAATTTTTGTCGTATCCCCGTGTCTGTATCCGTGCTTCTTAGTAGCCCATAATAATAGTGCACTTGCTCTACGATGTTTTTTATTTAGTCTTTGTTTGGGTATACTTTGGAGTTGGTCTAACTTCATTTTATATTTGATGATGTTGATTTGTCTCATGAATCACTTGGTAAAATGAGCTAGATTATTGATTCTTTGGGTTTCTTTTCTTGTAAGCCCTTTTTTTGTAGGTCCTTTTTATAATCTTTTATTGATGATCCTTCATGTCCATCATTTCTCCCTTTTGTGGTGATATGGAAGACCATAGTTGTTAAATCGCGTATCGAAAGACGTATCGTTTTTAAAAAATAGTGTATTGTAAGATACGCGCAATTTTAAATAATTATTATATATATATATATATATATATATATATATATATATATATATATATCTTTGTAAAAAAGTCATAAATTCATAATAACATAGTATTTTATTAATATTTCACCAACTATTCAAGTTCCCAACATAGTTTAGTAATATCAAAATGCAAAGACCTTTAATACAAATTTCTAACATCAACTACTTGAACAACATTAATATTAATCAGAAATTTTGAATTCAATTGAACAGTATTAACAATAGATTTTATTTTTATTTTTTAAATTATAACCACTGAAACAACGTTATTTCACTGGCTAGTAATTTAAAAGTAAGTTTTGGGGTGAAATAATGTTATTTCAGCCCCAAAAAATTAAAAAAAAAAAAAACAGAATTTCACGAATCGTACGATACGGTGCAAACACGATACCTATCGTTTTTCAGGTGTATCATGACATATCGTACGATACTTATCGCATATTGTACAATATTAATAACTATGCAGAAGACTAAAGTGCCTAGTAAAATGCAAGTTTGTGCATGGGTATAACTAATGGTAGGACAAACAATATTGATATGCTTCAAAGAAGAAGACCTCAAGTTTTGCTTTTCTCTGTTGTGCTGTGTTATGTGCTGAGGTGCTACTGAAAGTATGGAACTATGGATTATCTTTGCATTTCTATGTTGCTTTGTCATAATGAAATAAGTTGTTTGTTTGAGTTGGTGGCTCCTTAGTCCTTTTCTTCTATAGATTTTGACTACACATAGGGTTTGGAAAAACAAGAAAGGGGCCACCCGGTGGAATCATGTATTCTAGCTATCATTTGGGTTATTTGGTTGAAAAAAAAAGTTAAGAACTTTTACATTAGACACGAAGTGGTGGAAGGTTTATGGGTACGGGTTTACTCCTTAGCACTTTTTGGCCTTGGGTTGCAAAGGATTTTTGAAGGAACTCCTCCCTTTCACATTTTGGCAGGTTGAAGAGCTTTATGTTATTTTTAGTTGGGTTTTTACATAATTAAGATTTATTATGTAGTGTTTTTTGGTTGGATCTTTCTCATGTACTAACTATCTATTGATAAAAATGACTGTTCCTTGTGGAAAAAGTGTCAGTGTTTGGTAAAGCAAGCATCCTTATTTTTTTGTGCATTGCATATGTGGAAAGATACCATCCCTAAAAATTCAAAGGGTGTGTAATTTCCTTGTTTTCATGTGTTTTATTTTGTGGGCATTCAATGCACTTAGTTATATTTTTCCTATTGAGGATGTATATGGATTCAATTGTATCTTGTGGATGTGATCGTCTCTTTTGGGTGGTTATTATGATTTATGTATACAATATTCACCATGACCGAATTTCAGCTGTGCAGGTTAGTGTGGATGGTATGCTTTGCTGTACAATTTCAAACGACCGTTCTGTGAAAATATATGATGTGGTCAATTATGATATGATGGTCATGATACGTCTTCCATTTGTACCTGCTGCTATTGAATGGGTTTATAAACAAGGTGATGTAAAAGCCAAGCTTGCTATTAGTGACAGTGACTCCTCATTTGTGCACATATATGATGCGCGAGCTGGTTCAAATGAACCCATTATCTCTAGAGAGGTATATTGGTATATTGTTAGTTTCTAGTTCAGTTGTTTGATGCTGTGCTATTACGTTCCCTTTGTTAAGGTTTTATGGCTTCTGTCATTTTCTGTCCAGATACACTTGGGCCCAGCAAAAGTTATGAAGTACAATCATGTTTTTGACACGGTGATTTCTGCCGATGCCAAGGGAATCATTGAATACTGGAGTCCTGCGACACTGCAGTTCCCAGAGAATGGGTGAGTATCTGTGAAGCATCCATATATTTGCGAATTCAATGAATGTTGGCTGGAGATCTCCACTAATAATTTGTAGGGGATTCTATCACAAATAATTTAATATTTGATCTTCATAAAACAACAGAATATGTAGCTGAACTATTGCTTGTGGAGGAACTTATAATGGAAGTATTGATAGTTGATATGCAAATGGACTGGAGTAGTTCTCTTGTTTGCTAATCTCTGTCTTTCTCTCTATGCCCTTTCTTTCTTTTCCTTTCTTTCCATTTTTTCCCTAGTTGTTTTGGTATCATATGCTTTGTGTGGGACACTCACTGCTAAAAGTGAAGTAATTTGAGAATATGTAAATCCACTTTTATGTATATGCTATTTGACCTTGTTTGCTGTCTAATTTGCTTGGTCTTATGTCTGAAGTAATGCCTAGAACACCAACTGAAGTCCAATATGTATACTAGTATCATTATGCATACATACCTATATGAGATTCGAAAATTTGTCCTAAATTTTCTTGTTTCCATTAATTGATTCCCTTTATACTAATATTTGTTTCTCATTTGCATGCAGGATGGGTTTTAGCTTGAAAAGTGATACTAATCTCTTTGAAATTGTGAAATGCAAAACAACTGTTTCTGCCATTGAGGTAAGATACATACCAATTGGCTCAAAAGATTTTTGGCTTAATATTGAATACTAGTACCAGATCACACCTGATTTCAGCTAGAAACGTGAATTCATCATAAGTTATGTGAATATATGGATAGTTGATATGAATATCTCATCTGTTACTTATTTAATAAATATTTGGAAAAACTCGCACTCAGTCCTTTTTCAATTATTATTCACAACTATACCATCCTGTATGGCATTGATTCTCAGGTGAGCCCAGATGGTAAGCAATTTTCCATCACGTCACCTGACCGTAGAATCCGTGTATTTTGGTTTAGAACAGGCAAATTAAGGCGAGTTTACGATGAATCTCTTGAGGTAATAATTAAATGCTGCAATCATTTTCATAGCTTCATTTTACAAATTTTCCTTAGACATTGCTGTCATAACCACTTCTCTTGCATTGTTTAGGTGGCCCAAGATCTCCAGAGAAGTGATGTTCCCTTATACAGACTGGAAGCTATTGATTTTGGCCGAAGAATGGCTGTAGAAAAAGAATTTGAGAAAACAGATAATGTTCCCCAACCAAATGCAGTTTTTGATGAAAGCTCTAACTTTCTTATATATGCAACCCTCCTTGGAATAAAAGTAAGACATCAATTGTCCTGTAACTGCAAGTAGATTTTTGTTCATTGGTCTTGTCTTTAGATTCTACTGGATACAACTTAAGTCAGTTGCATTGAATTTGCCTTGTCAGCAATAAAAATGACTTTTAGATGGTTTTTTTTTTGTTTTTATTTTATATCCAACATCTTATTACTTTGGTGTTTACAGGTCATAAATTTACATACAAATAAAGTTTCCCGAATTCTTGGAAAGGTGGAGAACAATGATAGATTCTTAAGGATTGCGCTGTATCAAGGTGACAGAAGCAGTAAAAAGGTAAGAAAAATTCCTGCTGCTGCAGCAAATGCCAATGAAAGCAAAGAGCCTTTGACAGATCCCACTCTCTTATGCTGTGCTTTCAAGAAACACAGAATCTATTTGTTCAGGTATAAGAGTTATTGATGCACAGGAATCAGCTGTTGCTTATCAGTTTGGTTGTTTTCTTGAATTCATCCTGGCATTAAGGTTGCAATCTGACAGTATTTTTGCAACTACTAGATGCTTACATATGTTCCAAGTCATTGAAACATTGCCATGTCAAGTAGCAATAGAACTATGATATACAGACAACTTGGAACTATCTTGGATTTTTTTATCTTTTTTTTGGTCTAATCTAGGATTGTTTTGTGTAGCTGGTTTCTTTGTAATCCAATTGAGGTGGAGTTGTGTCAGTTATTGCATAACACTTTTCTTTAGATCTTATTCATGCATTGGTGATGGTAAAGCTTGTTTGTATCTGGTTTTTACTGTCAATTATACACAGGTCTTTACATGTACTTTATTGTGAAGTACATAAATTGTTGTGTCATATTTCTCATATCAAAAAAATAAATTATTTGTTACTGTAGTCGGAGGGAACCTGAGGAACCTGAAGATGCTACCAAGGGAAGGGATGTGTTCAATGAAAAGCCTCCTGCTGATGAACTTTTGGCTGTATCAGATTTGGGAAAGGCTGCTACGACATCCCTTCCAGATAATGTTGTGAGTTTTTTTTTATGCCACAACTGTAGAAAATGCATTTGCTATGATTGCCTTCTAATACATGAAGCGTTCCCGCATATGAAGTCGTCCCAAATAACAGGAATCATTTGTGAAGTTTCAAGCTGAATTTTTTTCCTGTGAAATTTTGTTTTCACTTCTTGGTAAATTATTTGAATTACTATATAATAGTTTTCACAAGCGGCCATTGCTTGGTGTAATGATGAAAGCTGGTGTTGACGCAAACATGGGTTCAAGCTGAGTATAACCACTTATTGGACAAGAAAGAAACTCCTAGGAATTGCCTTAGATGAGTTTTATACTACCTGGTTTGACCTTGGTTTGCTTGCCATATGATCTTTTGGTGTTCGTCGTGCTTGCTTTGTGATGTTAGTGTTTTCTCTTTTTAATTTACATTTTAAGTTTACTATCTTTTTGTATTTCCAATGCACCAGATCATGCATACCTCTCTGGGTGACATTCACATGAAGCTTTACCCTGAGGAATGTCCAAAAACGGTGGAAAACTTTACAACACACTGCAGGAATGGCTATTATGACAATCTCATTTTTCACCGTGTTATCAAAGGTTTTATGATACAAACAGGAGATCCATTAGGAGACGGCACTGGTGGGCAATCAATTTGGGGAAGAGAGTTTGAAGATGAGTTCCACAAAAGGTGATGATTTGTGTTAGTTAATATAATGAATAGTATACTCCGACCATATATCATCTTGTGCTATTTTTTTGTACTTGAGAGTTGAGACGTTGTACGTAGGGGTGTATCCATGGGCCGGGTTACCCACGGGTCTTGGTATCTAGTCCGTAAAAAATAAGCTTGAAACTCGAGAGGTCCGATAGTTGGCCTGCCCGAGCCCAATATCCTTAAAAAGAGGGCTAGGATTTGCCCCCAAACCCAATAATCCACCCAAAAAAATCCGTTAAAACCTAACCCAAGAGTCAGCCCGCCCACCCTTTGAAGAAAAGTTATACTTTTACACTATTAAATTTAAAACTTTGAAATAAGTCTTCCAATGTCGGAATTTGAAGTTTTAAAATTTTAGATACCATAAATAATGTATTATTTTCTTTTCCATATATGAAACATACAAGTTTTAAATGGCAGAATAATGTAAATAATAGATAAGTGAATAGGTGTTAACCTAATTGAGATGTATTCATTCTATTAGATACAGTTCATCCCTTAATCAAAAATAAAATTATTCATTATTTTATTTTTATCCATTTTGGCTCTACTTTTGATTTAAAAATATAATTTACACAAATATTAAGTTATAAAAATATTTGTTATTTTTAAATGAAATTGTATATAAAAAAACCCGCGAACAGACCGGTCTAGCAAGCCCGCGCAATAGGCTCGTGGGTTGGGTTGTAGGTAGCCTACCCCTACTCGAAGCTCACCCCAGTCCGCCTGATAACTCACTTGGTAAGGGTTTGGGCCTACACTACTCGGGCTCGGCCCGAAAAAAAATTTGCGGGCCTAACCCAGCCCCGGCCCATGGACACCCTTAATTGTACGATAAACTTTTAATTTCTCTCTTGTATGACATTTTTTAGGGGGGGAGAGGGGAGGGAGAAGGTTTGGTATTGTGATAATTTACAGTATCTAAAGCTGGGTGGGATTGGTAGTGTGATTAACTTGCAGACTAAATGGTGAATGCTGGGTTATTGGTGGCCTTAATCTTGCTGAAACTTCAATTCGGAAAGTAAAGATGCCTATTTAGGGAAATGTATGCATCATAGAATATGCTCAAGTATTAGGTTGAGCACTTGAGTTACCAGATTCCCAAGTAGCAATGACATAAATACACAATGCAGACATGATGCATCAGACATGGCATGATGGCACAGCTCTGATATGCTAACACAAAAATTGTAGATAATTTAGGGCAGTAACATATTGGAGAAAAGGAAAAATGTAAATAAATATTTTTTTATACGTATGAGATATGAAAGGCAACTTACATATCTGTAGCTAATTTTCAAACTTATATATTGACAATGGCATATTGTGAAGGATGAATTCTGGTGACTCAATGACATAAGTAGGTAAACTCTGATATGATAGTTTTCTTAGTTTGTACATAATGTCTAAGATCACCATCTCCCTATTATCCATATGCACATTTTTTTTGTGTGTTCTCTTGTCTTGTATATGTGGTCATTGCATGCCTAGCCTATGAGGGCCCTGCTAGGATTCAAATTTCTTTATGAACAAACAAACAAACAGTGAATAAACACTCATGATAGAAAGTAATGCCTACCATTATTTTCTTTCTGTTATGTATATACATATTATTCTTTCAATTTGTACACTTTGTCAAATTTTCTTTGAAGAAATTACCAGGGGCTATATATTTCATGGTTCAAGGTATCGACTGAGTCCAATATGACTCGGCCACTGTTGATCCAATACCGATACACGTTACACAAAAATTCTGATTTCCACCTGAATTGGTGGTGACTCGATGGTATCAGCTGGACTCGGAGTTATATTGGGTCAACTCGAACGATTCATATTGAAATCAGACCAATATGGTAAGAATCGTCTGCCAAATCTCCAAAATCCCATAGAAAATGCAAAATGCAAAAGAAAAATAAACCCAAAATCGATCCTAGAAAAATGATGTCAGCAGTTGGAAAATGACTTCAATGCCCTTTTTTAGATCCGACAATTTCCTATGATTACGGGCAACTTTGAGGCTTCAAAATTAGATCGTTGCACTAATACCAAGTTAGATTTTGGTGTAATTAGGTCTAGAGAGAGAAGAAAAGATTAAGAAGAAGAGAAAAGGGATTAAGAAAAGAGTGTAGTGCGTTAGGGTTACACAACTACATCTCAGTCAATATATATATAACCACAAAAGTACTAAAAATACCCTTTAAGGGTTACATCCTACTATAGCATAACGTAACAACATATAAACTACATTGCTCTTTATTTATATAAAATGATAGTATTCTTATAGTATTCAGTATGCCTTTGTTGCAATGTAATGGTTTCTAGTGGTTTACATTTTTACAGTGGTGTGTTTTTTCATATATATTGAGTCAGACTTGCAGAACTCATTGCTTTTATTTTAGAACTTTTCTATGGCTTTCTTAACTGCTTTGTTTTTTTTGATGATCAACAAACTACTTTTCATTAAAAATAAGAAGAATTCATGAGGGACGAGAAGTCGTTCAATAAGAAAAGCATACAAGCAAATGCAGACATACAAATAAAAAATTACATGTCACACGGATTTCCAGTTCTCCCTAATTACAAACAGGAATTGCTGGAAAATGTGGGCATATAGAAACCCAAAAAGAAGCCGGGAAGCACATTCTTTTCCAAATGCAATCCACCTCCATTTTGGCTTCAGACATTCTTGCATTTCTCTCAAGCCAAATATCCCGAAACATGGTCATCACCGCACATCCCAAATGTTTTAACTTTTTCACTCCTTCCAAGACCCTGAAGCTCAATTTCAAACAAAAGGCAAAGGGACAATGAAAGAAGAGATGTTCAATACTCTCCTCACTTCTAATTACTTTGGCTGCCTTGTTTATGTTTTTTTCACTGTTTTTGTTCAGCATGTTATTGCCAGTTGTTTGTTACTACATAACTCAATGGTTCTCATGCATTTATCCTAACTATCACCCATACCATTGGCATATGTAGTCATTTGTTTTAAAATTTTGAAAATGCACTTTTGTATTGGGTTGGAGTAACTTGCAGTTGTGGTAACTCTCTCTCTCGTGCGCGTTAACGTTGTTGCCTTTTCAGTGCCTTGACTGTGTAAATGCCACTTATATAATGAAATGATCCTGCTGGTCTCTGCAGCTTACGGCATGACAGGCCTTTTACAGTATCCATGGCAAATGCAGGACAAAACACCAATGGTTCTCAGTTCTTTATAACCACGGTGGCAACTCCATGGCTGGACAATAAGCACACTGTTTTTGGAAGAGTTGCAAAGGGAATGGATGTTGTACAGGTATGAGATATACACTTTCTGATCAAATCTCTATTCTTTTTTCTTCTTTAGTTATTTCTCCTTAGGTTTTCTTTTAGTAAAATAACAAATGTATAGATCGATGTAAATATGTACATGAATGCATGAAATTACTTGTGCTATGTGGATAAACGTGGCACCACCTGTTCTGTATTTAAAGACCCGCCTTTTGATCAGCTTTCCAAATTCAGAAAAGGTGCTGAACAAAATTTTCTCGTCATTGAAATGGGGATATCAAATGTTTTGATGGGTCCACAACCCCTTTTTTCATTTGCTTTGGAATGATGGCAGGCATAATGGCGCCGTCAATGTACATGACATGACCTTCAGTTGTGAATATATATTTGTTCTTTCTCCTATATCGCATGCAACCTACCTCTTTTATATTGACCTCATTTGAGACTTCTTGATTCTTGACAGGCCATAGAGAAAGTGAAGACCGACAAGGCTGACAAGCCATACCAAGATGTAAAAATCCTCAATGTGACTGTTCCGAAGTCTTAAAGTGAGGTCTCCCTAGTAATCATTTATCTGTCCAGATAGACAGTAGATCTGGGAGAAGTTGTATGTCTGGGTGGTAGTAATGGAATACTTTCATTATCTGAGTCTCCACGCTCTGACCAAAGCTCAACGATACTGTTGCCGCATATAGTGGTGGTGCTCTTTGGAGTCACTGGCTGCCGAAATCTTGCATCACATAAATTATGGTATGCATTTTTTGAGGCACTTATTTTTCTCAACTTCAATAGCAATTCAATTTTCCAATAGCCCCTATGTGCTGGTTTTTTTATCTTCTCTGGGCTCTAGCTTATTTTTGGATCTCTCTGTAAACTTTAACACGCTGCTCAACAGGCCAACAAATTTGGTTCCAGTTAGTATATTGTTCAGAAATTAATATCAAAGCACCACGTTGTATTAAGAATTAATCAAGTCCCATGTCAACTAAAGATTAGTTGTTAATCGAGTAGCACCTATGAAATGACAGAGGAAGAATTGACCATAAACTGAACTAAAGATTTAAATCCTCTTTTAATAGATGATAATAAAGCCAAGTTGTAACTTACTGATATCCTGAATTTGGCGCAAGAACAGACTGACAGTAAGGACTAAGTGGGGAAAAAATATGAAATGTTAACTTCAAATAATGTTTAGTTCTCTGTATGATTGTGAAGTGGCTTGTCAGTTTCCACTGTTCCAGGACTACCAAAGAATGTGTTAATGGGAGAAGGTAAGAATTAGTTGAGTGAGAGGTTGGTGTTTGGGCATTTTTGTTTTTCTTTCGTTAAGCTGGTTGGTACAATTTATGCTGTAAAGGGGGCTTTCTGAACATTGTAATGCTTCCATTTTAATTAGTTTGATGAAGGGCGATGATTTGGATCCTTCATTAATAGTCTTATCAAGGAGATACTTATTAAGTGACATTCCTAAAGGGGAGTCTTGTCGAATTGCCAGAGCAGAAACTAGCGTAGTTTGTGAAATCTTTGTTTCAGTTATTTATTGGCTTCTCACTCTTTTTTGCACAGAACCTTTTATTTACTTTTACACCATAGTATGGTCTTCATTTTTGTAACGACATCGACCTACTCACTAAAAACTCTCTTGATCTGTTAGGTATACTATGCTGAATGGGCCTGTTGATTGCATCTCCAAGGAATCCATCAAATAGATTATATAATTTTTCAAATCTACGTGTTTTGGGGATTTAGGGATTTGCTCTTCCTATTTCCTGTTATCTTTAGGGTCTTAACTACGGCCTGGTAGTTGTACTAACAAAATTTTTGTAGCCATAATTGTATCTGTTGATATTTTAAAAAGATGTGATGGTCCTCAATGTCTAAAGTATATTGCTTTTTTTGAATAGTGTCTAAATTATATTGCTGATGGATTGTTAATTTTACATTTTGTGACATCAAGCTTGTCCCTGCCTCGACCAGTAACTGTTGGGTCTGCCCATCTCTTAAACTTCTCCCGGTCTTCAGCCCTAACTATATGAGGAATAAACTCGTCCCACACATGGTTTGGAGGCCGAGCGCCACCCCAACAATAAGGCTGCAACATAGGTCAACTAACACAAGATAAAATTCACTAAACGGTTACCTTTGGGTTCCGAACTCTATATGGGAAAAAGCGTTGCTGTTTGCAAGGTCTTGATCCGACTCGTTTCTCTTCTCATTTTATTTGTGGGAATTTGATGATCTATAAACGCTTGGCGAACAATTGGGTAATGTCGTGCTAACATGTTGCCAATAAATTTTCCCTCCTAGAGTACAAAATTGTATGATTTTCTGCATCGGTGGATGAAGAAATTGTCATAAATAGAATCAAACAGGCATAATGATAGTAGGGTCGGAGAAGTTGGGCCATTCGGGCCAGCCGTGAAGGTCTCCTCTATCCACCACAGGGGAAAATGTTTTTGGAGGGGAAAATGTTTAGGAAAATTTGGAGGTTGGTCTCTCTATATGGATTTATTTGGAGATAAGTCCGGTAAAAAAGTTTATTTGGTTTTAAGTTTGTTTTTGTCAAGTTTACTATTATACTCCTACTCCGTAGAATAGCAACAAACGACGTTTAATAGTTATAAAAAGCCACATAGGTTAGATCATTGAAGTATATATAAAAATCGTTGAATGAATTATATATAAAAATTGTTGATTGAGTTATATATGAAATTCATTTATTAAATATTTTGATAATTAACGGAAGTTTTATATAGAATGTATATATTTTAATAGTTATATATGGAAGTTTAATGTACAAATAAATCATTGATATATTAAGTAAAATTTAGATTACAAGATTTGCTTAACAATTCAAATTCAATAGTAACATGATACAAGCATATAATAATATGATACAAACATATAGTAACATGAAACAAATATAGGGTGACAACTAACACTGTAACATGACGTTATATTATTAATAATCTAATCAGCATATAGTAATATGATACAAAATCACCAAGCGTAATAGATATATAACAATTATCAAGAATTATGTGTAAAAGTAACATGAACAATATCACCCAATTAGTTGATGTAAACATAATAACATCAGCTTAGCAACATTATAATGGACTTATAATATTATGTATAATGTAATGTTCATTCCATAAAATTGTAACATGAGAACTCAAAATTGTGTTTGGCTGATGTTACTAAAAATGATGTTACTAAGATTCAGTTAAGAAATTAATGTTACTAAACTAATGTTATTGTTTTTACATCAGTTAATTGGATGGCACTGTTCATGTTACTTTTGCACATAATTCTTGATAATTGTTTTATATTCATTACGCTTGATAATTTTGTATTATATTAATATATATTAGTTAGGATATTGATAATATAATGCTATAGTGTCACCCTATGCTTGTATCATGTTACTTTATGTTTGTATCATGTTACTATTGAATTTAAATTGTTAAAGAAATCTTGTGATCTAAATTTTACTTAATATACCAATGATTTATTTGTACATCAAACTTTCATACATAACTATCAAAATATATACATTTCATATAAAATTTTTGTTAATTATCAAAATATTTAATAAATAGTTTTCATATATAACTCAAATAACAATTTCCATATATAACTCAATTAACAGTTTTCATATATACTTCAATGATCTAACCTATGTGATTTTCTATAACTAAATAAAATTAACACTTTTAAAAATAATTTTAATATTTAAAAAAAAGAATAAACTTAAGTACCTACATATAAGTTTAATCACAGACTTAACCCCAAATAAATTTCTTTTCTAGACTTAAATCATTACAAACCCATCTATGAGATCTCACCTCCAATTTTCACAAATGTTTATAGGACATCTCATAGGGTCGCTAGGAAAGGTTGGTATGCCATATCTTTTGAATTAACTCATGTATTTATAGGTCTATTGACAAATGTAGACCCAGCCATTCTAGTCCTAATAGGGTCGCATTGCAACTGATACACAGCAGTGAATGCCTTGTTATTTTGATAAAAATCAGGTATTTGTTTTGCTCCACAATTACAGGAAATATACAATGGGATGGGCAGAGTAGTTTCAGTTGTTTGACAGACTAGCTATATGACATAATCTATTCAAACAAAAGAGGGGACCCAGCTTTCATTCCAGCCAAATAGCACTAGAACAGGATCTCTACCCTGACAAGTGCTCAAACACAGACCAAGGGTGTCATGTAAATGGCTACCAAACCGACTAAATCCAACAGACTGTTTCGTGGAACAACCGAACCAAACTTTTTCTAATACAAACAAGAGAACAAGTTGCTCATCTCAAAATGCTCACCTCTTCAAATCAGCAGCATGTTGCACCTTACATCCTTGAACCACAGCCAACTCAATGAAAGGCAACCTTTCATTTTGACATCTAAAGCCACTAACTAACAAAAAAGTGACAGGCATCAAGCAGTTGACGATAATTTTTATTTATGACCCCATATAAATATAGGTCAGATCCATAACTCTTGAAATCTGAAATTCAAATTCTAGAACTATCTCTGCTATGTTTTGACTGAACTTATCTTCCTAAACAAAAGACTAAGCCTTTAAACTAGGACTACAACCAAAACTAAATATCGCAGACACCTAAAACTCCTATGTTAAATTAAATGATATTAGTTTCATAAGAGAATGCTCCATACGAGCAGAGCAGCACCACAATCACTTAGTCGAAGAGACTGAAGCCCAAATCCTGCAACAGAAATAAATAGACAAGTCAGGCATGGACATACCCAAAAAAAAACAAAGGAAAAGCAAACATTTTAACCAAAAATAAATAGTCAGCCCAACAGCATATCCTTTTCCATTCTCATTGGAAGAAAACTTACATCATCAGTATCCTCTTTTTCTTCCTCTTTCTCTTCTTTTTTCGCCTCGGCAGCAGGTGCTGCAGGAGCACTACCAGCCCCACCAGCTGCTGCTGCAGCAACTGCAATGCCAGCACCACCACCAGCAGGAACTGAAGCCAACTTCTCCCTCCCAGCTGCAATTAGCTCAGTAATATCTTTCCCTCTAACTTCAGACAAGAGTAACTCAATCCTTTCATCATCAGCCTCAGCTCCAACTGTGGAGAGAAGACAACTCACGTCAGTTTTCAACACATTGGACGTTCAAAGTCAATATGACAGACACATCAAACAAAATATCTATCAACATTAAACAATAAAGGGTTGAATCAACGATAAATCCTAAACGATGTCCCCATCTACCGAGAAGCAATCAAGTCCAGATATGCAACTTAACATATTCAGCCCTGGATGAATTTGTAAATGACATTGATAATTAAATAAAAAAAGGAAACAAGGCAATAGACAGACACGTTACCAAACCAGAAAGCTCCATGACAATCCAACTGGCATAGATGAAGTCAACTCGTTAAAACTCAGCAATGGCACAGATCAATGCAAAACAGAAAATCCTCCATTAAGCGGAAAGGCACAATTAAAACAAGTAGCAACACCCAACCAATTCCCCACTAATTCCTCCTTTGTGCTTTGACAAGCAGCACCCATTCACTCATACCATGTAAACCAAAGACACCTAAAAGTAGATATTCACATGCATCCACCAACAACAGAATACAGCATAATCATACTCTAATTATGAACGAGTCACTTCTCAGAGAAACAACAAGATTTAGTGATGATAACAGTTGTAGCCTAAAAAGATGTTTATATAACCCTTCAAGACACCAGGAGACATATCTTAATGAGTAACACCAAGTCAAATTTTTGTCACCTAAACTCATAACATAACAAGGCCAATATATATACAAGTCAACAATAATGAGGTAACAAGCCTGTTACCAAAAACAAAGTATCACCCCAATTAGGTGAGTGCACATGAAATTTTTCAAAAACTTTGCTCCCACTTGAGTTGACCTGTGATACACATGTGGCTTTATCTAGTTAGAGTATTATCACACCCTTGGTAACAAAGTGCTCTAACTTGTTTATATGTGTCTTTGTATTCCATCCATTCTTATACTATCTATTCCATTGACCACAAATACTATGACAAACAAATACCAAAAAGATAAATGGACTCCGTAACAATCCAAACTGACCCTTCAAGCAAAATTCATCCAAAACTGCCAACAGCTATCATGATTATCATGCTTGACTCACATATGTACAGACACACACACACATACAAAAGACTGATGGACACAAACAAATCAATCAAACCAAATAGGCATCACACACACAAAAGCGGGCACAAAAACGGAATGTATGTGTCATGAATTCAATTAGAAAAAAAAAGTCCTGCCTGAAGCGAGAATGCGCTTCAAATCAGCAGCGGATGGGTTAGTGTTGCCTCCCAACACGGCCAGCAAGTATGTAGCGATCACCTTCATCTCTGTTCAAAGCACAATGATAAACCACAAAATGTCAAAATGTGCATGCACATTCATAGACTACATACAATCTGCATATGCACGTATGTTTATATAAGTATATATATATATATATATATATATATATATATATATATAAAGAGAGAGAGAGAGAGGAGGGGAATTACTTGCGAAATTTGGATCCGGGGAGGTGAGAATCGAAGAACGGCTTTAGCTGTGGATCAAAGATTATGAGACCGTTCCTAGGGTTTTGAGTATGGTAGCACTGGAACTAAACGATGTACGCATGCATTTATAGCTAGGGTTTCGGGGTTTGTTACGAAGATAACATATTTTGCTTAGATCCTGACCCTTCAATTTTATTCTACTAACCACGTGGCAGTAGAATAGGCCATGTCACAAGGCCCACGTAAAAACTGTTTTTCCCTCGTTTTTTCGAATTCGGCAAGGCACGGAAAGTTTATTGACATGAAATTTTTTTTCAGTAGAATAGGCCATGAAATTTGGTTTCCCGCAAAATAAACATGAATTTTTTTTTTTCCCATGAAAATGTGGGCTACTGCTCATACTTGACCTTTTTTTGCCCATATTCATCTTTTGAACAACAGCACTAAATAGGGAACTTAAAAACAAAAAGGCCTCAAGAAAACTAAACTTCGTTTAATATAATTAAGGGTAATTTAAATAATTAAATAAATTTTTTTATAACTTTCATTTTTTTAAACAATAGAATCAATTTTTTTTTTAAAAAAAATTCAAATTTTTCATACTAACCAAATACATGCATGAAATATATTTTATTTTCTTTCACTTCACTTTTTAAATTTTCACATTTCTATTTGAAAATATAAAAAATGGTGATATGTCAATCGTGCATCAATTCTACATTAATAATATTTGATATTTACTTATTTTATCATAAAAGGTGGATAAATGTACAATCTTCAAGTTCAACATCTTCTTCAATGTAGATATAGATATTTTAGACAATTCTCAAAATTTTCAAGCAACTTTGCTACCTTTCAAATAAATAATTAATTTTTTTAAAAATTTTAATGCTAACTAAATACGTGAAAAAAATATATATTTTTTCCTTTTTCATTTCTTTCAATTTACTTTCCACTATTCTTTTCTTTCTACCCAAACAGACTCTTAGTGACACAAGAGATTAGTTCATGGACCTAATGGAAATATGGGGCACAATATATGGGTTATCTACGATAATTTTTTTTCTATGTATAAAGATTTGTTTTCTTTGAGAGGGAGGTGGAACATGAAATTCCGCATGAACACTAAATATCACCGTTACAAATGTGACACCTCATTTATGAAATTAAGGTTTGTCAAATTTAAGAAACTACCTTGAGAGACATTTCTCTCTCATTTTTCTAAAACTTTAGACTTCAACCGTAAAATCAATATTTCCTCCGATTAATACTCAAGGCATGTATAATTATGAGGAATGCAATTACTAAATGCAATAAAGTACAAGGTTGTTTTATGCTAGACTCTTTCTTTAGCAATGAAAATGAATCGTATTCGAAATACTCTGAGAATTAATTGTTCATCCCATAGTATAAGCAACATTCAATTAGGAATGATATTCTCCCAATCCCACCCCCACCCCCCCCCCCCCCAAAAAAAAAAAAAAAGCAACCAAGTTTATCTCTTTCTTTGTCAATACCAATAATGTGTGTGCCAGTTTGTAATTTTCACTTGCTTTTGATTAGCATTTGAAACTATGACTACTGACACCTTGGCATGAACCTCACATCCCTTACGGTGTCGGCAGTATTTCTTTGCATCGATCAAATCGACAACGCATTTTTCCACTTGATAACAAGGACGCACTGGCACCACCCCCTCGTCCTCTTCCTCCACCACCACCAACACAAAACAGAAGACCCTTTTCCTTCTAGACCCGCCAAGAATATTTATTTTTTCTTCACGTGACCACCAATCGTCTTCTTCTTCTTCTTCTTCCTCCTCCTTCTCCTCGGTCATCGTCTGCATTTTTCACCATTTGCTTGGTGTACTATACGCTTTGTTTTCCAAGGTTCACGATAACCTTGGTTCAATCCTTCTTTGCATCTCCATTTTTTATAAGTTGCATTTTTTTTTGGGGGTTTTCACGATGGTGAAAGAAGAGAGAAAAGTTAAAACAAAAAATGGTACAATGGATGTGAATTGTGCAAGTTGCAATTAATGAGGCATACGACATGCTAAAAGGAAAGTGCAAAATAGTACAACAGCAACAAACAAAGGAAAGTAAGTAGCATAAAAACTTTTTATCCCTCGTACATCTATATAATAAAATAATTTAAAATTTAAAAATAAATAAAATGACTTTTGTTATTCGCAGTTAAAATCGTTTTAAATTTTACTTTAAAATTAATCTAATAGCTAATATTAACACTCTAAATTTAATAGAAAAAATAAGTCCATAAGGGGGTGTTTTGAATAACTTTTTAAAAGTATTTCTACAAATTATTTTTCATAAATACTTAAAAAAAATAGTGTTTGAAACTGCTCCACCACCACCCCCACCACCAAGGGCGGAGCCAAACATATTCTCCAGTGGGGGTAACTTAAACTATATTAATATTAAAATTTAAAATATTCACAAAGTATAGTTTTATTAATAGAATATCAATTAAAGACGCAATTCATATACACAAGCGATATACAAAATGAGCCAACAAAAAAAACTCATTATAGATTTATCTATAAGATATAACAAAAAAAATTTGAACCGCAAAATTGGGCTCAATCATATATTAAATTTTAAGAAAAATTTTCATAACTAATTCAAAAATTAATTTGTTCAATCACAAACTTAATATTAATCATTAAATTTTAACAAACAATCAAAACTAACTTAAACTATAATTATTCTAGTAAACTAAACCTAGTTATATGAAGTACTTAACTTATCGCAATAAAACTGTTTAAACTACTAAATTAAAATAATTTAGTCTAATTATAATAGAGGACTACATGTCCTAATTTCAATTCTACAAATAAAAATAAAACAAATGAGACGATTACAAGTCCTAATTCCAATTCAACATATAAAAATAAAATACTAGAGAGGACTACAAACTCAAATATCAATTAAATATATAAAAAAATAAATCATAGAAGAGGACTACAAGCCCCAATTTTATTTCAACATAGAAAAATAAATACAAGACTACAAATTATAGTTTCAATTCAATACATAAAAAATAAAACATAAGAGATGATTACAAGCCCCAATTTTATATTTTCAATTCAACATGTAACAAATAAAATACAACAGAGAGCTACAAGCGCTAATTTCAATTCAACATTTGAAAAATAAACCACAAAAGAGGGCTACAAAACCCTAATTTTCAATTCTAACATATAAACATAAAACAAAGAAGAGGATTACAAGCCCTAAATTTAGTTCGATGTATAAACATAAAACAAATGAGAAGGCTAACTTATTTTGTAACATATTAGTTAATCTTTAAATGTTCAAATTTTTGATGTCATATTCCATTGATATTTACAAGTGAGACTCATATATTTGTCAAAATAACATAACTACCCTTAAATCTTTTAAAAAAAACTCAATGGGGGCCAATATAAACTCAGTGGCTGCCCCCACTGTGAATCCGCCCTTGCCCACCATCATTACCTTTACCACCACGACTGTCATCGCCACCACCATTGTCGTTGCCACCTACCACAACCATCACTGTCTCCTACCACCACCACTAATGATCACCAACTCTTACCCTCACTACAATCAATGTTTAAATTTATTTATCTCTCTTCTATGTTTATAATTTTAATTTTGGATATTAATACAAATATGTTTATTATTTACCATTTTTTATTACTCTGTGCCTTCAGGCACAAACAATAACTAGTATTTTGACATTCTGCTGATATGGGTGCATAAATAATGAATACATAATAAGTTTTTTTTCTAAAGGACAAATAACAATATTTTGATATTGTAAATGTTATTATTATTAATTTTTTTGAGTAGACGGTAAATATTACAATGTGTTTGGTATAGAAGAAAAATGGAAGGATAGAAGAGGAAGAATGAAAAATGGGGGAGAGTGGAAAGTGTTTAACCTATTTGATTCCAAAAGGAAAGGGCTGTGGAAAGGAAAATTCGGTGGAAAATGAATTCCTCCTGCCCGCCATTTCTTATCCGCCCAAAGTCAGGCAAAAAATTAGATAAAGAAAGGCAGGATTTTGGTTAGATAGGTTAATATTATTATTTGACCCTCTTTGCATCATTGTTTTTTCAAAAGTAGGCACAACATCTTAGACCATCTTCAATCTTTACCCTTTTTTAAATCATTTTTTTTAAATGAAAAATTCTTAAAAACCTTATCCAATGTTAGACTCATATCCATACTAAATGAAGGGAAATCATTTTTTAAGCCCAAATTAAGGGAGACCCTTTTTAAATCTAAATATTTAATAGTGAGATTACACCATCCTTTAAAGATCCAATAGTTATATTTTACTTTTTTTTAAATTTGACTTTGTTTTCATTTAAATTTGAATTTCTCTTTGTCTTAAAAAGAGTTTGTTCATTTGAGAGATCTATACAAAATCAAGTTTTTTACTAAAATTTGGGTTAGGGTTTAAATCTCTATTAGAGATGTGCTTAGACACATGTCCACGTGGGTGATACTTTATGAAGCTTAAGCTTTAAATATATTTTTGAGTTAATTACACTGGAGATCCCAAAATATATGAAATTTATCTCATTTTGGTTCTCAATATTTTAATTCCATCATTTTAGTTTTGAAGTATTGAATATATTTCTACGTGATCTCTCAAGTAGAAAATGACGATATTGATAACAATTTTTTATTATAAACTTGTCACATAATACCTAAATATGGATAAAAAAATAATTTTGATAAATCTCACTAAATTTTTACCCAAATTTTAATCGAAGAGCTACTTAAATTACAGTTTGGATTATGAGTTATCCAAAATTTTATCAAGAGCTACTCATATTACACATTTGTTGTCAAAAACTATTCAAAATTTGGTCAAGAGCTATTGCCCATATTTATGTATCACGTAATAAGTTTGTGATAAAAAATCGTTAGTAATTTGAATGTTGTCTGTTTGAAGGACCATATAAAAACATATTCAATAATTTAGGGACAAAAATTATACAATTGAAATATTGAATATCAAAATGAGACAAATCCTATATTTTAAGGATCTTTAGTGTAATTAACCCAATATTTTTGCTAGATATTAGCCACGTGTAATGAGAGGTATCAAAGACTTGCTTTGTAGGTCGCTTTTAACGATACATTTTTTACACTTTTTCATTTACTATATTTTTTTCAATCCCACCTTCTCTCCACTATTTTTTTTTATTCCTCATGACTATTTGTTCAAAAGTGTATTTTCAATAGAAAAATATTTTTATATGGAAGGGTCTAATGGTAAAATTTTTATGAATTTGTTTTATTTTCTTCTATTTTTTCTTTAATACCAAAGAATGGAACTTTCTATCTGTTGTACCAAACAAAAAAAGGTCAAAGAGTGTTTCTTTCTATTAGGGGTGAAAAGTTCTCATCCCTCTTATTTCCTATCCATCATATTTTTTATTCTTCCTATCAAACGGACCATTAGTTTTTTTTTTCACAGACTATAAAGGATAATTTTTTTTCTAAACATAATATAAATGTTAATTATTGAGCATAATTTCCAGCTAACTGCTGGCATTTTACCAATACACGCCGATGGTCATGGCTAACTGCTACCCTTGGGGACTGTTATAAGGGGGTATAAGAGGGCTTGGTAAGATGGGCTTGGAAAAAATAGTTCAAAAAGACTCCCACATCCCATGTTTAGATTAAAATTCAATCTTGGGGTTCCAAACCAGCCTGAAGTTGGTTCAAATATTAAACTCATAATCATGAGCTTCGTCAAAGGGAAGATAGGTTTGAGAAGATAGGTTAAGGAGTTAAGGATACAAAAGATAATTGTACCCCTTAACATGTGTATGAATTGAATTGATCAAGGACAAAATAGTCATTTATAGGACAAATAGTTATTAATTATTATAATATATATATGAGTGCTACATATGTATGTGTTACATATCAAATATGAGTATGGATCGGATTCAATGTTGAATTCCTTATTTATAAAGAGATTTGAGTTTGAACGAGTTTTTGAAAAAATTAATCCAAACTCTCCCCAAAAATCTATCCAATTAAGCCTTTAGTGCACGGGATGCCTATATTTGAAAGTGAGAACGGGAGAAAAGACGGAGAGAAGTTAGAGATAGAAAATCAACAATTTACAATACAACTCTAATAAAATGACATCGTTTGACAGGTATATTTTTTTGGGCCAAATTTTTTATTGTGCAAACTTATTAAAACAACGTTGTTTCGTAATAACGGCACGCGGTGTTGTTTTACTCTAACAGCAGAGGAGCTGCACCTTGGACCAATGATTTTTTTTTTTTTCCTCTAACAGTAGAGGAGCTGCACCCCAGACCCCATAAAATTGGCTTGCCAGCATCCAAACGACAACGCTCCATGGTAAACTCTTCCAACGACGCCGTTTGCAACCCTTCACAGCAATAAACTATTTGAAAACCTCTCAGCCTGAGGAAAGCATCACGTCCAAGCAAAGGCATTTTTGTAATCTACCGTTATAATGAAGCTGAACAAAAGCGCGGGAAATGTTCCTTCCCTCGGACCTCAGTCCCGCTCAGTTTCGGAAAGGGTTTCTCTCACTTTCTTTCTTTCTAATCCTCTCCACTCCTAAACCCAAAACTCGATCTTCATCTGGATCTCAAATACCAAAACAATGAACGGAGATAATCGAAGGCGAGACCGTAGAGACACGAGGATTTCAAAGAAGCAGAAGCTGATTCTCAACGCTGAAGAACAACTCGAGTCCAAACGTGGCTATGATCTCTTCACCGAAGGTGAAAAACGTCTCGGTTGGCTTCTCACTTTCGCCTCCGTAAGTCACTCCAAATTTCATTCCTCTAAATAGCCCAATTTCCCTCGAATTTTGGAATATGGACATCTTTTTTCCCGATTATAACCGACTCTTTGTACTATTTTGTAGTCTTCTTGGGAAGATCAAACTACACATAAAGTCTACAGTTGCGTTGATCTCTATTTCGTTTGTCAGGTAAAGTTTTAATGAATTTCTAGAAGCTGATTTGGAAAAGCTGTTACGTGTTTCTTACTCGTTTCAATGATTTGATTGAAGGATGGATCAACTTTCAAAGCAAAGTACAAGTTCCGGCCATATTTTTATGCAACCACAAAGGTATGTAATTATTATATAATTTGTGGAGAAGAATCGTGTTTGTAGAGTTAACTCTTAATTAATTGCCACCTCATATTATTGCAGGATAAAATGGAGATGGATGTTGATGCATATTTGAGACGGCGTTATGAGGGACAAATTGCTGACATTGAAATTGTGGAGAAAGAGGATCTTGATCTTGTAAGCCAACATCATTGCAACACCACATTCTTTTTTCCTTTCATGCCCATTTTTTATTTAGTGCCTTTGTATTACAGAATGCGTTGTATTTTCATGCCATATTTCGTCCCAGTAATAGAAATTTTAGCAATACCCATGTTTATGTGATTGTTGGGATCTAGGAGAATTGTCTTGATGCCTGGGGGAAAGAGGAGATGGATTTATGCCTGGGATAAGTCATGTACAACAATTTTTGTTGTAATTTATTAAAGGAGGAGTAATAAATAGATCCATTGCTGAGATTGAGAACAAGTATAATTGTGTCATGACTATATTGAGAACAACCACATGAGAAGCTAGTAAATTTAAGTTGCAGGAGGCTTACACCAGGGATTAGAGGATCATCCTTAACTAATGTTCGAGTTGAAGAGGCACATCTATGTTGAGGGTCTATGGTGTGTGCTTTTTGTTGATGATATAAGGTTAATTAATGCACTAAAGTAAATATTAATACTAGATTAGGAATCAAGAAGATTTAGGATAAGTAGAATGAAAACTGAGAATATGGAATCTAACTTTTTAAAACTAGAAGTCCAATGTAGAAAAAAATTTGATGATTTAGATATATCAAAGAGTGGACAATTCTATATAGTTCGATTATTTACGAGGTGGGTGAGATTGAAGAGGATATTATCGACTAATTTAAAGCAAGATATATTAAGTAGAGGAGTGCATGTGATATATTATGTAGTTGACATATACCTTGTCAGTTGAAATGGAAGTTCTACAGAATAATCATGAGATCAATGATGCTTGATGGTGTAAAGTGCTCGCAATGTTCTGAAATTAATGGATGGTAAATGAAAGAAAGATGGTACGATAGATGCTTGGTTAAACAAGAGAGGCTAGGATTAGGCATTAATGTATTTGCAAAATTATAGATGTATATCCAACAGGAGATAAATTGAGAGAATATTGACTATGATGGTTTGGTGCATTTAAAAAGATCTACAACTGCAATAGTCAGGAAGACTGACGCGATATACAGTCATGGTGTTACTAGGGGTGGAAGAAGACAATGAATATTAACTGATATTGTAAATAATGACATGTTGGCTTGTTGACGATACATGATTCTATGTAACCAATCTGAAATAGTTAGGATAAGACTTTGTTGAGCTAGTTAAGTCTAGTTATATTGTCTAGTTGCATGTAACATAGCTTACTGACATCAATGCTACTACAAAAGCTTGTTAGGAATAGTGTAGCTGATGTATTACAAGCTCCGTTGAACCCACCAGCTTGCCTAAATCAAAGATAGAGCCCAACCCTCTTGCAAATGGCCTACACAAGCTTTCCCCACCAGGTCTAACTTAATATGAGCTTAAGAAGAAAGCTTGTTTTCGGAGACTTGCTGCTGTGGCTTTTATAAGCCTCAACCCGTCACACACTAAATTTTTTTATTAGCTAACCCGAAATAAAGTTTTGTTGCCTTTGCACGTCATGAATAAGAGGCTTGTGCTTGTGTGGCATGCAATAGACATCTATTTTGATTTTGTATGGACATATTTCTTCTTGTACTGATGGTAAAAGAATAAGATGTCCATGAACTATCCCCATCTCAACTTTTAGTGCTTCATCTTCAACTCATGGATAGAATTGATCACTGAGACAGGTTCTGCTAAACTAGACTTAAGAAGATTAAGGGAGGTTTTATTGGGATATTCTAGTTACATTGGGTGGCCTAGCAATGTTGGGGTGGTATAAAGTCTTGCTATCAAATTCTGAAATGAAGTTTAGCAAGCTTTTGGTGTGTACAAAATTATCGAGTTATATTGGCAAGAGATAGAAGTGAAATCAGTGGGAACCAACAATGGATTTAGGCAAGTAGCTAGAATTGGGCATAATTCAGTGCACCACTGTTCACTTACTCTACCTAGGCAGCTGGAACTTTGTTGTTATGTAGTCAAGCTACACAAATGAAATACTCAGGGGCTTATGACTTATGTGGACCAACAGATGTTGTGGCCTTTTCTATCCTTCATAAATCGGAGAAGTTTCTGAGTTTAGAAGCAAAAAACTGACCTATATTCATCATAATCATATAGGCAACTATTTTTTTTGAGCCTTTTGCATGTCTATAACCAACCCTTCAAATTTTACTTGATGTGTTGGGTTTCTGTTGACGATAGTTCTATCATGTATATTTCTGGTATCAGTATGGGTTAGTTTTTGCCTGAGATGTTTGAACTTCTATGTTTTTGTACAAATTGTCCTGGAAGTTACATTTTAATTTCTTTGTATGCTTATGACAGAAAAACCATCTGTCTGGTTTGCGCAAATCTTATTTAAAGATATCTTTCGATACGGTGCAACAATTGATGCATGTAAAGAGTGATCTAATGCACGTTGTTGAAAGAAACCAGGCAAAGTTTGATGCTGCTGAAGCATATGAATCCATATTGACAGGGAAAAGGTAAGGGCGTCAGGCCTGAATCAAAATTTATTTTATATGGAGCAATTTTCTTATTTGCTAATAAAAAATTATTGACAATAAATATTTTCCAAGTTTTGAGATGGTTTTTTGCTTGACATGCAGCAAACAACGACCTCAAGATTTTATAGATTGTATTGCTGATCTCCGCGAGTATGATGTCCCTTACCACGTTCGCTTTGCAATTGACAATGGTGGTTTTCTTTTCTATTTATTTTTTTGGGAAAGTTTCTTTCCTATTTAGTTGATTGCAAAGCTTCTTTGTTTCCTGTATACTTTCTGACGTTGTTATTTAATTGTCTATTCACTCTGGTTTCACTTTGAACTTCATGTTATTAGATGTAAGATGTGGGCAGTGGTATGATGTTTGCATATCCAGTGCTGGGCTCATGCTAGAAAGAAGGGCTGATCTCCTGCAACGTGCTGAAGTTCATGTTTGTGCATTTGATATTGAGACCACAAAGCTTCCATTGAAATTTCCCGACGCTGAATATGATTCAGTAATGATGATTTCGTACATGGTTGATGGACAAGGTTATCTGATTATTAATAGAGAGGTGCATATAATAGAGTAAAATCTTTATCTTTACATTTTACATGTTCTAGAATGATTCTGTACATACGTAGCTTCATAATGGGAAACTTCAGATGGGGGGTATAGAGTATAGTATTCTCAACTGTGTAGGAACTCTGTATTTTCAACAGGGGGCTTGAATGATGTATTGAGGAGATGGCCCTAACAGGTGGGTCATCTATTGCATTTGGAAAAATGCTCAATCTGAAAGAAATCAGTCTGCATGGTATCTTAGATGACGCCACGATTGTTGTTTCAATTTAAGCGGGTGTCAGGTTCCCACTGTTCTTTCTAATAAAAGAAGGCGGCGCTATGCCTTCTTTTCAGCAAGGGTCCAGGGGTGTTAGTACTTGGCTCTAGGTGAATTTCCAAGAATATGAAACAACTATATGATTTGTTTTGGAGACATTTGTTGGCTGAATAAAGTTTATGTATTCTGAGTTTATCTATTGCCATCGTAAAAGACTCTGTTGATGTGTAGGCTGACAGGTCTATATTTGTTTTATGTTAGAGGACATCATTCACGATGCTTTACTTTTAGAAACAAGCATTTGGCCAGATCCTTGCTTTGTGTTGGGTCTTCTGTCTTGAGGCAGAAAAGATAGAGTTGTAGAATCCACCTTTTGTGAGTTTACTGTGGCACTGATGTTAGTTGCGTAGAAGATCTTGAAAGTGGATGGTGTTATGATCATAGGGATGTGAATGCTCCGCTTATCAAGGAAAATGAGTGCATAATCACCAAAATAGAGGCAGTTAGTGAATATGAACAACATTTTAGGGACAACACCTGAATATGCATTTGGAATGAGATTTTCATTAGATGGAATGACAAAGTGAAAAAGTAAAGGACGTGTGCTTGAAGAAGTGGAACTGACGCCCTTTTTGTCATCTCTTGTTTCACAACATTGCCAATGGTGGAGATAATATGGACTGTGACCTGTTCTACATGGGTAATGAGCTGCTGAACTTCTAAAAATTAAACATGCCACCAAGAGCATGGGGGATTGAAATAATGTCCACAGGGTGTGGGACCTTTCTGGTAGGAGTTGACGTTGGTATCTCAAATAGGTGCTAATGCTGCAAATATGATGGTTGGAAGGATATTAAACCAGAAGCTGGAAGGATATTAAACCACCTTCAATCAGATAGATAGTGGGAAAGGTTATGCAAAGCTTGTACCTTTTAAGGTTTGAAAGAGTGGAACTAAACAAAGTGGCCCGAAAAGGCAAAGTGATTGTCCTAGAATTGCCGTTTTTTATTCGTTGGAAATTCTTCACAGATGGAATCTTATCATATACAACAAACTGGTGTAGAAAGAAACAGGGATATCAAACTTGGGTTTAAAGAAGACCAAAGAAATTGAGGGCTGTTGTGATTCAAATAGTAAATTCAGCAGCAGGGAAAATAGAAGAAGAAGAAGAAGAAGAATCTTCTTAGAATTTGGCTAATAATTCCTTGGGCCTTGGTTCTAAGGGGGTTGTATCTCACTACACTATTTGATCTTAAACACAGCTCCATTGAGCTTAAGCATTACCTATATACTTATGGGATAGTGTTGTTCTATATTTAGTATCACTATGTCTCCAAAGAGAGAAACTCCAAAACTTTGAATTTTAGAACTATTCTAGACTGATTAAAGACTGCATCTAAAGACCAAAAAAACACAATAGTCAGCCCTATACGAGGCCCATGAACCACCACTGCAGTTTATGTCTAGCAAATTTGGATACTAGTGAAGTACCTATTGACTCCTAAGTCCTAAAACATAAGGACGCTTGTATAACACTGTGCCAACAAAATATGAGCTGATAATTAAAATAGTGTGAGGATTACTCATTTCAAAACTTTATCAAATATGGTCCAAACCGCAATTCCATGTGAAATTCTTACTTTTGACTTTTTTTGTCATGCTAGTCATCAATGTTGCATTTATTTGATATTCAACATCATATATATATATATATTTATATGTATTTATATCATATGTTTGACTTCAAAAGGTTTTTAGTTTCTAGGGGCCTTGGTAAATTTCTTCCCTTGTTACACAACGACTGTAGATAAAAAAGTATTTACACAAGAAGTGTTGGTTAAAGCAGAAGGGTTTCTTACTCAAAAATGGTTATTTTAGTCGTTATTGCTTTTTGTCTACATAAGCATCATTGTTGCAATTTCATGTCCTGAGTTGTGATCTATGCCCTTAAATGATGGAGTTATGCTGTGTTACTGATAATTAAATTTTTTTCCCACAAATTCTATTCAGTGTGTTGGGGAAGATATAGAAGATTTGGAATACACTCCAAAACCAGAATTTGAAGGGTTCTTCAAGATTACAAATGTTAAAAATGAGGTAACTCTATTTATATTACTTTGGTAGCTTCTGACATTTTACGGAGTTGGATTCATATTTTATAATTTCTCTATGATTTGTTTTGTTACAGAAAGAGCTTCTTAGACAGTGGTTCGCCCATATGCAAGATGTGAAGCCTGGTATATATGTCACATATAATGGTGACTTTTTTGATTGGCCTTTTCTGGAAAGCAGAGCTGCCCATAATGGGTTTAGAATGAGTGATGTATGTATCTCAGATCATTAGTTGCAGTTTGTTTTAAATGAATTGGCCCTTTGGCTTGTTTGTATTGTTAGCATTAATTTAGTGATGGCTTTCTCCTGACTTTTCTTCGCCACAAGTCTAAACTATATCCTCAGTTAAAATTTTGAGATTGATCATATACTTGAAACCTTGTATTTCTTCGCTTTGTGAATTCTAAAATTCACGTCTCTTTCTTGCATGCTAGTCCATTACGTGGTGTTAATGCTGCCAACGTGCCAATTTGGAGTGCTGAAATTAGATGAAATGAAATCTTTGCATGCCTTTGTTCAAAAAGTACAAAAAATATTGAAATCACATATTATCTCATATATAGGATTTAATTGTTATCCATCAGTTAAAACTGCTGCGTCTAACAGACTTTGTTTTGTCGGATTGGAAAACATCTTTGCTATTTGACTGGTGTTGGTTGTGTCACTGACTCACTGCATTTATATCCACAAAAGTCAAATGTTACTTTTCTAAATGATGCTAAGTTATAAATTACAGTTGCATTCAGTTTTAAATCAGCAGCAAATTCTTGTGATGCTATAGGGTTGAGATTCATGTTTGCAATCCTAGAGCTAGAAGTGGCTGTACACAGCCTAGTTCTCATATATGCATGACTTGTAAGATATCTTCATTTAGTTCTCAACCAGAGTTCTTCTTGACCGAGGCACATTTTCATGGTAAATGAAATCCTGAACGAAAAAATGTGCTACACTGTATGGATGAATATTATATGATTTTCTCCTGTATGGATGAATATTATATGATTTTCTCCTGATTAAATATAAGACGGAAAATTTGATACGAAACATGAAACGAAATATAATAAAAATTGTTTTTTATAAGAAAATGAATTTGAGTGGGATACAATTGGTGGTGAAAAATTCATGTTAAAGAGTGTGACATTATATCTATGTTAATGTATCATAGATGTAGTAAAATCCATTATTTTATCATATTTTTACCATTTTTATATTTTTTTTGATATTTAACATATTTCACAAAATAATTTATTTTTATTACACAAAAGCCGCAAAAGAATATTAGATGAGTTTAATCATAATTCAGAGGATACCCTACTCAGGACGTTATGAATCTTCCGATTGACAATGAGAGCATTGAACAGAGAATCAGGATAGTAAGTAAGATTTCAATATGCTTTGTTTCCTAGTTGCATGATCTTTTAAATTGATTGATTTTGAAAAATATAGTGAAATCTTTTAAAACTTCCAGCACAATGGAGTATGCTACGTAAAAGAATTAATAAATGTACTATACATTTAACTCAAAAGGACGAGCATTTTCCATTATGTTTTGGATCTATACATGAACCATGAGTTGTTTTCATTTATAGGTTGTACATGGAAAGTGTATCCAAGAAGTACGAGTGTTTACTACCTATAATTTTGATTATTTTTGCTTTCTTATTTGTGTTTTCTTTTTGAGCTGCAGGAGTTAGGATTTCTCTGTGACAAGAATCAAGGGGAATGTCGTGCTAAATTTGCATGCCATCTGGATTGTTTTGCTTGGGTCAAACGTGATAGTTATCTACCTCAAGGGAGCCAAGGCCTAAAGGTGCAAATCTCTGCTTTGGATTCGTGTTTCTTCAATATTCAAGACTCTGAATCTATCTTCTGTTTGCTAATATTTTTCCTAGATCCTGTCAACATTGAAATTCCATGATTCGAGGTCTTGTGCTTATTTGAGTTTGTAAATTCTGTTTCTGCTATCGGATTGTTTTATTATAATAAAATGACATACTTGTATTTGATGCAGCACATAATAATGACGGTCCCATAAATGTTTCTTTTTCTAGCCCTACAAGTTTGAATGTATGCTCATCATATCTCTGTAGCTTTCATCATAATTAAAACAATGAATATAATTTGTGTAATCTGTGCCTTTTTGTGAGACTGATTCATCCAGGACACAATTCACTTTCCCCCATACAAATAATCAAATTATAAGGATACAATTCTGATGTGGTTGATTCGTGTGATCTACCTGGATGCTGATGCTATTAATTCATAATGAGGACAAAAGTAGATGACATCATGCTTAAGTTGTATGTATCTTGAATTCTTGATTCATGCTTCTTAAACTTCTGCTTTGTTAGCTATAATGTAAGAGGATCATGCCTTTCGTCCAGAAATCCTCATCATTTCTCTTAATTTTGCGTCAATTAGATTTTTCAATTGGGTCCAAAAAGATTTTAAACGTTAAACGTTTAATGTGATAGACATAGTTCCTACGGATATTTTCAAGTGAGTACCTTCAATGCAAGAGAAATGATGTGTCCAACACAACTTTTACCAAATTTTTGGATCCCAAATGATTTGTCACATTGATAGCCATTGAATGGTTAGTGAGAGGTTGTGGGACATACTAATCCTATGGTTTACACTGATTTGGGATTCAAAATTTGGTGGATGTAGCATTGTTGCAATGCAAAGTGGCATGTAAACTGCACACAAACGTTGTTAGAGAAACACAAACCTTCTTGTTACAGGAAAGGCTTATGTTATTCTTATTGAACTTGTCCCTTGAATATTTTCATTCCTTTCCTTGTGTTATACTTCTTCGAAGAATAACATTTACTCTTTTTGGTGATATATCAGGCTGTCACAAAGGCTAAGTTGGGGTATGATCCACTGGAAGTGAATCCTGAGGACATGGTTCGCTTTGCAAAGGAAAGACCCCAGGTATGTGTTCCTGGAGATGGTCTATTCTTCACTAAATAGCTGCATTTTATAGAACTGAAGCCAAAGTATATGGAAATAGTTGAATGACTAAAGGCCAATAACATGTAACACTGGTGAACTGAAAACTTTATAGAGTACTTTAGAGTGAAATAGGACGAAATAGTGATATGGCAGAAACACGGATAAATCTGGACATTCCAGTGATTGCTGTTTGCAATTTTCATGTGGCAGTGGCCAGTGTGCTTGTAGTTGTTGAAGTTGGGGTTTACTAGAAGAACATAGATTTTGGTCAAGAGAGTAGGTTAAATCACTAATCATTCTTGTTATGGATATATTTGCAGTGGAGAACAAAAATTGAGAAGGCAAGTATATCTTCATGAGTGGTATACTTGACACAATATTGTAACACTTCCCCTCAAGCTATATATCATATAATCCCAATTTGGAACAAATGACAGTTAGACGTTTAAAACCCAACTCCTTAGCGAAAACATCTGGCAATTGATCCTTGAGCTTTGTCTTTTCATGAAACATAGGATGAGAAGCTATGTGCAAAGTTGCTTGATTATCACTTGCAACTGAAGTGAAGTAGGCAGTACAGTACAGAGAGTGGTAGAGACAACTGGGGTAATTGGATTTAATACCATATGAGATGATCATAATTAGTTATTGAGATGGAAAACAGAGATGCCTATGCTGACGAAGACCTGCATCATTGATTATCACTTGCAACTGAAGTGAAGTAGGCAGTACAGTACAGAGAGTGGTAGAGACAACTGGGGTAATTGGATTTAATACCATATGAGATGATCATAATTAGTTATTGAGATGGAAAACAGAGATGCCTATGCTGACGAAGACCTGCATCATTGAGGAGACTGTCCTAAAAACCAGTGCTGCCGTGGACAGAAATATCTGATTTTTTTTGTACCTTTCTGAAAAAGCATACGAGTCTGTGTGTATAGAGAGTTCAATGTAGGAGCCGAGGCAGTCAGTCAGTCTTGGCCATTCAATGGACATCAAGAAGTTTGTGTAAAGGTGCCCAGGTATTAGTTTTGTGCAAATTATCAACGGAGCCCATGAAAGGATGTATGCATGGTCTGGGAGCACTTTGGGGTGTACACCCATCTGAAGAAGTAGGGTAGTTCAGCATTTAGGCCGTAACATTTTGCAACAAAAAAATCTTATGACTCAACGAGTGCTCTCTGAACCAAGCATTGAGTTACCTTTTACCTTTCTATCAAGGAGGGGTGTTCTTCAGCTTCCAAGTTCTATGTTTGGGTTATACGAGTGGTAAAATTTTCCTCATGTCTGATCCACCAAATCTTAGGAACCCATTACCTTTTTCTTAAAGTTGTAGGAGCTTATAAAGTTGCGGAGGTGCCTACAGTGAGATACCATCTATTATATAGTTTCTAGCTGCCTATAGATGAGGGACTTTGATGGCCTAGGCGGCAACTCATATGGACTTAATTTTTTGTTGGGTGATTGTGAACGCTATCTTTCTTCTTACTGAGCTCAATTGCTATCCATGTCACCTTATATTTGAAATTAAAACAGTGCATCATCTTTTATCCATTATGTTATTGAAAGTATTTCTAATATTTTTTTTTGCGTTTGAATTTATTGCTTCAGATGATGGCCTCCTATTCTGTATCTGATGCTGTTGCAACTTACTACTTGTATATGACTTATGTTCATCCCTTCATTTTTTCCCTTGCAACTATAATACCAATGCCGCCAGATGAGGTTTTGCGAAAAGGAAGTGGAACCCTTTGTGAAATGCTTCTTATGGTCCAGGTGTGTGTTTGTTTTTCTTTTCCTTTGTCTGAAAAGTTTCTGTATAGTATATCACTACTTTCCTTTTATCATGCTTGCAGGCATACAAGGGAAATATCATTTGCCCTAATAAACATCAATCTGATCCGGAGAAATTCTACAAGAATCAAGTCCTTGAGAGTGAAACATACATCGGTGGCCATGTAGAATGCCTAGAAAGTGGTGTTTTCAGATCTGACCTTTCAAGTAGTTTTAAACTTGATCCATCTGCCTTTGATGTAAGTTGTCTCCATGTTTTCCACAACCATTGCCAAACAGTTTCTTTCATTCTTTTCGAAAAAATTGTATCTAGGATGCATTGATTTCGTAAATTGGATTGAGCTCATTTTTCATTACAGCCTAGTGCTCTGTCCCTTTTCAAGTATCGCAAGCTGACTAGTGGCACAAAGTTTGATGTTATAGAATGACAATCCAATGTTGCATTGAGAAAATTTATTTATACGGTGTACCACTAGTTTTTTTCACCCAAAAGCTACAAATTTATTGCTTAAAATCCTCAAGAATAGTATATTAATATTTGCTATCTTGAGAAGGGGAATTTGCTTATTTTTTTTGTGCTAAAAAAGAAGTATTTGGCCCTCTTAGATCTCTCTGAAGATCCTCCCAACATGTACGGTGCTGGCCACGTGCATTAGTCTATTATGTGGATTCATCACTGGGACATTTTTCTTATATCATTCAGTAAGAAGATCACATAAATTGGGAGTTGTTGGTTATCTGGTTTTTTGACTTGAAACGAGTTACGTGGTTAGAACAGAAAACAGATGACAATGAAGACCAAAAAGCACTAGAATTTGTCTGACTAAACAGTATTATAAAAGACTGTCCTTTAGCTTTGCATGGTAGTTAGGGTTTATGCAAGAACCCTTTGCAAGAAAGTCTGATGACCAGTAGATCACCTAAATATTTCATGCTTTGCGCTACTAGTGAAATTTTTGAAAATCTGTATTCCAATTAAGATTGATAGACAAAGTAAGGGTCAAGTTTGGTTTTTGGGAGACTTGGAAAATGGACAGGACAAGTGAGTAAGATTTGCCCTTAATCCATAAGCAGTACAACATTGGGTAATGCCCCCTTATTTGACAGTTTTGATCTCTTGAAATAGTTGGTCTATGCCTATCTATGGGGTTCAAAGCCTTTTTTTTCTTCTATGGTCAAATGCATTTTTGATATGCAAAATCTATGCAATTCCATTGTCCATATATGATTGTGTTCCATATTTTAATCTGCGCTCTGTATATGCAGCTAAAGAAATTTAACTGTTTTTCTCAAAACTTTTTTTCCCTTAGACCTGGTTGAAAATTAGTTATAATTAACTTTTTCAGTTGGTATTTTCATGAATTTCAGCTTTTTTAAGTTTCAAATTTGAACAATTTCTTTTGTAACTTTTGAGTTTTGAAAAAGTAGTGTTATGCTAATCAGTGGATGTTCATGAAGCTATAAAAGGTAGAAACAAATATGGTACCCTGTGTTCATGCATTATGATTATATGAATCCATGGATTTTGACTACATTCATTCTTTGGCGTGATCCTTTATTGCTATGTCACACCATTTAAGGAACAAAAATAGATTGAGGTATGATGAACTCAGTTTCCAACATATGTTCTCACTGTTGATACTCTTTTGTCAGAGCTGGCTAGGAGTGGGCATTTTTCAGTATACAGAAAATATATCCTAAATAAGTTTGGGCGATTGATGTTTTCAGTGCTCACAATATGTCATATTTCTTGATTACATATTTTGTGGCATGGGTGTATGGTGAGCTGAAAACTGATTGTTTTATCATATGTTGTCATGAAGAACCTAACTCGGTTTTGAACCTAGTCTGGCAACATGCTCAGTGGTTGCTATTCATTGCCTGCTCCATTGCAGTTTTTTGGCCATTTTTCTATGAAAAGATTTTGCTTCATGTCTATTTTTGATTAACTTGGGGGTACTCTGTTTTCCAGCAACTAATCAACAACCTTGATCGTGATTTGCACTATGCTATTAGAGTAGAGGGTAAGATGGACTTGGAATTTGTCTCGAATTATGATGAAGTGAAGAATGCCATCATGGAAAAGGTGCTGCTTCTTTACTTTTGTCAAGCCTGTGGCCAAGTCTATGACACTGATGCTTGGCACTGAATTAGGGGCCCCACTTATTTTTCCTTTCATGTGCTTTGAATCCATTTCTGTTCTGGATGTTGACCATTTTATCTTATTTGTTGTTGATATATCAACCTATACAATGTCCTATCGCTCGTTTTGAGTACTCAAAATTAACATGAACGATAGATTACATATAGATTACCCCCCTCGTATTTTGGACCAGTAATCGGTCACCTCACTAAACTTCAATTTGTTATATTAAGCTTCCTTCAACTAATCTACCAAGTGCACAATTAATAGTGTCTGTCAGATTTAACAAAGCGTATGTGTTTCTAGGCCTTGTTTGTCTAACCACGCATGTCTATGTTATGTGTTTTACAAGGCAAGTGACGTTTTCATCCTGGTTAACTTTGCTTATATTCTTCTCTCTCTCTCTGCTCAGTACCACCGGCGCTGCAGCCTTCTCTCTTCCCTCTCTCTCCCCAATCTCTTCCCTTATGCAATACAGTACCCCCAGGGCACCCCTCCATCTCATCGTCTTCTCGTCTCTCTACAGTCTGGAACTTCTAGATTCCGTCAGAGACCCATCTTAATTCCATCACAAAATCTTCTAAAGTTTGTCAGAGAAACCCACATCTTTCCATCTTCAAACACAAGTCGGAAACTTGAATCTGGAACTCATGGAAAAGTGAATTATTTTGACTGTTCAGCAATAGCTAAATATAAACTAAACAAGTTATAAACTTAAGTTTCTGCCGATTCAGTGAGATAGGTGCAAAAAGAGTATAAGTCTTTAGTCTCTTCTAAGCTCACTTCAGCCAGTTCTCACCCTCATTTCAACCGGAGACAAAAGACGCAAGAAACACGAGTCTTCAAAAATTCAAAAAATTTATGGATCAATGTCGGCATTTGAACAAATTACTCCAACAAAAAATGGTGGCTAGACTGTTTGAGGAACCAGTGTTCTGGCACATTTCCAGATCTCTTTCAGGACCAATTTACTAGACCAAGTTAGAGACAAGATTGGTGATGAGCTACCTGTGTTGCACCAAATTTTCGATTTTCAAGTACTAGAGAAGAACAAAAACATCAAAACCAGGTGGAAAAAATTATAAACAATTGCAAAGACCTTAAATTAGTGAATTCCAAACCCAAATTTCTTTTTTGTAATATTACTATATCAATTATTTTCACATGAACTGCTGTATTGCAGTGGTGGTTTAATGGAGAAAATCGAGCTCCTATGTGGTGTATATAATGTAGTGATATAGATATACACACCCACTTCAAAAAAGATATAGATATAAAAAAACGATTATGGGCTGTATTTGGTGGAGAGGCAGAGAGAAATTGTGGGCTGTCAGCTGCGTGATGTTTTTTGGGGGATGGGGGTGTAAGAGAGAGAGAGAGTTGCACATGGCTACTGTTATGTGTGTGTCTGTGCATAATGGATATAAATACATATGGCCTTCCTTGTATGAATATATATAAGATGAAGTCCTTGAAATTTAATTTATGAACTTTTCAAAATCTAGCTGCTGTGCTTGTTTCAGTATAATCCTTGTGTGTTTTGGGTTTAGTTCTCTGAGAGATTTTTTTGTAACAGTTTGCACTTTACCATTTAGCTCAAGGAGGCTAGGTATCACGAATTGAAGTTTGAGGGGGGGTGGGGGTGAAGTGTTACCAATCCAAAATATAGGGGGATGATATGGATTCTACTTGTTGTTTTTGATAATTTTTCCTATCTCAAAGCCTGTGAAGTTTGGTTAACATTCATTTTTGGTTGATAATTTAATCATCTGAGCTTGTGATGTAATAGTATTAAGATTTTAGTTTGGCAATAGAATCATGTATTTATCTTCTTTTGTGTTAATTTTATCTTCAACATCCAGCTTATGAGGCTGCGAGATGACCCCATACGTGAAGAATGCCCCTTGATATATCATCTAGATGTGGCTGCAATGTATCCGAACATCATATTGACAAACAGGCTTCAGGTATGCAAATGAATTAATAAATTCACTCTTGGCACATTTAGATAACACTATTTGAATCACTGTTTCCTACTGTTCATGATTGTGATTTATCTATTATTTACTGAACAAGGCGACAGAGATTAGTATTGGTACTTGATTGAACAGTTTACCACTGTTTGTAGTACCTCATGATCTTGATTGATTGAATTTTGTATTTAGAGACCTTAGTTTCTTTTTTGTTTCTACCCATGAGTCTGCAATATCAGGAAATGTATGGTTTGGTGGCAATGAGACCAATGGATAATCTACCAAGAAACCTGTGCAAATAGGAATGCTGCTGTGCCCTTACATTTGTAATTCATAATGCCATATTAAACATGCACCTGGAAGTAATTAGGAAGCTTATACTTTTTGAAGATATGTATCATGTCATTTTTTTACTTCTTTATTTCTCTATTTGTTTAGAGTGAATTTTTTTTAAAATATAATCATGTTGTCATTTCAACTTCTAAAAGCATTCTTTATAAGCTATGAAGTTTGAAGATGGGTAACAAAGAAGGTGGACGTTCAAAAGTTACTTGATTTAACCTGTATAAAGTTATGGAGTGATACTCATTGTGTTTGCTTTATAAGTGCCTCTCATTAATTCTTAGCATTCAGTTCCTGTCTGATAGCTTGGAAATTGTTTTCTTCGCAAGGGTTACGGAGAGCATATGGTTAAAAAAACGTTGCGCCTTAAATTATATAGGAGTCCACAAAAGGAAAGTAGCTGGTATGATGTACCTATTGGTGGTGAAATTCACCACAGCTAGAAGCATCCTTTGGATATAGGAGTCCTTGTCAAACCATCTTGTTCAAGACATGGAATAATCATATATTCTTAAACATCTCTTGCTCTTTTACTGGTTTCCTAGCCCCATTCTCCTCTGCAAATGGCGAAGCCCAAAGTTGTGGGAATACATTAATATCCTAATGGATGGATCGTCTTTTGAATTGCATATTTGAAAACAGGGTACATTTTCGTTCCATAAGATTAAACCAACTTTTGGGATTAGCAAACCAAAATGTGTTTTTATGATAATTTCCAATATACAAATTTCTAAAATAGAAATTTTTGCATTCAAGTCACATTATACCTTCTTTGAAGAAAATTATTGTTGCATTTTTGAGTATAAGACAAATCTTGTCCCTGTTTTATACTCCAAAATGTTCTACATTTAAAGAGAGCTTGTATCCCACATTGAATGATTATGACCACCCAAGGTTAATTTGTATAGTGAAAGGGACTCTCCACACATTGTGACTTGGTTTTGGCTTAGATGCTCTAATCATGGTATCGAAGTTGACCCTTAGGTGTTCAGTGGGCCAAGTCTCTTATCCACTTGAATTTCCGGATATGCATGTTTATCTGTTTATTTTTCTTTGGTTAGCTGTACTTGCTTGCCAGGGTCCCATGTGTGGGGTTTTTTTTTTTTTTTTTTTTGGGGGGGGGTGTTGAAGAGAGCTTATATCCCACATCATTAGGACTACCCAAGATTGGTTTATCCAAATAAAAGGGCTCTTTAGTCATCGTCAATTGGTTTTTGGTTGAATGTAGTAACACCACGTTCTGGATTCCATTGCATAACTGTACTCACCAACATAGAGATATTAGAATTTGGTATTTGGAGAATAAGGTGATCTAGAAAGGAACTATTTTAAATTGTTAGGTGTTGATTTGTATTACACAATATTCATGGGAAGCGTAATGGTAGATTGATTGGAGCATAGTTATCAACCTTGGGTTGACCTGGATTGAACCACCAAATTGGCTTGTTGAACTTTGGATTGGATGTGCTTGATTTTCTAATCATTGTAGCCTGTTTGAGTTTTTGTGTAACCTGCAAGTAACACGTGGACTCGATGGGCATGGGCACTTTCTATTTTTAAGGCAAAAACCTAACCAATGTTGCAACTAAGAGTTGAACCCTTGCAAGGAGGATAGGCTTCAGAAACTACACTACTAGCAACAATGTGATACAGTCTAAACTATTCAATGGTCTAAATTACATATCTACAATAGCCACAGAAGATATCCATTATGTACTTACCCTTCAGTACACAAAACCTAACATCCATCCAAGCTATTCGTTACACCAGACTAAATAAGTAACGTTGTAGTCAACTTGTTACTTATATCCATTCTTATGTGCTTTTTTGTAGAATGTACATGGAAACATTTAAACCAGAAATCTACTAGAAAATAATGACGGGCAGTGCACAAAAATAGACGTCTTGATGTATGAATATGGCATATCTGTTTTATGCTTTAAGTCTTTAACATTCTGTGATATTGTATATATATTAATTTTTATACACATATCCATTTTTAAGAACATGATACTGATGTTCTGGCCGGACTGTTTGACCAGATAGTTGAGCCATTTTCTTGTTGGACCCAATCTATTGCGTCCAAACGATTTTTGAAAGTTATTGTGTGAAGGAGGTGCTAATGTGGTTTGTTAGCATTTTAATGTTTATTTGTAGCAATTGACCTTCAATATCCAAGATATGTTAGGTGGTAATTTTTGGCATCCCAATTAAGGTGGTTCTTTTGAAGAGGCATTCATTTTGTGGAGTTGTGGGATGACTGATGATTAGTTTGATGCTAGGTTTTTTGATTCATTGGGGCAGGTGTAGAGAAAATAAGTGGGATTATTCAGAAAATGGTCAGTAGTTATGTGCTTTGGTGTGCCTGCACTTTCTGGAAAGAACAATCTTTAAGAAATGTTGAGGGAAGCATTTACAATTTTGATTCTTAAATAAAGTGTTTCATGATAGCTTTTCCCATAGTGATCTCTTTGGATCATTAGGTAGGTGCTCTTTCGTGGAGTTGGATTGCTGTTTCAGTGATATGAGCTATGTAAGAGTGACATATTTCCACGTCTAGGGCCTTGCCCTTTTTCCTGATTAATATATTATCAAAAGGAAAAATTGATAGATTTTTGCTGGTTCTTACTTGTTACCTTGGTGGACTTTATCCCTCTGGCTAAGATCAATGATTTTGCTGTTTTACTGATCAGCCTTTGAAAATAGTTTTCCTTTTGCATTACTTTTCCAGTTGTAATGGAAAGGAAAATGCCCCTTCGTCCTATGTTATAATTTTCAATTCTTTGATCATGTGTGTGTTATTCAATTAGAGCGATTTATCAGTCCTTGGGTACTGTGTTACTGCATGGCTATGTTGCCTAATCTATGTTTTTTTTCTTTTTTTGTTCTTTTCGAGAAGCATTCTCTTGGTCGTTGGGGGTTGTCTTGTTGGTTTTTGGCTGGCATTTGTTTAGCTAGTCTTTATAGGACTGATTTGGTTTGAATGGTATCTTTGCTATAAGCAAATTGTCATCTCTCTCTCTCTCTCTCTCTCTCTTTTTTCCCCAATTCCAGCCACCATCTATAGTCTCGGACGAGGTCTGTACTGCATGTGATTTTAACCGTCCTGGCAAAACTTGTCTTCGGAAACTTGAATGGGTTTGGCGCGGGGAGACATACATGGCTAAGAAAAGGTAACTTTTCATATTCCTCTATTGGTGTTCGGGTTTTTTAGGTTTCTCTTTTACTGATAATTGGTTATGGACATCATTTTTGGAATATCAGTGATTACTATCATTTGAAGAGACAAATTGAGTCTGAGTTTGTTGAGAGTGTAAATGGGCAGTTATCAAAATCTTTTCTTGACCTGCCTAAGGTGGACCAACAATTGAAACTCAAAGATCGACTAAAGAAATACTGCCAGAAGGTATACATACTGCCACTTCTAATAGAAGCCCATGCTTAAGCAACACCTTAGATACTATCTGTTTGTTGGCTTCATAGGCATATAAAAGGGTACTTGACAAGCCAGTTACTGAGCTTCGAGAAGCAGAGATTTGCATGCGGGAAAACCCTTTTTATGTTGATACTGTCCGCAGGTTAGTCACCTAATATTGTGATGTATCATCATTCTCTTTGCTCCGGTTTGATGTAATGGTTTTAGGTTTGATGAAGACTGGGTACAATTTTTCCTACTGAAAACCCGGGTAAAGGCTCTACCGGGTTCAGTTGTCCTATGCTAAATCATATTTTCTTTTGTTTTGGTTAAAGCTTTCGAGACAGAAGGTATGAATACAAAGGACTAAATAAAGTTTGGAAAGGGAAGTTGTCAGAAGCAAAGACTAGTGGGAATCCTATAAAGATACAAGAAGCACAAGTAATGGGTGCTCCATTTCTCGCTCTCTCATGTCTAAAGTTTTGTTTATTTTTTATTTGAACAGATATACTCATCTGTTGTCAGTGTCATTAATCACTGTCTTTGCCCATTAATATTTGCAGGATATGGTAGTTCTTTATGATTCGTTACAACTGGCTCATAAGTGTATTCTGAATTCTTTTTATGGATATGTCATGCGCAAGTAAGTTTCCATGTCTTCCTTTAGGCTTTATGTTGCACATTTTTTTTTTGGCTATAGTGTTTTTTTTTTTTCCCAGCTGCTCTCTTTAAATGCATGGTTTCTTGCCAGGGGTGCAAGATGGTACTCAATGGAAATGGCAGGGGTTGTTACATATACTGGAGCTAAAATTATTCAGAATGCTCGTTTACTGGTTGAAAGAATTGGAAGACCACTTGAACTAGACACGGATGGTATCTGGTGTGCCTTACCTGGGTCATTCCCCGAAAACTTCACCTTTAAAACACAGTATGGTTGTCTTGTTCAATATCTGCATATGGTCTATTTGGATTTTCTAAGTGTCTAGGAGTCTTTTTGGTTTTGAAAATTTTAGTGGTTACCTGGTTTGGACGGTGTTACTGGAGACACTGAATCTTATGGGGAACATATATTGCAGAGACTCAAAGAAGAAGCTGACAATTTCATATCCTTGTGTTATGCTTAATGTTGATGTGGCTAGTAACAATACAAATGATCAGTACCAGGTTAGAGGATAACTTATTCCTTCCGTATATCTGACTCTTGCACTTTTTGATATGTTGTCATGAGTGTCTAACTTTTATTTCTGACAGACACTCGTAGATCCTATTAGTAAGAAGTATGCCACACATAGCGAATGTTCAATTGAATTTGAAGTGGATGGACCCTATAAGGTGAAGTGGCTGAATCCCATACGCTAATGTCAAATTGTGACTTCTTATTCGGTTTTACTTTTTTTTTCCTGTTTTTTCTTGATAGAAAAAAGTGATTATTGGAAATTATTCTTGGCATGCAGGCAATGATTCTTCCCGCTTCAAAGGAGGAAGGGATTTTGATTAAGAAGCGTTATGCTGTTTTTAATGATGATGGAACTCTTGCAGAGTTAAAAGGCTTTGAGATCAAGCGCAGAGGTGAGCTAAAGCTCATCAAAGTTTTCCAGGTATCAACTGTTGCTTACGGAACTAGCCCAACTAAATAATTTTCTACCAGGGAATGGGAGATGCTTTTTCTTCACTGTGAAATGCAATTGAGGGGTTGTTACTTTTTCTATTTAAGAGGGTAATATGTTTAATTTAACTGTTTCAGCAGATGCATCCAATGATCTAAGCTGCATATAGTTCTAATTGTTTTGGCTAAACCATTTTCTGTTTACTAGCTACGGGTTACTTACAGTGACTTGATGCTACTTTAAAAACAAACTTAGCTTTTATTTCGTAGTGCAAGCTGTGCTCACTTGTTATCGGATATCTTTCAAATCAAATGAGCACGTTTATGTTTCATTCATGGCCAGGGGAACGGTTTATATAAATTTGCTTACATTTTCTACTTTAGCAAGCAGGAGTTTGCAATAGCATTATTATAATTCAGCGCTTCTAGTGTTGATGTTCTGTAATTGCCAAGTTGACTTCAGTGGTTCTGCAAATGTTTCAAGAAGAGAGTCTAGATGCTAAGTATGCTAATGTGGGGCTATAATAAGCACTGTTTGCAATTAAAAAGAACTTGAAAAAAGTGAAATAACAAGGGCAATGGTGAGATGTAAAAGAATCTTGGCTCATGACAAAAAGATAAGCTTTGTCTAGGAGGAAAGGATTATGAAAGATGCTCTTCCTTTAACATTTTAAAAAATTTAATTGGCTTTAAGTGAATGTTCACTGATGTGTCTTGTGAACATTGAAATTTTGGAGTTGGTGCTTTTTTTATTTCATTTTTTATTGAGCCTCCGCCTTTGTAATTTAGTAGCAGAATTCCTGAAGATTTGCCATTGAATGGATCCATCTTGAACTACTTATAAGAAGTAGCCCTGTACACAGCACTTGAAATTGAGATTCGCTTCCATATTTCATCACCAGGAAAACAGTTGGATGGTATTAGAATGTCAGAACACAGCCCATCCATTGAACCACTTGTAATAGATGATTTAGTCAAACTCATCTGTCCTAATATAGGACTTCCTTGTTCTCTATACTTTAAGCTTCCTTGTGGGTCTTTGTTTTTTTAGGAATTAGGATCCATATACTGTTTCATTAGCTGAAGTGGACAAAAAAGAAATTTGGTCAGATGTTTTGTGCAGTTGAGTATCTTCCTGTGTTTTTTAATTGTTTCTCTGACAGGACTGAAATGTTTGCTGCCAGTTGCTATATAATTATCTTCATTAAATTTCTGAATGATTTTGTGAACGCAATCTTCCAAAACTGCATTAATGTTGTTAGTGCTTTAAGTTACTCTGTTCTTTGCAGGCTGAACTTTTTGATAAATTCCTACATGGGTCAAGCCTTGAGGAGTGCTATTCAGCAGTTGCTTCTGTTGCCAACCGGTGGCTTGATCTTCTTGATGTATGTAACAGGAACATCATTCTGTATGATTCCATTGTCAATTTGTTTAGAGTATTCCTCTGAAGTCTTGGGCAGACTCCCTTAACTTTAAACTTACCTTTTGCTATTTACCAAAAATTGTCATGGCTGCATTTGTGAAAAATAGAAAATGGCATTTCTTCTCATGAATTTATGCATTTTTCAGAATCAAGGAAAAGACATTGCAGACAGTGAGTTGCTTGATTACATATCAGAATCAAGCACAATGAGCAAGTCCTTAGCAGACTACGGTGTACAAAAGTCATGTGCAGTAACCACTGCAAAACGCCTTGCTGACTTTCTTGGTGATACAATGGTTAAAGACAAAGGACTGCTTTGTCAGTATATAGTTGCATGTGAACCAAGGGTATGCATCTGTTTCAAATTGTGGCTTGATGGATCTTTTCATGAACTTTCAATATGGACCAATATAGGATAAAATATGACCAGAAAAGAAGGTTAAAATAAAATAATAAAAGAGAAACGTAAAGCAATCAAAATTATAATAGGGCAACGGACACTAGAAAATCAGGCTAATGAAAAATTTTATTCATGGGTTGGCTAGCCCATTTCCTTTCAGTATAAACTAGAGTTGTTAGTTTGCTAGAACAGGGCTTTTTGATTAGGAAAACCTATGAAAAGTGAACCGGATATCCCCGGCTTCAGAAGTTGGATTTGGAACTAACTTCATATTGGTCCTGATATTCATTATGTAGCTTCATAGTGAATATTACAAAAATCCTATGGTGCAAAAGAGGATTGGTAAAATGTGAACATAAACATCTTCTTCGTTACTTTTTACCTTTTCCTGGTGCTGCAACCTTGTCAGCCTAATGACAGCTATCCTTAACAAAAACTATTTATAACTCTTGCAAAAAATTGGCAGCAAGGCTTTGAGTCCTTGCTTAAACTGTTAATTTCCTCATGATTTGCCTGCAATATTGCTTCCTGGTTATCAACTGTGTCTGACTGATGTGTACTTAGAACTATTTATACCAAAGGAGTGGTGATTGTTGTCCCTTGCCTCATGATGAAAGTATTATCAATCTCTGGGATGCCTTATGAGTTATGATTCATCAGCATCAATGCGTGCCATAACAGCATTATCATCACCATTTTCTATACGTACTGCATCAGATCAAGATTACTCTCAGTCACATGTTGGACTAATTTCAGTTAAGAAAATAGACATGCGGAATTGTGGATTCATTCTCATCCATGGCCCACATTTGCGCTAAAATCTCCTTGTATCCATCATCCTAATTTTTCATCCAAAGCAGATCAGCCTGTCACCAATCAAGGGTCAAAATTTTATTTTGGTGCATTGTTTCGGTCATTTAAGAAACGAAAACATTTCGGAACATAATTGAAGCGAATAAAAAATTTTAGAATTTATTTTTGAAACATTGGTTGAAATATACCGAAACATTTTAAAATACTTCGAAATATTCCGAAACAATGGTGTAAATATGCCGAAACATATCGAAACATCTCAAAACACCTTGAAATGTTCCGAAATACTTTGAAACGTTGAAATTTCGATTTCACCACTGATTTGTTTTGGTCTCCTCGGAAACAGAAACGTTTCGGTTGTTTCGAAACAAAATTTGATTCTTGCACCCAACATCTTTACATTCTACCCATAGGTCCTTGTCTAAGTCTTTGATTCACTTAATGCCATAGAGTTGCTCTGTAAAGTTGTTTACCATGCGGTCAGAGTTGTACTCAGTCAAGTGATATATACATCTTCACAATCACTTTGTTTAAGCAGATATTTCATATTCTCTGCAGCCTGTTATGCTCATCTAAATTTATTTCTAAATGAATCACTGAAAAAGTTGATATGTTTTTTTTTGGTATGTACTAGTATCAGCTGAAGAAGTACAGATTCATTAGATTTAAAGTTCTTGTGCCGTAAAATCCCATATTCAACATTTTCTACCAAGCAATTGCTGTCCCTTCTTTTTTTTTTTGATTATTTAATGCTTTTCTTCTTTGTCCATGCAACTTATTGTAGATACAGACTGTAATTAATTTGTGCCAAAAAGCTATATTTTAAAGAGTTTTCTCATCACTACATTTTTCAGACCAGTAGTTCTATTTTCCAGTCTGTCTTCACTATCACAATTGGCTTTCTTGTGCATCTTTATACGTTACTTATCCGTTTAGCGAATGCCATTTCTTATCAGAAAATTGAAGATCTTTGTTTGAAATCTGCGGCTTCATCTTTTATTTCCCACAAAATTTGATGCTATGGGAATAATCAATGCTTAATTAAGTTATAGACTCTCTCTCTCTCTCTATACATATATATATATATACACATTTGCTATGCCCTAAAGTGAATTTTTTTTCCGCAATGCTACTTTTGCCTTGCCCTTTGATGCAAACCATAAGTTAATCACTTATTCAAGATAATGCAGTTGTCATATGCCAATTCATTTCTGAAATATGGTTGATCTTTGTTTCGGTGATAATGGCATTTCACCTTGTGGATTGGTCGCATCAATATATCTACATTCTGTCTGATTTCTTGTCCCCATCATACAATTTGGTCATTCCTTTTGCTTCTCTCTTCTTTTTGATTTTTTATGTATTTCTTTTTGTACTTGGATTTCATGGTTGTTGTCATGCTAACATGAGCAGGGAACCCCAGTCAGTGAGCGTGCTGTTCCTGTTGCCATATTTGAAACTGATGCTGGTAAAATTCTCTATTAGTTTATTGGTTGTACTTTCTTGCATCTTTTACATACAAAGGAGAAAAGGGCTCAGTGTTTCATATTGCAGAAATTATGAAGTTTTATGTAAAAAAGTGGTGCAAGATTTCATCAGATGTTGGCATCCGCTCCATTGTTGATTGGTCTTATTACAAGCAACGGCTTAGTTCTGCTGTTCAAAAAATTATCACCATTCCTGCTGCAATGCAGAAGGTGCCTACTCATTCATTCTTTTCTGTTGAAGTATTCTACCTTTTTGATTTACAACAGTGAGATGATTTTTGCAGGTTGCAAATCCGGTTCCTAGAGTAGTTCATCCTGATTGGTTGCATAAGAAGGTTCATGAAAAGGAGGACAAATTGCGCCAACGGAAACTGGTCGATATATTCAGTTCGTCAAACAAGGAAGGTCGAATGCAGCTGAGAACTGATGCTAATGCCCCTAACCATGCAACTGCTGAACAGAGTATTGAAGATATGGAAGACTTCAGGAAAAAAGGAAGGACTTCTGTTGTTGGACCTAGACCTATCGTTCGGTGTTATGGAGTCAATAATGAACAGCATCTGGTGAAGACAAATTGTCTACTAAATCCTCTCCAAGAAAATGCTATCCCTAAGGAAAACATAGACAGAAATGTTGATTATCAAGGATGGCTTGAATTAAAGAAGAGAAAGTGGAAAGAGATTCATGAGAAAAGGAAACGACAAAGGTACTTTCTTCTTTGACTTCCACATACTTGGGCCGAATTTCATGGTCTATGCTCGGGTTCTTGATAGTTAGTGGGGCATACCTGACTCTGGCAGGTTGGACAAATTAAAGGCATTAAACCAATCTAATGCTATTGCTGAGGTGCGTGGTAGTGTGGTCAATCACAAACAAGCTCGGGGAAGAAATGGGGTCAACTCTTATTTTGAGAAGCATGAGCTTGCCCTTACGGGCAGCCACTGGCAGGTTATGTAGATTTTATACATTTATTGAGCATTTAGATGCATCCCTTCCTTTCGTGAGTGCTTAATCTCTTTGTCCATTCACTCAGATAATTCAGCTTGTACCAAGTTCAAAGCATGGGCAATTTTTTGCCTGGGTGGTTGTTGAAGGAACTATGCATAAGGTTACTTTAAGTGTTCCCCGAGTATTCTACCTCAACTCAAAAGCTCCTGTCACAGAAGAATTTCCTGGAAGGCGAGTGAACAAGATTCTTCCTCTTGGACGCTGTAGCTATAACCTAATTGAGGTAGATTGGTTGTTATCATACTCAAGTTAGAAATGAAGGCCTGAAGAACTTAGTCCTCAATTCAAATGTTTTGTGTTTTTTCTTTTCTTCTTTTCCCTTCCTATTTTGTATACATTTTACTAGGTCATTATTGATGAAGATCAGTTTAGGGCAGAAAGCAAGAAATTGGCAGCTCACCTTGCAGATCCTGAAGTTGAGGTCAGATTACATAACCACATGCACATATGTAGTTGCAACACTGAATGCGTGCTTATTCCTTGTTTGCATCCTTTGCATGGAATATTTGACCCTACTGGACGGAATAGATGACCCTTACTAAATTGTTTTCTCATTTATTTCCTTTCTTGGTATGTGTGCATTTTCCATTTTAAAAAGCTGTGCGACAGCTACGTATTTTGGGAATCGCTCTAATCTTTTTTCAATAATTCAATCTCCATGGTAATTATTTTAGCATTGGCTTGTTCTAGTTTTTTTTTTCAGTTCCTTTGTAAAGTTCTCTCACCAGTTGCTCAATTCCTTGTACTTTTAAGTAACACTGTTGTGGCTATGCCTTTCTTGATGAGTTCTTATGTTTCTTGAGTCTATTTACTTATATAATTTGATGCTTTAGCTATCTATACTTGCAGCTAACATTCCTGAAGTATGATTTGATTTTTGAAATTTTGTTTTGCTCTCAATGCATTCCAAACATGCTTTTTTGCAATGATGAGTTATAACCCTGACTTAGTTAAAGGAGGAAGTTTATTTAACTTTATTCGGGAACCTTGTTCTTCTTCATAAAGTTCCACTTGTTTTCAGAAGAATAAACTTCTACACCAAAATTATCATTCCCAGGCTAAGAATGAAGTAATATAAAATTTCAAGTCTTTCAGGATAAATGTTACTCTTCTTGCCACAAGTCTCAGTTTTTAAAATGTGTCTTCTGATATTATTTGATAATAGTTGGGTTATAATAATTTCGTTCTCATTCGAATAGTAATTTTTGATCAGGGAATATATGAAACAAAGGTGCCATTGGAGTTCAATGCTCTCCTCCAGATGGGTTGTGTCTGTAAAGTGGATAAAAGAGCTAAGAAGCGAAATATTAAAGATGGCTGGAGTCTAAGCGAATTGCATATGAAGACAACAACAGAATGCTCTTATCTGGAGCACTCGATCTCTTTCTTCTACTTGTATCACAGGTAAACTGTGGTGCAGTGTTAATAATAAGGCTACTTGTCTTTAAGCACTACTAAAGCAGCAAGCTATTGTAAGCAAACAAGTTACAATTCTTACAGATACGAAATGACATTACTTAAAAATGAAAGCAAATTAAAGCATGTTAGTAGTAAGATATCTCTTAACACGTATATATGATTCTGCTGAAATGACTGAAGAACTATCTCACTGGAACCCGACAAAGCACATTCTCAAAAATGAATTCTCGGAAGAAAGTTGGAAATTCCTATTAACTACTATCATGACTCGTATCCAATAAACCAAGATTCTGAGGCTTCGGGCCAAGAGTGAAGGTGCCAAGCCCATGTACTTAGTCTCACATTGTCCAGAGTGAAAAGGCTATTGTGCTATATATGGTGGCTTAGCCTTAATTGTTGTGACGTGTTTTAAAACCATATTTTTTTTTTTTGGGCAAATAAGGTATTTTGGGATGGTATTGGTGGTATCAGATTTGGCTCTTCTCATGGTGGTGGGGCGGGTCCAAACTATGATGTATGGTGGGTTGGGTTGTGGTGATTCAGATTCAACATGGGAAGATTCTTGAGGCTTTGGGCCCAGATGGACAAGACGAGGAGAGGTAAAGTCAAGGTATCAAATCCATATACTTAGTTCCTGTTTGTCGGGCTGAGACAAAAGGGTTTTCTCGGTTTTATACGTGGTTGTTGAACCTTTAACCATTAAGATGAGTTTTAAAACCATGAGCCTATGAGGAAACTGGAGAATATCTTGACGTTGGGTTTGGGATGTTACAAAACCTTAAAGAATTATTGGGTTTGGGATGTTACAGAAACTCTAAGAATTATTGGAAATGAGCTTTAAGTAAATGTCAAGCACATTATATGTTAGAATTGTGGATGCACCTAAGCAATACCTAGAACTAACAAAAGGTAAAATGTGACACATGTTTGATCCAAACAAAAAAAAAATGGAGTAGGATAAGAAGAGGATTAAAGGAGGGGAGGTTGTGGAAAGAAATGTATTTGTTCTCTCATTTGTATTTGTTAACTTTGATCAATCAGAGAAAAGTAAGAGAAAGAAGAACAAAATATTATTAAGGCATAATAAGCCATAATGACCTTAAAAAAAGTTACATAAAAGAAAACTACTATATAAGAGGTGGGCAAAAGGAAAACAATCAGACTAAGTTAGGGCAACATAAAAGTAAACAAAATGACTAAGCTACCCCTAAGTCTAAATAATCTAACTAACATTCTCCCTCAAACTCATGATGTGGTAGCAGAAAACATCAAGAGTTTGCCAAGAAGAAAACGAAAACAAGTGACAGGATGCGATTTTGTGAAGAAATCTGCTAGTTGCATACAGTTTTTCCTTTCTATGGCGTGTTCTAATCAGCTTGTTGGACTGTGGATTCTGAAGGACCTGGGGTAAATGAACCTACTGAAGGAGATACTGTAAGTGCACCAGGCTGATGGAGAGAGATTAACTTTTGCAACTGATCAACAAGCATAGTTAGGCTGGTTGCTTGTGAGGAGGACTCATCCATTGTTGGTGTTGCAACTTCTGACTGATTTGCTGTCTCCTTTGCATTTTTGTTCATTAGTTTAGGGCATTGAGCCTTCCAGTGGTCCTTCTCATGACAGAAGCTGCACTCATTTAAAGCTACACGACTCCGATATTTAGAAGTCATCGTGGGAGGCACAACCAATACAGTCTGAGTAGGCAATGGAATAAGACTTTTTCCATAAAGAGTCTTAAGACGAACTTCTTCAGCTAGAAGCTCATTTACTACTGCATCCACTGAGGGAAGTGGATTACGATGAAAAATACAACCACGAAGTCCCTCAAAGTCATCCTTGAGGGTCATCAAAAATTGCACCAATCTCTGCTCCTCTCTAAAAGTGCGAGATATCATATGAGTACTCAGTTCAACAGGTTTAATAAGTGCTAACTGATCCCAATATCCAGTCATAACTGAGTAGAACTCCTGAATGTTCTTATCACTCTGACATGCCGCTCGAATTTCATGCTCTAACTAATACCTTTTTGCAAAATTAGACTGAACAAATAAGATAGCTAAATAATCCCAAATCTCCTTGGCTGTATTAAACTTAGTCAAATGAACACCAATGGTCTGATCAACTGAGTTGTTAATCCAAGTGATGATTTTAGTGTTGTTGATTTCCCAAGTATTATTTAAGTCAACATATTTCTCGACCTTAGGATCAATTGGAGCTGATGAATTACCACTAATATATCTCCACATTTCCTTATCCAACAAGACATTTTTCATAACATAAGCTCAATATACATAGTTCTCACCTTTTAATTTGACATTGATAGTCTGAAGAGAATCAAAATTTCCACTGGCCATAATACTCAAATCAAGTAATCCAAAACAAATATTAAAATAAACAAACAAAATCTAGCAACCCAACAACCTAGCAAAATCTAGCAACCTAACAACCCAACACCCAAATAACAAATAAGGGCCCAACAGAAAACCAAAGCTCAACAATTTTGCAAATCAAATCCTCACCCAGCCGTTCGTTCACAAAATCAGCCCCAAAGGCTCAAACCCACCAATCAGTAAGAAAGGAAACAAAAGTTTTCTGTTTATTCAGTGCGAAACAATGCAAACAAACCCAAATAATGCAATACTATGTCAAATAGCAAGTCCAAACAAACAATGCAAACAAACCCAGACAGTGCAACACTATGTCAAATAGCAAGCCCAAATTAACATAAGAATAGCTAAACCAAAACTAGCCCCAAACCAGCAGTAGCCAAAATTAACAAACTCTAGTAGTTAAGATTTCTTACCTTGCAAAGACTAGTTCAGCTAGGAAGACCCAACAACGAGAAACACCAACATAAGAGAAGAGGCAACCAACGTCAAACAATGCAAAGTTTGTCACAAATTAACTCAATAATTTTGCAAATCAAATACCCATACCAGTCGAATTCGGCATTGTTCACAACTCGTGAACAGTAACTTCGGCATTGTTCACAACCCTTAGAACCACAAAAAAAAATTAGCTACCCTAATCCAAGAATAAATCGTCATAGATGATGTTAGTCATAATCCAAGAATATATTATTTCTCCAACTAAATTACTTTGGTGCTACGATATATTTTGGATCGAAACCATGCTCTGATACCATTGTAACTTTGATCAATCATAGAAAAGTAAGAGAAAGAAGAACATAATATTATTAAGACACAATAAGGCAGAACAACCTTAAAAGAAAACTACATAAAAAAAAATTACTATATAAGAGGTCTTTATATAGTAGGGCAAAAGGAAAACAATCAGACTAAGTTAGGGCAACATAAAAGTAAACAAAATGACTAAGCTACCCCTAAGTCTAAATAACCTAACTACTCTAATAGTATTATCATGAAATTAAGAAATACTATTCATGATCACGAGCTTTACGAGTAGTCTTTCATACTCTAATCAAGCTGCTTAGAATGAATTAACATTTCTTGTATCTTGTGAGATAAAATATTGATAATTGATGTCTTTTAACTTTTTTTATTATCATAGCCAAGTTCAGTTGATCAAAATTCTAAGACCATAGCAAAATCTAGTTAACAATTCTGCGACTGTGCAGTGGTGGAAGCCTCGTGCACTGACATGTATTTTCTTGAAGCAGAGTCTAACTGATGTAGTGGAAGTGTGGGGTAGTAAGTATTCTACTTCTAGCATTGATCCCTTGATTGAGGACTACACTGTTGAGGGTACTGACACTTACAATTGTTAATATGCTGGGCTTAAGTTGATGAAGTTAACCTTTCGAAAAAAAAGTTGATGGAGTTTGAGCTTTTATAGGTGGGAGGAAGGTTGTGGGCATACTGAATTTGAATGGGTTGAAATTGGTGTTTGGTTGAAGGACGTTTTGGAAATCCCTCTTGGAGGTGTAGACATTCGTTGCTAATAGCTCTATTCTGGAAGGTATTGTGCTGCAAACCAGTAATGTCTGCACATTATGCTAAACTTTTGTGGGCTTTTTACTTGATAGGGTTGAGTTATTGTTGAAGGAAAGGGTGGGATATTTTAGAGTATGACTTTTAGGTTTTAGAAGAATAGTTTACGCGAGGGTATGCAAATGCCAAAGTTTAAAGAAAGAACAACAAAGGAAGACAAAACCCAATTGCTTGAACACAAAAACTTTGACATACCAACCCCCTCCCCCCCTCCCAAGCATTTCAGTTCAATTCCAAAGCCTTTGGATGGCCATCATGATCAACAGACTCACCCTTATGACAAAAGATCTTGTGATCTCTAGTTGCATGGTTAAAAGAAAAAGGCTATGAAAGAAATAGTGTAATCTGCTCCGGATCACCGGTGCATAAGAATTTAAAGAATACAAGGCATACCCATTTGAAAGTGTAGATTGCAACTTTTTGACATAGGAAGGCCATCATTAAGGAAATGTTTAAGGCTCTTGGCCATGATTTCTCATCTTCTCTGAGACGAACCAACATCCAGAATTTACATTTCCTTCATATAATCACATTTTCTTATTCTATTTGATAAATTTGTATCTCATGGAATAAATTTATCATTTGATTAGCTGGGAGATTGTGTCTAGGTCTAAGGTTAAGGGTGGTCGATTGGTGAAGAATTTATTGAAAAGGAATGTTGCCTTAGTTGGAAAATGACTTTAGAGCTTCCCTTTGGATCAAGATTTTCTATGGCATGTGGTTTTGAGGACCAAATATGGATGGCATACTTATGGCTGGAATGCTAATGGGTAATTTCTTGGGAGTTACTTAGCTTTTCGCCGAAGATTAAGTTCATGGTGGGAGATGGCCTGAACGTACGTTTTTGGGAGAATATTTGGAGGGGAATATTTGTTTTCAAGTCTTTTCCCTCTCCTTTATTGTGTTTCTTGTTATTGTGGTAAGTGCATTGCATCTTTAGAACATACTATTCTTTTCAGGGTTCTTGGGATTTTGGATTTTGTGGGAATCTTTACAATAAAGAACATTATGAGTTATTTTTGCTTTTTTTTTTTTGCTCAATGGTGTGTTCTTGTCCCAAAACTTGGAAATAAGAATGTGGATTAGTGATCCTTCAGATGTCTTTTCTTGTAGATCTTACTTTTGAATCTTTAATCGATGATTGTTCAATTATATTATTTCCTCCATTATTGAAGATTTGAAAGGCTAAACTGCCTTTACAGGTGCACATTTGTGTATGATTCTTTTCTTATGGTAAGATCAATACCAATGATGTGCTTCAAAAAAAGAGATTTATGACTTGCCTTTTACTGCTGTGGCATGTTTTATGTAGAGTAGTTTGTGAGAGTATGGATAATTTATTCTTGCATTAGCCGCTGACCTTATCTTTATGGCACAAGCTCTTTGACCTTATTGGCCTTCCTTTGGTGGCTCCGAGATCAATGTTATTATGCTTTGCTTGGATTTTATGGGGTGGGGAGGGAATAGAAGGGGAAGACCCTTTAGCATTTACTTTTTTTTTTGCTATCATTTGAGTTTTATGGAAGGAGAGAAATGTAATAAATTTTGAAGATAAAGGGGAGGATGTTGATTGCTTATGGGTTTGACTTCATTTTTTGGCTTCTTTTTGGGCATCTGTGATCAAGGACTTTGAGAATACTCTGCTTTTTAGTATTATGGGAAGGTGGACTACAAGGATATGGTAATGTTGGTCTTCAATGTAATAGTTTTTTTTTTATGATTTTCTTGTTGTTTATGTTTGGTCGGACGACTTTTGTCCACCTTTAATTGGTTTTGTAACAATTTTTTTTTTTTTTTTGTTAATAAAATTGCCATTTCTTATCAAAAAAATTACAGAATTTATCGTGATTCTATTATATCTCCCAACAATTAAACACCCACAAACCTGCCTGCCAAGGAGATTTCTGCAGACCATATGCTGCCCTTCATAGCTGACTTACATTAGCTTCTGTCAGGAAGGACGTGAGTGTTGGACATCTTAGAGCTTGTTCCACTTCGATATTATAAAACCTCCAAACTAGTATACAAGCCTTGAGGGCCTCTCTGTTAATTGACAATTGGTTTTGAGCTGGATGGTCTAACTTAGTATTAAAACTGGCCTTCACAAGGTTTTGGATAAGTATATATATTTCAACACTTTTGTAATCAGTTCTCCCTTTATTTGTGCCTTACATGCATCTTGTCGTGTTTTTGATCCTGTCTTCTAGATCTTCTCTTTACCTGTCCACGTGTGAGCAGGAGTCGCACTTCTGAGGGAGTAGAAGAACTTGATTCTTATGAGCCTTTTAGATCTTCCTAGGGATAGAATAGCACATCCCAAATATTATGTAATTCTTATGGGCCTCTGTATTTATTGTGAATTGGTATTGGTTTGGATGTTTTAAGAAGACAAACATAAATGAAGAGTTTATTGTTTGATTTCCGCAAATCAAAGCATTCCTCAAAAGATTGCTGCAATTGAAATTTTACTCCAACAGAATTCATATAATGGAGTGGCAAGGAAAAATAGTTGATGGTCAATCCTATAGGTGAGGTCAAAACTTTTGGTAATTTTCTTGCCCTACACCACTTCATAGTCTCTCACTGAACAATTTCTACTCTCTTGTTCAGGACACAAACTAGCAGGTTTCATTTTTGTAGGTTTTCTAAGCCCCTACACTATATGACGTAGGACAGCAGTGAATAACCAAAATTGGCACTGTTCAGGTACTGTGAACTACCCATGAACGGTAAAATTTGCCTGGGTTTCAATAAGTATTCGATGTCAAGTTTGTTGAAGGAAAATGTTTGATTTGCTGATTAGAGTATCGGGGATCAAAAGATACCCCAAGTAGATTTGTTTTGAAATACTTGTATGCTGAAATTAAGGAAGAAAAAGAAGAAAACTAGGAATCACCCCTACGATTCCTGAGGCAATAGGCCTAGGGTTTTGAATTGCATTACACAATCCGCGAAGCATTTACTTACTCAAATTCTGAAAATACTCTCTCTCTCTCTCTCTCTCTCTATTGATAACATCACATAGCACTATATATAAAGTGCCAAGTATTTGAACTATGATGCCAGATCTAAAAACAACCAATGCTAAAATTTGATCCAAAAGACAACAATGGATCATACTATAATCCGTTGCAGAAAATCTACAAATTACAAAAATATCCAACTCTAAAATTATATAAAAGACACTTATAATTTTAATTCGCGCAAACTAACTCAACTAATATTAAGACTCATGTTTATGCAAGTTCTCGGTAGCATCCATATAATCCAACATGTGCCAAATTCCATAGTTTTTCCCACTTTGAATTTGTTTTTCTGTGAGTATCTTATTGACTGTGTCACTATAGCTTCATTCCATCTAGGTTTTGCCAAGAATTTCTTTCAATCCAAAGCTTAAGAAAAAATGGCAAAAATGATAGAAAAGAATGGTATGGCGTTATGCAAATATACCTTTGCTAGCCCAGCTCGAGATAGGTTCATTATGATCTGGATGACATGGACAATTATTACCATCTAACCTTACAACCGTGTTTTGAAGAGCAAGGTTGTTGCTGCAGGTACCAAGCTATTGTACATTCGTATGTGAAAAGTTGTCATATGATACCAACTAACAGCAGACATTCCTTCGTCAGTTATTCACTCTATTCCTGTTCATCACATTACACAGGACTGTTTTCAGTCAGGCAGCATTATGATTTATGACTTAAGCAGTCCCATACTAACACCCCTCCCCCTTTCCAAAAGAGATTTTGTAATTGAGTTTCACGAGTTATTTGTGTTTCAAAATATTTGGGTTAAGGTTTTTATTTGCACAAAAGTTGGTGGGTTATTTAATCTTTGGCAACTTGCTTTGTATCATTGCAATGATTTTTGGGTTATATGTTGACTCCAATCCCTGCAGTTGTTGGGAAGTATGTGCATTTTTCCTATGCCATGCAACTTTTCTCTGTATTCATTTGGTAATTTTGTGGTTCTTTCTTTTCAGTATCTCTGAGAGACGAGCTATATATGTTGGATATTTTCCCGCATCTAGGACAATATCGGTTGTAGTTGTTAATTCTTTCCAGAATAAGGAACTATCACCACCTATTCTTGAAAAACAATTCCGCGAAGCTTGCCAGGCATTGTCTATTAAACCTCCCATGCCTAGAAATGCTATCAGTTGTGAGGTGAGCTTATCATCTTCCTAGATTACTTCTTTTTGCTTGCTTTTCTCCTCGAAGTAACTCGTACTTTTATTAATTTGTCATGCATACTTATGTTCAGGTGGATTATGTTAAATATGTCAAGGATGGTGAGAAGATTTTACAACGGGCCATAGTCGAATACAGGTTTTTTTCCTTCCTATTTCTTTAGTAATAGCACTTGCCAGTGTAAAGTCAGATTCAGTTCTGTCCTTCGCAAATTATAGCAGTTTTGTGCTAAAATTTGTTAATGAATTATGACATTCAAAGAAACCTGTCATTCAAGCGCTGTTATGGCTTCTTTCTGTACATGTTTGCTATTAACTAACTTGGATCTTATATTGTTTGAACTTTGAACTGATCTCTCTTGGATCTGAAGAGCACATTTTTTGTCTCTTTCATTATATTAACTTCTTATCCATTTCTGGCTGCTACCAAAAAACTTTAGGTTAATTACCAGTGTTCAATATTCTTAGTTTGATGGTTAATGATTACTCCTATGTGCTCAATTTTCCTGTTTAAGTGTTTTTTTTTCGTAATGTAGCCTAAAGCATGAAGTAAAAGTTCTTATATTTAGGGGGAACTACTTATCTTCTATTGTGGTATTTACTGCATAGCGGGGATCGGATGGTTAATGATCTTCAGGAGATCATTGTACTCAAGTTTTCTGTGGAGGCACTTTCACACTCTCAGCTGCCTTCAGAAAGCTAATACAAGCTCTTTACTACAAGTATTGGATAGACGATTTTTTGAAGTTACCTATTTTTGGCTTTAAGGGACTGGAGTTCCACTTGCTTTACCTGTTTCACATTCTAGGCAACTCAGCTACAACCTTCTCCACTGCCTTTCTACATTCACCTACCAAATAAAAGAGGAGGATGGGGGTAGAGAAACCACATCTGTTTCTCAATTCAATTAACTTTGCCTTCTGATCAGACATTTTTACAAATGAGGTATATTCAAGAATGGTCCTATCATCTGTAGTTTCTTTAACCCAACGGTCCGAGTTGAGCCGATTAAAGCAAGCTTGGCGGATCTTATTGACCATACCCATACTCTTGGGGGTTTCTCTTTTATTGCCATTTATTTGAGAACCGGGGAATAATCTTGTATAACCTCATCGGAATTGTAGTTCTCCAAATATGGTTCACGGTTGTGGCATCGGCCATAGTCTTTGAGGGTGCTAAAATGTCTCAATAGCGGCATTGTGGAACAGTATCAGTTGATTCGGTAACAATATGCCGAACGAATCAGTTGATTTGGAGACGTTTTAGACGATTTAGCTGAGTCGTATGAGACTTTTGGTTTACACGAAACATGGAATGGTATCGGATCAAAATATGCCGAGTAAATTATGACTTGATTGAGTTGTATTGGTATCAGCCAATAGCTTGAGATATGGTTCAAAACTCCCCACCTGCTATACAGGAGCTTGCTGGATGCTACCATATTATATTGGCTTGTGGTTCCATTAATTAATCACACGCTATCACAAAGGTCCTTTTTTCATTTGTGTCATTTTACTTTTTAGCTGTTTCTTTGCAAAACTTCCGTCCAGCATCTTACATCATGTACATGGTAGGTACTTAAGAAGATTTTTGGAGTTTGCTTGATGTGACCGAGTTTGGTAATTTCTATTTTTATTTTTTATTGCTTCAATCATTCTCTTCTTCTTTACAATGGGTTGATTGGAGACATTTGATCCTTATAACTTACCCCTAATTATTTGGTATTGAGGCTTGTCAAGAAAAGTTGTCAAATCGAGATTCGTATACCGAGTTGAAATCCAAGTTTTGCGAATTGTGAATTGAGTTGAGAATGATGCTACTTATTCTGTATATAAAATAATTTAGAATATATTGATGATATATCATATTATGCAATCGGATTAACATAATGAATTTCTTCATTATCATTATGTTGTATACTTTCCATTATGTTTTCAACATAATGATAATGAAAAAAATTTCAAATGATCATAACATAATGGAATGATCATCATCTAATTGGATATGCGCTTGCCTTCATGGCAAGAGATTTAACAAAGTACATTGTCACCAGTACTTAACAACTTAGTATCAAAAACTAAAAACCCATATAGCAAACATATAATCACATGATTTATAAGCTTAACCATCTTTTCCATATCCCATGTATCAAAGATCAAAGTTAAAGCCCTAAAGTTTGGTAAGACATATGCAACCCCATATTTAGCCATTCGATCATGCCAAAAACGAGAAAAGAGAACTTCAAATATAAAAGGCTGAGTCTTCAAAATCAACTGCCCCAAACATAAAAATCCTCCAAATTGTCTTGTATTTTTCACCAAAAAAAAAAGATAAGGAAAAGGAAAAAAGAATGTAGAACTATCAGGTCAAATTTATAGACTCGAAAAATCCTTTTTAGCTATGTTTATTTGAGATGAATGCTTTGGTGACAAAGAATACCTAGGAGTTGGCCTTTCTTCTTGGCTGTAGAAACTCCTTGTTTGGATGCAAATGGTTGAAAGATACAAGCCAAGGTTAGTTGCTAATTGTTTCCTTCCAAACCATGGCATAGACTATCATGAGATGTTTACACCATTAGCTACGATAAATGTTGTTCGTATGGTCATATCTTGTGCAACCAAAGTGGAGCCTAATCTAATTGGATGCGAAGAATGCATTTCTTCATGCAGACTTCGAGAAGGTGGTGTATATGGAATTTCTATTTTTTCGCCCCCAAAGACTAGTGGGATGGTTTGCAGTTGCAAAAATCACTTTATACATTGAAGCAATTACCTAGGGCATTATTTGGTAGGTTCGACAAGGGGATGATTGAAGTTGGGTATGTCCAAAGTCCCATAAATCACACTATGTTCATCAAATACATCAATGATAAAATTGTAGGTCTTAATGTATATGTTGACAATATAGTTGTGGTATGTTGTGGAATGATATCATACTAAAAGCTTATACCACCGCGGAGTTTGAAATGGAAGATTTTGTTCAAATTCTTTACTTTCTTAGGATTGAAGTTATTACATTTGAAAAAAAACATATCTTTATCTCAATATTAGTATGGTCGTAATCTTCAGGGAGACAATGATGTCAAAATGTCTACTTGGTGTCGTTCCTAGTGAGGCTAACTATAGTTGTTAGTATCGTACGACACAGAGGTAAAATGATATGAATCGGAATTTTGTATCATTTTTGTATAGTATCGTCCGATACACGATACGTTTTACGATACGATACGTATCGTTCGATGCAAACGATACGCGAAGTCTCTGTTTTTTTTATTTTTTTAAACAGTAAATCAGCAAAAACAAAGATGAAGGGAAGAATTACTAGTCCACCAAACCCACAAATCAGCAAAAATATCCAAGCAAAACAAAGCAAAAAAATTTTTGAAATTGAAAAAAATAGCAACACTAACTTGTAAATATAAGATAAAATCCTAAGTTGATTTTTCTTCAGATTTTAGAAAACACTTATTCTTCTTCCTCGAAGAGGTCATTGCAAGAAACTCTAAAAAATTGAAAACCCATCGAAGAAGCAGAGAGACACTTTGTCTCACGATCGCTCTATCTCAATCCCTTTGTCTCGCGATCTCTTCGTTCTCTCTCACGATCGTTCTCTCTCTGTTTCTCGATCGTTCTGACGATCTTTCTCTTTTTTTTTTCTTTTATGATCAGAGGCACTCTGTCGGTTGTCACTATGTTTTAAAATAGGAAAAATTACATTTAGACCATTTGAAGTTTGTTACTTAATCACTTAGACCCTCTAACATTTAAAATATTACACACAGATCCCCTAAAATTTATATATCCGTTAATAAATTATATTTAGACACCCTAAAGTTTGTAAACATATATTTTATTATTAATTATTTAAAATTGCACCGTATCTTACGATACATGATATGATACGATACACCTTTCGATACACGATTTGACAACTATGAGGCTAACCATTGCCTCAAACTTGAAGGAGGTGATCTGACAGATAGAAAGATATTTTCATTGCAGATTAGGAAGGATAAGTAGATAAAATATTCTATTTTTGGTTGTGGTTTGTGGACAGTGATCAAAATTTTGTTTTGGTCACCTAGGACCATTGGAATTTCGATTCCATCACTGTTTTGGTTCGGTCCTTTTGGTAACGGAAACATTTCGACCATTTCAAACGAAAATTTGATTTTTGTTTGTGGGAGGATATCTTATTTCTTGTGGAAGCAAAAAACATGTTGCTCGATCCCATTCAGAAGGAGAATATAGAGATGTGGCGCAGAGCATTTGTTAAGCTATGGCTTTTGACTTGATTGGATTTATAAGTCTGAACTGTGAAAACAAGGCCGTTGTCACAGTGCTTCTAACCTTATACAACATAGCAAAACATGTTGAGATTGATCGTCTCTTAAAACAAGAGCTAAATGTGCGGGACGTAGTTTTTAGTTTTTTTGAAGTTGTATTTTTTATTTTGGCGTGTCTTTGGTTTGGACTACTTATCCACCTTTGACTAATCTTTTGTACTTTTTTTTTAATCTTTTATGCCAAGTAAAATCATCTTTTGTTATCGAAAAAAAATTGATCGTCAATCCATTATGGAGAAGATGAATAAAGGCTAGATTTGTATACCATCTATGAGGTCTAAATCTCAATTTGCCGATATATTCAGCTAGTGCCTTAGTAGTGAGCTTTTGCATTCTCTTGTACACTAGTTGGGCTTGATAGCCATCTATGTACCAACTTGAGGGGTACTTTTGGCTTATATGGTTATTTTTACAGATGAGGGGGTACTAATATACTTTCTTGGATTGTGTTTAATGTAAATACGTGGGTGTAGGAATGAGTCTAATAACCTAGAACAACACCCTTTCCTTTATTACACTCTTTCTTTTGCCTCTCCTATCTATTCTTGCATTCTCTTCTTCTAGCCTTAATTTTAACTGTCAACTAGGATACTGTTCCTTGTAATTCTTGATCATTCCTTCCATCCAAATGGGGCTTGAATGTATGTAAGGCTCTTTTAGCAGTGGGAAAATATTGTAGTTTAAACTCTATTTACTGCTCATTTTGTTACATTTTGTAGTTCACATGCTCAATATGTTGCCTCACATAATTAGATCGACAGGCATCGGCATCATGGACCTGTAATTGCTGTCCTTGAGTGCCCAAATGTTAATTTGATGAAGACTGGCGTACGAGTTCTTGACGATTTCCCATGTGTGAACATTCCTTCTAACGCTCGTGATTGTCAGTACCAGGTAGTTTAATCGGACTGCAATTGCTTGAAATGCTAGCATCCCTTTGTGATTTGTTGCTTCCATTATGCATTGAGTCAAAAACATTGATGCTTATTTCCTAATGTGTATAGACTCTTGGGTGGCAAATTGTGGCTGCTAAAATTGGAATGCAACGATGTGCTGCTTCTTCTCAGTGGTTGAATGAGAGAATTTCTCTTTCAAGATATGCCCATGTAATATTTTTTAAGTCCATAGCTAGAGTTAATATTCCCAAAGTATGTTGTTTGCTTATTTTTGTTAATGATCGACCTGGAGCAGGTTCCATTGGGGAATTTTGAACTCGATTGGCTAATACATACAGCAGATATCTTCTTTTCAAGAGCATTACGAGATCAGCAACAGGTGTCTCTGGGTCATCACTATATTATTTTGTATCTTGATTGTTTATCCCAACGTTTGATAGAATTGCTATTTCTTGGTTATATTTTTCGTTTTTGTAGCCTCAATTTTTATGTAGCTATCATCTGTCTAATAGAATTCCTTCTTCTTTGTTCTTCGTCTGAACATTGTAGCATTAAATGCCTTAAAGCCCCATGTTGAAATTTTAAATTATCTAAGTCTTTTGCATGCCCTGTGAAGCTTTCCTTTCGTGAATTCACATGTTATATTTAGTTTATCCGAGCTAAAATTTGAGTCACATAGGTACTTTGGATATCTGATAATGGCATTCCAGACCTAGGAGGCACTACTGAACTAGAGTCATGCTTTGCTGATGAGGTTAGTGTCAAGATTAAGTGTACAGTTAGTTGGGTTTGGTGGTGGTCATATCTTTTTATCCACACTTGGAATTTTTTTAACTGGCCTTTGAAAGAGTAGTTTATGTTGTTTTCTGTGGGCTAATCAGTGGGCTCTCCAAAGTAGGTCAATCAACCTGTTCTAGCTTATCCTGGAGCATACAGAAAAGTTGCTGCAGAGCTGAAGGTCCAAATTTTCCTCTCTTTTTCCATTTTTTTCTCCTCTTTCAGATTATTGCCTATAATAATTTGGTCAGCAGATTGATTTATTCATGTCATACAGCTTCATCACCTGGCTGTCAATGCTCTTCTGAAGAGCAACCAAGTGAATGAAATGGAAGGAGGCGCTCTATTTGGATTAGACATGGACTTGAACCCTGGAGCACATGATATCAATGAAATGTGTTGTGTCGACGAGGCTGCCTCTTGTGCACCTGCATTTCGGGTCCTCAAACAATTGATCCAGAGATGCCTTGCGGATGCAGTGACATCTGGAAATGTGTTTGCTGACGCATTATTGCAGCATTTATATCGATGGATTTGCAGGTCGCTTCATGTTTCCTAGTTAAATGTATGTCTTGTTCTCTTGTCATCTGTAACACCTTTCCACTTTTCTGGCAGCCCACAGTCCAAACTTCATGATCCGGCAGTTCATCGTATGCTTCACAAGGTAAAATCTTGGTCAAATAGGAAGTCGAATAGTGTTTTGCATTCCAGAAAAGAGTGTCATCATACAGATCATGTTGCTGTTTCTATTGTCTTGTAATCCTTTGTTTTTCTTTTCTTGCCAATCTATCTATCTGACTAATTCTTTACTTGCTTTATTTTTCTCTTCCACACTTTTACCATTTGGTTTCACTGAGGCAAATTTTTTTAATGAATGAAGTCTGCTGAAGAGATATTAGGATAAAACTTACCGTAGAAATAAGTTTGTTTTCTGATCGTTGGTATTTCCTTAAAACATGCTGATTTGTTTGATCCCTTAGTTTTCTCCATAAATATGCTCATAATCAACATGGACACAAATTGGTTGGTTGTTATTATTGCTGACAGGTTATGCAAAAGGTGTTTGCGTTGTTATTGGCCGAGTTTCGCAAATTGGGTGCAACCATCATATTTGCCAACTTCTCAAAAGTGATTATAGACACAGGAAAATCTGATTTATCAGCAGCCAAAGCTTACTGTGATAGTTTGCTTAGAACTCTGCAAACTAGGTTGGTCTTTATCCAAGTTCCAAAAAATTGTTATCTTTTGTCTTGCCTTCCTAATCCTTGTTTTTGGCGTTTTGTAGGGACTTATTCGAGTGGATTGAGCTTGAACCCCTACAGTTCTGGCATTCCTTGCTTTTTATGGATCAGGTTAGCTCATCATACTTACTTCTCATTGTTTTACATTCATACCCGCCTAATTTTCTTTTACAATCCCATTAAATAAAGACGTCAAAGTTTCTTGTTGCGAGTTTTGAGAGTTGCTCAATCCTCGAGAACGGAACATTACTAGTAAAACTCCTTGCCAGGTTGTCTTCTTATTGAGCTAAGTTCTAATATTAAAATTTCAAGATCCTTTTGAGGAGCCACTGGGTGGTAAATGAAGGTGAGATTAATTTGAATGTTGCAATCAAGTCACTGAGTGCATAAATTAAGAACACTAAGCTCATTTTCCTTGCTGTTGGGGATGAAACAGGCTGGCAGTTTGTGCATCTGGAGATCCTGGTGTTATATCCAGCTTACTCACTTCAGCTAAATTTGACTCATTCTTCATTCTATTGCCTGTGTCCAAATGCCACATCAAAATTCGTGGCGTCCTCTTAAGCAAAGAACTACAGTACTACTGAAAAGTCTAGATTATTTTCTGGGAGATATAGTGCTATCACTGCCACATTTCATCTCTTCTAAATTAAACTTATGGGCATGATAATTGCAAAAAAAAAATACTTGTTTTACAATGTAAATAACTGAAACTGTAAGCGCGCTATTAACAAATGCCTATATAAACTTCTCTGTCGTAGCTAACTCGTTGAGGATAAACAATTTCACAAACACCAGAGCATTAGATGGTCTTTTTTAGGTGTTTGTGGTACTGTCTTTCTACTAGCTATGCCAAGTGATACATACTTGTATGGGATTAGATGAATTCAATAATTAAGGTGTTTCTTCCCATAAGTTACCCAATAGAAAGGATTGAAATTATATTTCGGTGCATAGTTTTGGTTGATTGCAAAAGGAAACATTTCAGGAGTGTTCCAGAAAAATTTAGGAAACGGGAGGTAACAAATTAAGAATTTGGAAAGTCGTTTGTGAGACATTTTGAGACATTGATGGAAACAACCCAAAAACAAAGGAATTTTGAATTCAACATCTCATTCGTTCGTTTCGGACATTTTGTAACTCCTTGTCCAGTGGTTTAGAACAAAATAAGTTGATATAGAAATTTTTATAGTCTGTGATGTTAATTGTGAAACACTCAAGAGTGTTGTCCTGTGAAATCAACATGAATCCACAACTTTCAACGTCAGCCTTAGTGTCACTTATTTTACTATGTTACCTCTTGGAGATATCTCTTGGTGATTGAACGTTCTTCTACTGAAAGATTATTAGGCAATTGATACACAAGGTGAAGACAATAAATTGAAATAAAGATGGTAGTGTCTATCATTAAGATACTATTTACTGGGTTTGTTCAAATTTCTTGACATTTGACTACACAGGATTTGACCTCGTTCTGCGTTTCTTTAAAGCACATCCAATTTTTTTAATCAATACTTTTTTTTAAAAGAATGGAAGTGTGACAAAACCTGATCCGAAGTTTTTTCCCCACTGTCAATTGAAGCTATTCACTTTATTCTAGGAGTTACTCAACCTTTGGTGCTTCTTATTTTTCTGAAAGGAATTTCAAATCTGATTCAATGCTATGCTCTGTCATAATTATTATATTTTATTCAGATTTCACCCTTCTGATAAGTATTTTTATCTATTTGTTCCTTCTGTGACAGTATAACTATGGAGGAATTCAGGCTAAAGTTCATGGTGGATCGCCAGATAGTACTTCAAAACCAAATAATGAAGGTGTGCATGATGAATCTCAAGTGGATATTGTATCAAGCTGGAATATTGCGGAAAACTTACCCAAGGCAACTCAGGTGGCTATCCATCTAAGGTTTTTCTGAAAGAAAATAGAATGGCCAAATACTTTTTCTGACAGTGACTTAAGAGCATTCAGTTCCTGTATTAATGATGAAATATTTTCTATAGGATATAATGTCTTCCATATTCTGACGGATATTGCCATTTTGTGGTCATTTACACAGGATCACTTCATTTTGGTTGTCTCAGAGTTTATGTATATTCCATGGAAATATGCACAGGAACAAGAGGTAATTAGGGCATCTATGAGGAATGGCAATTCATGCACTCCGTCGATTGCTGCTGCAACTGCTGAAACTATTGAGTCACACGTGACAGAATATATAAGGGAGCAGGTATGAATGAAGATATATTTTCCAAGGCCCATAAAAATTCTTGAATCTCCATTATGCTTAGGTTTTTGCACTTGTCTTAGTTATATTAGTGTCCTACAGATCAGCTCTTACTTCACAGACAAGCTTTTAAGGATCGTTCGTGATACAATTCTTCATTGGAAGGGAATGAGCAAATCTATTAGTGACCAACATATCTCTTATGGGGATCGGCAACCTGTTGGTAATATCCATACGGCGGATCCTGCGCTAGAGTTCATTAAGAATGTCTGTGCTGTTTTGGCTCTTGACCAGCATGTTCAGCATAACGTTCTGGTAATGCATGTTTAAATTATTTAGGCACTATATTTCTTTATTAGGTCTTCCTGTCAGTCTTTTTTAATCTCATGTGCTTCTAACGCTAGTCAAATACTGTAAAATTATTGTTATACTTATATATGATCACAATAAATGTCCTTTTCTAACCAAAAGGTTCAGAATCAAATATCTTGATGGAAGTAATGCAGTCACTTATTTTTTAATCATATGGGTTGGTGAATGTTATCCATATATTCTCTCACCCTCCCCTTTCCTCCACCCTCCTTATCTATTGTTATTTTCTTTCTTATTCTTTGCCAATCGAAATAATGTCTTGTGGAGATTGGAGAAAAGTGTGAATGCCTAACTATGAAAAAATATATCAAAACAAAGGAGTCATTATTTTATTGTATCTGCTTCTTTTGTTTGAATTTGGCAGTTTGCTTAGTTTTGTGTTCCACCTCAACTTTTCTTGATTTCTGTTCGAAGATTTGGCTTAACTTCTAGTGACAACTGGACCTAAATCCAGTTCATAGAGATTTGCTTCGTCAGTAAATTAATACTTCTAATCTTGTTTCATTCTTGTACAGATTATGAGGAAGAATTTGTTGAAATATGTTCATGTGAGAGAGTTTGCTCCAGAGGCAGAGTTTCAGAATCCTTCTATGTCCTTCACTTTGCCAAATGTCATTTGCAGGTAAAATGGGAAAGAAATATCTATATTATGTTTTGCCATGAAGAAGGAAACTTTGCAATATGGGTTCCAAATACAAGTGACACAACATCCCTGTGCTACTCATTTGGCCACAATATTGTCTTGTCCTCTTGCCCTTGCTGTCTTGGGTAACGTACTTAGCTGTTCAATAGAGCATTTGACATATTTCTTTTGGATAATATTTTATGTTTCATTGAATCCTTGATTTTGTGTTTACTAAGGTCAGCTTTTTTTTTTTCCCTTTGCAATCATTAAGGTGAGATGTTATATGGTTTTTTTAGGCCAATCATATCAGCAATATCACAATACTGATAGCTGTTTCATAGTTTTAGTGAAAACGGGGGTTCTAATTGTCAGGTCCTACATGGAGTGGGTTGAATAGGACCACTGATTTTTTTCTTAATGTAAGTCCTTGAGGTCATCTGTTTGGCTAATTAGATAACTAAGGGTAATTTCCATTACCCTTAAGATTAGGTACAGTTATATGAGTGGTGAGAGTGAGATGTGATTAATCCCAAAGTTGAACAGCTTACACCTTAAGGTAGAATATTGACCCTCCTGTGACTTGGTGTCGACTGGCTCTATTCCAGAATCCCCAACTTGTTCTGTTAAGTTCCAATTGGTTTGTCTTTGCACTTTTATTAACTAGAACAATATATCAACAATTTAGTGCAAGACAATTCACATATCAACTCATGGAAATGATCTACTAATTTTATCCAGCATTCAATGAAAAATTATATAACATGCCACAAAGAACACAAGATGTATAGTGGTTCAGCTTGATAATATTGATCAAATCAAAGGAGAGAGAAGAGAGAAAAGAGAAAAGAATGAAACTATATTATGGCTATAATAATTTGTCATAGCATAAACATGAGATTCACAATGGAATCCCTTATATAGCAGCAGCAACATAATATATAACAAAAGACTAAGCTACTCCTAAGACTAAATATGCTAACTACTCTAACACAACTAATCCTCCTAGCATACATCCACTTTTTCCAACCACACTAGGTTGAGGCTCCCTCCACTAATGAGGGGGTTTCTAGGTTCACCCCAAATAACCTTGTAGTCTACAAAATGGGCAAATCACTACCCAACCTAGAAATAACTTAGGATTTCCTAAAAGTTTTCCTAGGGTCACTTGCCAACCTATCTAATGAATCCTCAGCTAAGGCCTTCACCAGGATGTAGTGAAGGTTTTCTTAAAGACTCACCTATAACCAATCTACAACAAAAAATTCCACAACAAATGGATTTTTAATAGGCTTACCCTTAGCCTTCTATCTCCAGTATAACTAACAATTCACAACATGATCTCACAGTGAGCAAAACCAAGTGTGAAGTCTAAAGTTGTGGTAGTAAATCTAAAGTCCGTGGTAGTAAATGCGTCTAATAATACATAAATGTAGCAATGTACACCAATGATTAATGCCCAATGCTCCCAAGTGATGATATTTAAAAATCCTTAAGCCTGGGACTTTTCCAATGATGAAGAGGGTGATGATCTTAGTCACAGGATTTGCCAACTATACTTGACACTCTTTCGCTCGGAGCTTTAATTCGCGAATTCGGAGCGAATTCGAGCTCCCACTTCACTGAATTCGCGAATTCAAAAACTCAATTCGCAAAGTCAGTAATTACACTATTATTAGAGTTAAAAGCCCAAAGACTAACTTGAGCCAACCAAAATATTCAAAAAGACCAACTTCTCCTTACTGTACTCACCTAAAAGAATGCTTTCCAGCTCAAGGGATCATTCACTCCTAATTTATAGTCAAGTACTGGTGGTAAGTTTCTTGACTATTTGATGTAGGATCTCAGCTGCTAGGCATAAAAATGCCTTTCAAAGCTTTTGTCTTTCAAAGCTTTTTGATTTTATTTTTTTTAGCAAGAAATCTTTTTTGATTTAAATAAATTTAAATCATTTATCATATATTTGTATATAAAATTATATTTTTATTAGTTTTTATATATGTAAATATGTATATTATATGACGCTCTCAACGCGCTCCTGCTCCCAATTTTTTTTAAAATTTTGCGATTTTGCGCTCTCACTTTCGCTCCCGTTTCCGCTCTATGGGACTTGATGAATTAATGTAAACTTTTCTTAATCACTCTCAAGATGTGTATAAGTGATTTTGAATCTCTCTTGCATCAATCATCCCACATTAAATAGGTGGGATATAAATGAGAGTGAATTGCAACGGCTAATTTTTTTTGGAATTGCCTACTTGGTCGACTAGCTTCAGGGTTGGTTGATTGGCCCTGGTCGACCAGCATTAGGGAGCTGGTAGACCAGCGCTGTTCCAGAAGCTAACATTATGTGCCAACTTAGAGGGCAGGTTAAGATGGTCCTAAGGAAGTGTGTCTATCCCGTAAATGTGACCTAATTGACCTAGACACGATTCCCTATGAACTCTAGGTCTTCCGGAAATATTAAATTTTGCCTTGCCACACACGGCAAAATATCTTATTTCTTCTTTGTTGTGCTGGGAAATATTCAATTCTGTTAAAAAAAAAAAGATTTTTATTTTTTTTATTTTTTTGCTTAATCTGCCTTTACTAAAGGTGAAGGAGTACATGAGTCTGGATATCTGTATTGGTTCTCTTTGCTCAATATGGAAAAAGAAAGTAAGGACCTTCTTAACGTGTGACACTTCATAGGGACATTCACACTTTGATTAAGACTTTTTTCTATTTCTTTTCAATGATATCCGACGATCATTCTCGTTCAATTTCGGGTCCGGTCACATTACACTGGAATAGTTTGACAAGTAGCTCATTATCGATTTGCTCTACTACCCCATTGCATCCATGCTCTTCTTAAGTTGATATCCTCAAATGCTAAATACAAGTCATAAAATTGCCAATCCTAAACCTAAACCTGACACTAACCTATGAGGCATTTAAAGGACACATGACACCGATATATTGACACTCTAAATCCTAAAATTAGACAATGGTGCGACTAGGACATGCTACAAGCCTACAGTAATTGTGTCCTTAGAAATGCATGCATACAAACTATTATAAATGTGTTGGAATTATTACTTAAGAACCACTAAATCTACTAGATAGATAATAATCAATACTGAACCATAGTTAGGGACAAAGTATACCAAGCATATACATTCATCACTCATCTCATCTTCTCAATCCTTACTCTTTTGTAAAAGATTTATCTTTTGCTTTGTTAGAAAATTTTCCCCGAAGTTTTAATATGATTAATAATTACAATCATACATTTTGTTGTGGTATAAGATTGCGATACATCAAATTTATAAGCTTTAATCTCTTCAAATTTTAACAGGTGCTCAAGAGGTGTTGGCCACATGTTTATTTTCTAGTCATAGATTTACCTACCTAAACTTCGTAGCCGGTAATTATCACATTCACAAATGTGATATATGTTTTCTATGCAGAATTTCATTTCTCACTAATTATAGTGTTCAATCCTTAGTATTACTCACCTCTTTCAGAGATATGGCCCAAGTGTCGGACACATTACACAAAGTGTCATACAAGTGTCCGAAATGTATGGAGATGGCCAAAAAGGTATTGGACATGTAACCGAGTGTCGGTGTCTCAACTCGCACATGTGTCTGTGAATTGTCCGTGTTTCTTAGGTTTTCATTAGTAGCTTAAAAAACTAACTAAAGCCATTGAGTTGGCTATAGCTCAGTAGGTGTTTGCTTGTGTTTCTTAGGTTTTCATTAGTAGCTTAAAAAACTAACTAAAGCCATTGAGTTGGCTATAGCTCAGTAGGTGTTTGCTTGTGCTGGTGTGGTTACACTGTCAGTCCTTAAAACCATGACCTCAGAAGCTGTCTGGCTCCTCCTAGCAGAATTAGTATACATCTTTTTAGGGGATTTTTTAGACTTCTTTTTGGATCCAACTATCAGATTCACTCCCTTTGCTATCTTCAAAGAATTAATACTGAATTTTCTATGTTGGCAGCTACTGCAATGACTGCAGAGATATAGACTTGTGCCGTGACAGGGCTTTGCTAGCTCAGGAGTGGCGATGTGCTGTGCCACAGTGTGGGCAACCATATGACCGTGGAGTGATGGAGAATGCGCTTCTTCAGATCGTACGGCAGAGAGAACGACTGTACCATCTGCAGGACCTAGTGTGCCATAAGTGCAACCAGGTTAAAGCTGCACATTTAGCTGAACATTGTGCATGTGCTGGCTCTTTTAGGTGCAAAGAGGGTGTATCCGAGTTCTGGAACAAAATGCAGGTTTTCTTGAATGTAGCAACACATCAGAAATTTCAACTACTACAAGAATGTGTCTCGTGGATTTGGAAGTCAGATAGCTGTTGAGACCTGGTTTGCTCATTCTTATACCCGCATATAGTAACCAAGCTTGGGCTACTTGTAAGATGCTGGAACTGAGACATCTAAAAGGGACTGTTCTAGTAGAGGTGACGTTGATACACAGCTTAGGAAACATTGCCGCACATCTGGTTCCTGTATGTAGTGCAAATGTTTGGAATTCTGCTGATTGGCAATGACAAATGGTCATATAATCCAACCAGCAGTACTGATCAACTGGGTCATTTCTTTCCCCCCTGTATGTATTTACAATTTTGTGCTGGTGGGCGAGGTGAAGGTGGAGGGCCAATGGTTGGTTATAGATATCTAAATTGAAATTTGTATGTCAGAAATCAACTATTATTCCTCTTGGTCAATGAAATTTACTTGCTTATGTGATATATGTTAGATGATTACTGGGAATGTTACATAATGTAATGAAGCTGTAATCTAGATGATGCTTTTTGTGCAATTATGGTTTCCAGTAGAACACTACTATACAGGGAACACTATTTGTGCTGATCCAATCCGATCACCAAAACCAAACTCATCAACACAAAGAAAAGCTGATGATCTGGGAGGTGGTTATCATTCACCATGATCTCAAACCATTTGTAATGGGTAGGGTCCTTATGAATCTACGGAGCCTATTTGACGATCGTGAATTTGCATGACCCTACACCGCTGATGATCTAGTCGAGTGAATCAAGTTCTATAGTTAGTATAGAAATTCCCTAGTTTCTTGGGAAATGCTGAGTTACTTTTGGCAACCTCAACGAGGGTTTTGTGACGGCACGTAATTGTTTGGTTATGACCTGTATTCTGGCATGCAATTATGCATTGTCACGATTAAAAGCATAATAGCTGCTAACAGCGCGTGTTTGAATCGTTTATGCCCCATGCTGCAGAAGGGATGTTTTGTTCTAAACTGTAGGATTTGTCAATTGCAGTGAGCAGTATCATAAAATGAATTAGAAGGTAAACATTTTGTTTGTTTAATAGTACAAATGATTATGAAAAAAAGAGTTATATTTTCAATAAAAGTTTTATAATTCACACAGTACTTTCCTATACATCTGGGGTAGTATTTAAATGTGTACCGTCTTGTTTCTTTCTTTCTTTGTCCAGCAAATACGCATCCTGTGTCAACAATTAGACGGGGTACAGCATAAAACTTGTAATAATACACAAGCCTTAGCCAAGCCCATATGAACTACACTACCATCTCCAGACATTTGGGTGAGGGTGCAGAATTCACGAGGACAACAGCAAATTAAAACACAATAAGCCCCCACTGAGCATCTCCAGTAAACCAATTGCTCATTTTCTGTGATGTTGCATATCGTGATCGTGCAAGGACCAACCGACTTTCACCAAAAGAACCATCCTTTTGTGGTTGAAACTCTAACTGGCTCATCATTTCTTCTCTTCTCTATTTCCTGCTTCAAGGCCTCCAGTCTTTTCCTGCACAAGGCTTGTTGTGAATACATTACAGAATAAAATAATCACAAAAAGCAGATTAAAGAGTTCTGCTTCTCTAAATGTCCATTAATTATACACGCACAAATTTTAAAAAAGAGACAAAGAAAGGCTAGAAAGAAAGAGAGTTCAAGAGGAAATTCATTCTCATAAAATTTATTGATGCTGAAATGAATGAAATATGTTCATTGCAAAAAACACCATATAAAGATATGATGGAAAGGTAGAATTGACTTTGATGGTTCAGAAATATTTTTAGACGACCTACTAATGCACCGATGAGAAAGAGTAATGTGGTAGCTATTAATGGTAAACGAATTGATTTAAGTTGAGTTGAGCTGGATATGAACTGAATTGGTGTCGACATGCCTACAATTCAGTCACCTGGAATGTGCAAGAGTGAGCATATATGAATGCTATGCTGTCTCAATGGAAAATGTAAGGATAGGTGTAGACATTACTTGGTATCTGTAAGGCGACCATGCAAGCTCCATCTCTGCCGAAATCCTTCCATACCTTCAATTCCACTAGCCAGGATCAAGCGCCTATAACTCACAATTAGTTACATATGGAAAAATAAGATCATTGGAAGCAATTAGATAACTCTGTAACACAAAATTATCACAGAGAGCAAAGTGAAAAATCTTATGGCTGTTATGACTAAGATGAAATAATAGTTTGCCATCTACATCATCAGCCATTGAGAATACCAATCCATAGGGATACTGCAATTCAAGGGAAAAAATGCACTGTGATTACAGGTAATGTCATACCAATCCATAGCCCATTTTAAGTAACACCAAACACATAATATAGGTGCTAACAGTACAGATCCTATACACAAAAAAAAAAAAAACAAATGCATCACAAAAAATGCAATCCTTGGCTATATCTCATATGGCAAGCTAAAAAAGAATCATGCTTTGAACACATCACACATCAGGCTGATAAATAAATGCCTTAAGATCAAATTAGGGATGAGTAGAATCCTATCCAATACCCAAACCTATTTTGTACAACTTCACTGGTTATGTCAGATTCACAAAATATTCACATTCCCTATTAAATTTATGTAACATGTATGTTACAAACATACATATAGATTGTACACTAACATATCCCAAAAGTACATAAGACACATAAATATAAAGTTTGACATATATCAGAATGCATGGCACATGATATATGCAAAAAAGGTCAGACTTAAAATTGCAACTGCATCCTACATTTCAGGATTCAAATCATTATAGACAGGATAAAATTAGTGTGATTCCCATCTCTATTTAGCTTTAAAACTAGCAGCATGACTAGTAACGTATATAAAGCTAGTCCCCTATATAGTATTTGAAAGCACATTGACAGAATTCCAATTACACAAACTTCAATGTTGTTGTGTGAATTGTGATGATCGAGGAATACTATTCATTTTCCTATTCGTAACTTACGAAATTTTTAATCCTAGAGTTGAAGTAATATTACGATAAACTAAATACAGACATAGTGTGATGGAATCAGTAGTAGAAGTTGTATGATTGTAGATCCTAACGGGTATACATTTGTTAGTGCAACATAATTTCACACTACATTATCCTATCATTCCATAATTGAGTAAACAATACCTCTCCAAGGATGTGGCTTCTGATTCTATCTGTGCAGCTCTTTCCTTTGCATCGTCTAAAGGCATTGATATACCCAATTTATGCTCACTATCTAGAAGCCGTTGTCTGAGTTCCTTATCCTACATATGTAGATTTGGAATGAGATTGCTGCCATAAACATGAATCAAGTCACATTTTACAAACTCCATTTACAACATATACACCTTAAAGCTCTAAGAAAAATTTCAAAATTAATCATGACAGCAATCATAACCTCACCCTTTTCTCTGCACACTGCCGGTATAAAGCAATCTCATCTTGACAGAATGGCTCAATATCATTGATTTGCAGGCCTATAGTATTATTTACAAAAGAAAGAGGCAAAAATGAGAATCACCAAAGCAACACCAAACACCCACAAAGAAAGATAGCCAATGGGGTGAGGTACAACTTACACAAAAACAGGTTCCTCAAAATCCCATCACACAAATCAACACCTTGAAGCACATGAGAGGCAATTTCAGGTGGGATGAGCGGTGATGGTGGGCCCATCATAAGATCATCACCAACCAAAATCGTTTCCTCCATAGTTGGCTGTGAATCAACTATTAAAGTAAACACAGAAAATATGAGAACCCATTAGTACAAGTCCATCCTTAGTTTTCTTCACCAATTCTTTTAGTTTGTTTTCTTCAGTTATGGGATCTTTTTCTTTGTTAGTGGTGGCATACAACATTCAAAACAGAGTCCTAACACGCAGTTTACTGAAATGACACTTCTTCAGTTATGGGATCTTTTTCTTTGTTAGTTGGACTGGCGTACAACATTCACAACAGAGTTCTAACATGCAGTCTACTGAAATGACACACTGGGATCTTAAACAATGAGTCAAAAACCCTGAATAATATAGTGCTAGCCTGATAGGAAATATGAGGCTTCACGTACCATCCATGGTTGTTGACTTGTTGCTCTTTGGCCTTGTGATTCAGTGAGCTGTAAAATCAGCATCAAGAATTGAATGTCAGAGTTTCTGTTGCCCCAAACCAATTTCAAACGAACACAAGACCTTACCAAGTCTACGAGGAGGTCAAAATCTGATCCGGGTATCCCTAAAATCCACAAGAAGTAATTCAATGCTATATAATAAGAAAAAAGCTGTCTGCCACACAATAGGACTTCTTCCACTTTTAAAAGTTCACTCTGCACATATTCTTTCACACTGTGCTCAGTAGTTCGGTATCTGTAGAGGTGAAGAGTGAAAAGAGTCACCTTCTCAGGCGAGAATGAGAGATATATATATAGAGAGAGAGAGAGAGAAAAGGGTGGGGATTGGGGACTAGAGGGTTTTGGGCATAGTTTTTAGGAAATCATAATGTCTTTAGTTTTAGGGTGCGTTTGGAATGACTTATGAAATTCAAAAAGCATTTTTTTAATAAATGTTTATCAAAAGTGTTTATAAGAAAAACACTTTTATTAAATAAGTATTGATTAGATATTCAAAATTTAAAGTACTTAAATGAATATATTTTATAAAAAACACGTTTGGATGTGAAAACATTTATTTGTGTCACAATTGTTAACAACATTGAATGCACATATACAAACATACACTACACATATAATGATACCAAAAAAAAAAAAAAATCATACACAAAAATATCATATTAATAAATATATCATACGAAAAAACTACATAGTCCAACTATCACAATGACATACTAAAGTCGCAAAACACATTAATAGTAAATACAATAAAAAATCATGCGTGATTGTCTCTTAGAATTGCTGAAGCAATACGTTCTCTCTTCCTATACATTGGATTTGTATCTAACAAATCAATATCCTCTTCGAAAGTAATTTGGTTTACATTGCCTTTCTCCTCTAACTCCATGTCTTTATTAGCATATCTTTCAAATAATGTCTCTGATGTCATGAAGCCTTATGTAATTGTGACAAGTCATGCAAGCAACAACATTAAACATTTGCTTAGTGAAATTAAAACTGGGCATTTGCTGTAAAATTGGAAATCTTTTCTTTAATACTCCAAAACATCGTTCAATCACATTCCTTAACGAAGAATATGCATGATTGAACAACTCCTCCTTCCCATAAGGTCTTCCACCTCTACGAAATTCAGGTAGATGATATCTCGTTTCCTTATAAGGAGCAAGATAACCATCTATATTAGGGAAGCCAGCGTCTACCACATAATATTTTCCAAAAAAAACAACAAATTCATTAGTTATTCTATGTAGAAGAATGCAAAAAAATTTAATCAACGAATTCTTTACTCATGCTTAGAGGTGGTTTTGGAAAGTTTAAATGCATATTACGAGTACAATGTAGTAGCACTCTGGAGTCATGAGCCGTTCCTTCCCACCCAGCATTGACAAATGTGAAAACCATGTTAAAAGAATATGCTGCGAAGACGTTTTGTGTGCAAAGTATTTTCCTACCACTAAAAGGAATTTGTTTTGAAGTAGGAACGTGAGCGCTAACATGTGTGCCATCAATTGCCCCAATACAATCTTTGAAATATGGATAGTATTTAGGATTCAATCTAATCTCTTAAGGGATGCAATTGAAATTTTGATTAGGCTTGATGATTTTCATTGAAAGTTTGGCCATCCCTAATAAACATCATTGAAATATCGACTTATTGTCTCCCCAGAATGTTGAAATCACTCTTGCATCATTCTATTTCTCTCATTGTGACCAATAGTGATTAAAAATATAGCCAGCTTCTCTTGACTTGACACATTTCTGCTATCACACAAGTTCTTTTCTTTCATTAACTCGCACAATGAAATAAGCACATGCTTTTTCATTCGAAATTGTTCAAGGGATACACGATCATGACTATTAAGAATCTCTAACACATATTGATGACCAGTTAGTGCAGAAGTCCTACATAGCATTTTACTCTTGCGCATTGCAGCCCATTTTCTCAAAAGTTGTATGACAAGTATGGTAAGACATATAGTTTTTAGATTCATTCTGCACAACACATCCAAAGCAATGAAAAAATATAAGTATTGACATTTAGATAAATTCTAGTAGCATATGTCTATTCAAGAGTCGAACATATACATCAATGATGCATTCTCATTTGAAAATACTTATTCAGTGTAAGATATTTTAGGTCATAACAAAGTCTAAAACACATCTTTGTGAGCTATGGGTTCTTGTTAGGCAACAAGCATTATTGAACTCAATGCTAATTGGTAGTTACTAAGGTGGGCCAGCAGGCCTATTTAAGGGATGCAACAGTCTGATTACAAGTATTTAGGAGATTAGGACTGCAGAAGGAGAGTCTTACTCAAAATTTTAATCTACCATCAGTTTCTTTCCTCTGTCAACTACATGCCCAACATTTTAAGAGCTCAAGGATTGCAAGATGCAGCAAAATAGAAAAGATAGGGCTGCTACGGGGGCTCAAATCCCACTATACTAGGGCCTGATAAAGGGTTATTTTTTAAACAAATAATCAACTCGACAAAGAAATTGCAAAGAATGAAAGACAAACTGAAGCCAATATGAGCTAATGGAAGTTTTCATTCCTCATAAGTTGAAGGCTATAATGGCTGGATTTATTTGGTCAAATAAGCTGTAGGAGGAGACATTGGGTGGCCTGGGATCAGATTGCTATGCCTAAATCTGAAGGTGGATTGGGTCTGAGGAGATTTGAAGACGTGCAGGTGGCTTTTAGATGGAAGCAAGTATGGCATTTAATGCAGGGGACTTCTTTATGGGCACAAGTCTTTTCTGCTATGTTCTTGAAGGGTAAACACCTGTTAAGATGCCTAGACAAGAGACACTCTAAATGTTTTGAGGCTTTGAGGCCTTATTTTGAAAAGATTATAATGCTGTCAAGAGTGCTGATTGGCAAGGGAGATAAAGCTGATTTCTGGTGTGATGTTTGGGTAGGTGATACTCCTCTGCTATTCAGGATTCAGGATTCACCTCAGAGTTTTCCTCTGGTGAATGCATTATTGACTGGTTCTGGATGGAATCTGAATGAGGTGCAGGAGCTGTTAGGTGAGCAGCTGAAGGTGGAAATTTTGAATTCTGGAATTGTTCTGTCTGATTCTGATGATAAGATAGCTTGGCAGAAGTCTCCATCTGGAATTTTCTCTGTCAAATCAGCTTGGCAGTTGCTCAGGACACAAGGAGAGAGAAATTTAGTTACTGAGGTTATCTGGGGTATGCAGACTGCTCCTAGTGCTCAACTGGTGAGCTGGAAAATTTTGAAGAAAGCTCTTCCTTTGGATTCAAGGGTCAGAATGTGTGGGGTGCCTATGGTTAGTAGATGCAGTCTATGGTATAAGGGAGAGGAGGATATTGAGCATGCGTTTGTAAGCTGTAGCTTTGTTGAGAATATCTGGGGAAGGTTAGCTGTTATGGCTGGATTTCAGCTGGTAGCAGGTGAGTTGCCACTAGTAAGATGGATGAGGATTTGTAGGGTTTTCAAAGGTAACAGACATGAAAAATGTTACAACTAAGCTAATACATCTAAGCATCAAATCCAACTACGTAGCCTAGACCATTCAACTCAATCTAATGGCATACTGCATACCCCAATATCCCAGTGAAAAGCAAGCAATCATAAGGTTCAACCGTTCAAGTGAAGTAAAGATCACCCAAAGAAAACAGAAGCTAGACGTTAAAACAGAGTTGTCACAAATAAGAATAATCACAAGAACAAACTCACATTAATCAGACTTGAATCTGAATCCTCTGATACACAAGGCCAGCGCGAGGCAGAGATAGAATGGAGAGAGAGGGGAGTCGTCGAGATATCGCCGGTGATCGCCTACCTCTCCGGCATCGTCCTTGTCGTCGATCACCAAAATGAAAGAAGGGCTGTTAACAGACCCACGGGAGGAGATGAGTTATCGGGAGAGAGAGTCGATGGGTTGGGAGAAAAAAAAAATGAGGTAGTAATGGTTGGGCCGAAGGGATTTTGAACGAGTAAAAGTTATATTTTTTAATTTTTATTTTTGGGTTTATTTAAGTGGTAAAGTAGTTTTTATTTTTTTAAAAGTACTTTTAATAAGTTAATTCAAATACTATTTTTTTTATGAAAACACTTGTGATAAGTCAAAAGTCTAAAAAATACTTTTTTTTAAATCAATTCAAACACACTCTTAATTTATTCTCTTTATCTTTTAATTGTTTCAATTTATTTTTAAACTATCAGTTTCGTCATATTTAAATCATTCTATCAATTTTTATCATTAGGTCAATTGGAGACTAGCCCAATATGATTCGCTTAGCATTGATGTAACGGTGGAAATGAATTGACGGACTTAATTGAGATAAACTTAGATTAAATTAAGACCGTTGAAAGTTCAAGTATTAAATTAAAATCAAAGGTAAAATTCAAGGATCAACTATAATTTTTATCCTAGTTTTAAGCCCGGCCCAGACATCAATGGGAATATAATAAAAAATTAAAAAAAGATTATTAATGATAATAAATAGAATTTTTTTTTATAAAAATTATAAAAGTAACATGTTTAATGTATATTAGACAATATTAAGTCATTAATGCATGTATCAAAGGGATTCTGCTTTAGATGTCCAAGTTATCCTTCTGTGTGATTATACTTCACTTGTATTTGTTTTTTGAGCAATGTTATTGTGATTTAATTTACTGACTTAATTCACTATGACATTTGAATTGACTGTGGAGTCCATCAAACATTAGAATTTGGTGTTGATCTAATGGTTCTACTGAAATCATATCATTACATTAATAAATTAGATCAAATTTTTAAGTTCAAATAGTATTAGGAATGGTTTTTTTTATCAAGAACCTAGTTTTGGGAACAGTCTTATTACTTGAAATGAAAGCAGAATTACCCATAGCCATAGCCTCTGTATCTAAAACAACCCTCAGCACTAATATTTGTCTTAATCCCCATTCCTCATTTATTATTTTGCTATTTTTTTAATTATTGAAAATTAAGAGGAAGTACAAGATAAAATTCCCCAATTCAGCATTATCCAATAGAAACTAAATTCAAAAATTACGATAGAGAATTCAATATGCCAATCAAGCTCACTTCGACACAAATCTCCTCTTAGTAAAGCAAACTCAGAACAAATGGGTATTGAAGCAAAAGTAAAAGCCTTAGGGCATCTCTAATGGGAGTTCCATCAGAGGTGGCGTCCTCATAACCGTTGAAATGACATCTCAACTTTAAAAATTTGGACTCCAATATAGGTGGCATCAGAGGTGGCAAAATGACATCTAAGATTTTAGAGTGACATATTTGACAATTTTGGAGAAAGAATTGAGAGGTTGCAAAATAGTCGTTGGTGACTACTGTTATTCACAATCGCTATATTCAACCCAAAAATTTTACAAAAATATAGAGAGAGGAAAGGGGAAGGAAGCTTGCTTGAAAATTAATTTGTGTACTGCTCTCAGAAAATCGCTTTCCTGAACCCTTGCCTTTGATATCAAAAACCCTAGCTTTCTTAAATCCTTGTCGTTGGTGTACTGCTCCCTATCAATCCGTTGGTGGACTACTCGAATAGCCCCGTTGCCGTTGTAAGTTACAGAGGGGCACAGGGGAAGGGAAGGAAGGGGAATAAGACGATCTGGAGAAGGGGAAGGGGCAAGAAGCGGTTTATTTAGGAGAAGGGGAAGATATCGTAATTTATAATTACATCTGCCCCTGTTCTTGTTTTAATTTATAATTTGGAATTTAATTTATAATTAATAATTTGTTTATAATTTATGACAGATTTATTTGTTTTAATTAAGGGTAATTTTATTTATTTTTAATTGATTATTTTATACTCATTTTTTAAATTGATTATAATTTTTTTTTTGTAGATAAATTCGCAATTTGACGGTTCTTTCACTGATTTGCTTATGAACGACACCGATTTATATGATGATGCTATGCAAACCAATCCCATAGTATTGACGTCAGTACAAAATAAAATCGTTCTAAGAGTGAAAAAATCGTAAAAGATAAAGAACTTCTCTCTAGAAGAAGATAAATTAATTGTGTCTGCGTGGCTTAACACGATTAAAAATGTAATTACTAGAAATGAACAACAAGGTGGTGCTTTCTGGTAAAGAATATTGAATTACTTAGAACTTCATGGAGGCAATCAAGAAGAGCGTTCGCAATCTTCTATTAAAAGTCGTTGAACTGATATAAATGCAAAATGTGGCAAATTTGTCAATTTTTATAGTCCAATCAAAAGACTGCGACAAAGTGGATACATCGAACAAAATAATGTAATGATTAAGCTTTTAATTTACATACTACTATGATTTGATATTTGAATTATTGACTGAACAATTTCATATGTTTTTCAGGTTGATGACGCAAAAGAAATATTTGTTAAGATCATTGGAAGACCATTTCAATACGAGCATTGTTGAAATATATTGAAAATGGAGCGAAAATAGACCGATAATCTCACCAGCAATAAGAGAGCAAAAACACATTCAACAAGTAGTCCTGCTGAATCAACTCATGTTGAATCTTGCTATTCAACTTCATATTTGGGGGATGACGCTGAACCCTCGTCCACTCCCAACCTCGATAGACCATTGGGTAGAAAGGCTTTAAAGAAATAACTTAAAAACAAAAAGAAACAAACTGGTGTTGAAGCATCAGTAGATCATTATCATTGCAATCAAAAAATGGAAGTGAAACGACAAAAAATTGAGTGACACGACAAAATTTATGTTCAACAGGAGATAGCATTGGAGCAACATTGTAGACAATTAGAAATTAAAGAAAGACAGGTGTAAGAAATTAAAAGGCAAAATGAAATGTAGAATAAAATGAAAATCATGGAAATTGACACTATTGACATGGACCCAATTTTCGCAACATATTGAAATATAACCTAAAGGTAGAGATTATGAAAAAGCGGGGTTTTAATTTTTAGTCGTTATTTATTATGTTGTTATTGTTTTTTTAATTTGTAGTCATTATTTATTATGTTGCTATTAATTTTTAATTTGTAGTCATTATTTATTATGTTACTATTATTTATGAAAAATTATGTATTGAAAATGCAACTTGAAATTGAAATTGAAAATACAACTTGAAATTGAAGGATAACGATATATATATCTTGATGAATGAAAATATGAAATGATAAATAGTTAAAGAAAAATGAGATATTAAATTTATAGAGAGAATGTAATATAGATGGATGAAAATATGAGAAAAATAATTATATTTATAGATGAATTATACTTTTTTAAATTTTTATTTTGGCGATTAAATTTTCAAATTTGAATTTCAACGGTTGAATTTTGAAATTAAAATTTTTACTATGAAAATATACCCGTTAAATTTCGATCATTATGAAAACTATATCCGTTAAAATATAATCGTTAAGTTTAAATAAATTTTTTAATAAAAAATATTAAAATATTAAAATGATACCCCATTTTAGCACCAACCATTATGTTCTATTTGGTACGATGAAAAAGTGGGAGGATGAAAAAAATGAATGGATTAACTTTCCTTCTAACTCACCAAAATCAATCCTTCCAAAATCGAAAGGAAAGTGGATAAAAAGTTAATTATTTGTATTAAGATGTATCTTATTTGTCTATATATCTTATGTATACATTAATTTCATATAAAAGTACAATGGTAATATATTTTAAAAAATTTTTAATTTTTTTTTAATTAAAAAAAATATTTTTTCTATCTTAACTAAGGGTAAAAATTTAAAAATTTTCGACTAAACACGATGACACGATTCGAATTCAATATGGAAATAAAATGATCAACTCGTAACTCGACATAACACAATTAGTTAAATAAGTTAAATTAGGTTTGACTAATATTTGACACAAACTCGTAATGATTCAACACGAATCTGATGCGACACGACTTGACTCAATTGTTACTCCTAATCTTAGCCAGTACCAAAAAAAAAAAAATAGTTATTTTTATTTTTCATCCATCCAATCAAATACAAAGGAAAGAAAGTGTATCCCTTCTACTTTTCATTTTTAAAGATAAAAAATGTATTCCTCTTACTTTCTATCTTTTTTACTTTCCATCTTCTCTACCTAATAGAGTATTAGAGCAAATTTATAATTTAGAGGCTCCAAAATACAGTTCAAAATGGCATTTGTCACCCAAAAAATGGCACCTCTCATTGGAGTTGCTCTTACCCATTTCGATTCAAGCCAGCAATCTAGAGATGATTGAGAGACAAGAGAGATGATCGAGAGGCAGATGATTTTCAAGACTGAGTGAGTCGTGACCGCTGGAGTGCTGGGACTAGAAGCCCTGGGATGATCGAGAGACTGAGATGAGACAAGTGCGAGGCCGAGAGAAAGGATCTGAGATGCACTTCTAATGCCGTATCTTGACAATACATCTTTGTTACTCATTGCAGATTAAAAACATACATTTAAGAACATAAAAATAAATGGCTAAAACATCCTAAATAAAAATCTAACCAAATTGTCTACAGTAACTCAAGACAGACATGATAGTCTGTATCATAGTGAGAACTATGACAATGAAAGCAGAAAAGACTGAAATAAATGACCATGGACTGCTAAAATAAGTTCGCATCATGGTTCCCCAATAGCTGCTGTAATAGGCCTCTACTCCTTTGAACTGCTTAGATAGATAGCAATTTTGATTGCTGAAGACGACGTTCTTCCCAAGTTTATTGAACAAATTCACGACAGAGTGGTCATCTTGCGAGAATCTTGTGATTATTCCATCCATACATAGAAATGCGACATCTCTTGGTTGGTTGATCAGACAATTCATGAAACAGACGTAGTCTGTGAAGTATTTGGAGCCAATATCTTCCTGGTATTGTTCCCAGGCAACAGAGTTTATGAGAAGGGTGCTGGTGAAATCATTGATGGTAATGGTAGGAATTTGAAGCGCCCGGTTTTTGAATTTTATGTCTAAGAAGCTATTATCTTTATTAGACTTGAACTTGATCCCTGATGAACGCAGTTGCGTAATGCATTGTATTGACTGATTTGATGGACGATATTCCTCTAGCGTTCGGAAATTGGTGACTTGATTGGAGGGTAGATGACTCAAGTAAACCAAGTCGAGTAGATGCTTGGCTTCTAGATGGTGGATAGTGGAGATAATTTCCCTAGACCTTGGAAAGGCTAGATCAAAAACTTTCGAAGCAAGAACAGATAGGTCGTCAGCTTTATTATCCCTCAAACCTCGAGACCATTCAAACAAATATTGAAGAACAAAATATGGAATCTGGTTTTCCAGCTTCAGGAGGTCCCTTAGGAGTATTGGAATCAACCATGGCCTTGTGAAGATAGGATCATCCTCATTGATGACGTCTTGACTATGACCAAGATGCCGTAAGAGTTCAATCACAAAACACCCGTCTAGTAACATCATTTCAATGAAGTCATGACTAGACATGAGGATGTTATCAGAGTAGCACTCTCTTGTGCGCTTTTCTAGCTCTCTCATCTCACCAAGACAGACATATAGATTTCTTTCAGTAAAACTTATTCGAGAAAGAAGTTTGTCTAAGAATGACCATTTGTGCTCTTCAAACTTGAGCAAATGGTTCTTGCCACGATGGTAAGGGCCTATTGATACAATCTCAGGCTGTTGGGACTTGTTATTGATACCTACAAGGCTACGAGGAAGCCTGAAGATGCATATAGCTGAGCTTGTGCCTTCTTCTCTTTGTATTTCACGCCTTTCCTCAAGACGACGCTCTATGAGATTTAAAGAATACTCAAGTGAAGCTTCTGATAGAAAGTGAGCTTCATCGCGTGCTCGTTCTTGTTGTTGATGGCTTGCCATTGCTTTGGGGGCCTCGTAATCCTTTCTTCTCTCTCTAGAACTTGCCCCAGCTTGTAGTGATTTTACTCTCGTAGTTTCTCGGGCTTGAGTCAATGTCACCTCATCTCCATCCATGACAAAAGCCTGGTGCTCGATCTCGTTAATGTGTTTTTCTTTTTTTTTTTTTTTTTTTTGGGGGGGGGGGGGTTGATTTATACAAGGCATGACACTCAAATATAGTTTGAATTCCCCAATTTTCTTTTAGGGAAGGGAAAAGGAACCTTCCTAGTCAAGATATGGATCACTTCCCAGCAACTACATGGGACATACAAAGAAATAAAGTGCATGTTTATTTGACCTAGACTTTCTCTTGACTAGAGTTTTTTTTGTTTTTCGGGCTACACGGCGTTTATACTTTAGCTGACTATTCAACGAGCTCAGCGTGCTTAAAAAGGGATGAAATCTAGAGGGGTGCAATGGTCCATACACTATACCTATCTTTTCTCATGATTGGGTTTATGCCTAACAGTATTGAAATTAAAACTTCGACTTTAGATCCTAGAAATTTGACACTAGATTTTCCTTAGGGGACTTTTAATGAGTTAAGTCTACTACTTAAACTTATTTGGGAATAAATATTAACTTTTTAGTGAGTAGTTAAATCTATAATTTTTTAATAACTCAGAAATACTTTTCCTATGAAGTTGAAAGTTGTCTTCAACATTCAATGAGTTTCCTAACCAAAAAAACCGTTACCCTTAATTCATGGTTATAGTTTGAATTTTTTGGAAAGGGAAAGGAGTCTTCCAAGTCAAGGTATGGATCACTTCCCAGCAAATACATGGGACATACAAAGAAATGAAGTGCAGGTTTAGTTGACCAACAATTCTATTGAGACATAATTTGGGGATATAATAAATTATTATCCATGATATAATAATGAATTCATTTAATACTACAGTGAGACCTATCATTAAATACATTTCACTATCATTTTCATTGGTTATAACTCATTATATCTCTAAATTATGTCCTTTAATTATGTCTCAATAGCATTAGTGTTACTTGACCTATACTTTCTTTTGAAGGGATTGTTAGCCGATTCTAAGTCCACTAATGTGACAAATTTCTTCGGCCTAACCTTTTGTAGGAAAAGCTTCTTATAAGTGTTAGGATCCACGGTTAAATCACTTTTAATAACTTGCTTGAATATTCTACCAATCGACATAAGGGTAAACTTCATCCTAGAATTTTTCGCCTTACAGATATTGGAACAGCTCATATGGCATAGACTTGTGTTCAAACCATGTCTCAAGGGGCTGTAGCACTCCCTAAAGAAGTAGAAAATGCAGGTAATGTATTTGCACAGCTGAACACAATAGAATAACTCTGAATTTTGAAATTAAACATGAATGAAGCATCAAGAACTAACATATAGGTGTACACTTTTGGACCAAGATCACAAAAAGTATTTCTGTGCAAGTATCGAGTGATATTACAGAATTAGTTACAGATAACAAGATGTATGTGATATACAAAATTCATTGCTGAAAGAAAAGTGCCAAAAAAATGTAATCAACACGATCCAAACATAAAAGTGATGGTATTATGCACGCCTATATTCATCCCCACAATCACCAATTACTCTTAGCAGATCTTTCCCTTTCTTTGACACTTCTTGTATGCTGCCTGTGTCTTCATCATCAAGAACAAGTGAAAACACAGCATTGGAGTCTTTGAGATGCTCTGACAGGCCAAGTCTAACACCTATCATTGATCCCGCCACTGAGGGCTGCAATCCCACAAAGTGTGTGGCAAAATAGTTCAAATGGAGGGTATAATGATATGGTTCATTTTTCCAAAAGCCCCATCAAATTAAATAGCAGAAATAACTTATACCCGATCTAGAATGTATTTCACAGCAACTGTTGGAATTGAAACCTCATGCTTAGAAGCTACCTTTTTCAGGGTTTGAAGCAAAACCTGGAAGAGACTCCATCCTCCCCAAGCATCAACCATCTGTCACGTGCATAGTGAATTTGTAAATACAATTTCATTCACTAAAAGCATCATGCTTGCTTGTTCAAAAACTTGAAGAAAGAAGAGCACCATACTTGTACTCTCGGCTGAACGTATTTCACTGGTTTGATTGCATATAATTAACTGAATTTTCTCACAAATATGGAGCATATTTCCCAGATTATTCCGGAAACTCTTAAATTTTTGTGTATATTTTCCGAATGAATATTTAAGTTTCTGTTTTTCATACATATTTCCATGCCACAGACCAAAATTCTTGTTGCCTTTTTTTTTCTGTAACAACATTGCAGAATTCAAGTAGACTACATATGTTTGTGTTGATAGAATGTAATGCCATATATTCCTTATTCACAAAAAAAATTTCCTGATGATAACTGTTGCAATAATCATGCTCAAAGGAGACCATACCCTTTTGTACTTCTGGAGCGAAGGAGTATTCAATGGAGGACCAGCAAAAGGAATGGATAAGTTGGTGTCGAGGAACTTCTCAGACAACAGCCCACCCATTACTGTTCCATACCTGCAGATGAAGCTATGTTAGACTTGGAAAGAGTCTTGGAGAATGGAAGGGTTTACAGTGCAGTTTACCCTGAAAAGACTTTAATTTTGAAATGCTTTTGTGTACCCAGAGTCCATAAAAGGTATCAATATCATTATCTTTCAAAATAGTATTGGCAACTTTTTGAAGAGACCACATCCAAATAACATTCAAAGCAATGTTGATGAGCTGCCTCAGAGGTCAACTTCAGAACTTGATTTGATCAATTTCACTCTCAAGGACAGCTAACACACAGAAAACTTAAGAAACAGGACTATCATGGGTGCCTGTTTGGGACAAAAGGACATTATCCATTGAATTAGTGAACTGACAAGGTTTTATGTCTCACACACAGACACCCACCTGCACACACACACTTGAGAGAGAGAGAGAGAGAGAGAGAGAGAGAGAGAGAGAGAGAGAGAGAGAGAGAGACGTTATTAGTTTAACTCCTGTAAGCTGACAAAGCTCTGCCATTTTCTGTTGAGGACGCATGTCCACAATTGAATGTTGCACCTGAAGAAACAATCACAGTTTGCTCACAACTCAGGACACATTATATTGCCATACCCCAAAAATCTAAATTGAACTAATATATAAAAGGTTATTACCTGATTGCTAACAACTGGAATCCCATTTTCCAAGATTATGTGTAACCTCTCCGTATCAAAGTTGGTTAATGCGATGGTCTTAATTTTACCTGCATGCCACTCACTAAAATAATCCAGAGAGTCCAGACTAATCAAGAAATTCGAGCTACATGTTGATGGATGAAGCACAATTGAGCTGAAACTAACCTTCTTCTTTCAGATCCGTAAGATGTTTTAGTGCATCAAGGTAGCCCGAATTAGAATAATCCCACCTGTTTCAAACAGAAAGGAAGGAAATATTAGAATGGAAACAAAATATAGTCTAGGACTCAATGATTTACTAAACAGAGGATACACATCCAGCCCATTTAAAAGCCAAACAGAAAAAGGGGCTTTCTGGTTGACGACCCCTTCTAGTTTGGCCCTAAGGCCTTTGGTGTTCAGTAGGATTCAGATAGGTAAACTTTATCAGTGGATAGTATCTACTGGTTAGAGAATGAGGACTCCATACATACAGTACTACATGTATTTAACTGAACTGATATTCGACAAACTTGGAGTGACATAGCTGAAGTGCCTGATCAATAATTAACCTAATTGCTCAGAATCACTAAATTGTTTGTAGTGCTAAAAATGGGTATCAGCAACAACGGTACCAGTAACTCACCATTCTCACCTGTCATGCACAAAAATAGGTACTTTGCACTAAGCCAATGGCGATTCCCCAGTATGAAGAACATCTTATTGGGTGAAGAACATCATCATTATTACTGACACTCGTTTTTTACTAATTTTCTTTTGTACAAACAGGAGGGACAATTGCTTGGTTTAAAGTTGAAGTGCTCGGATGTGCAAATAAACCCTTTTGCATCAGTTTTTAAAATAAATGTAGCCACATCCAATGAAGTCAGTGGGAATCTAAGTTCCAGTCCATGGCTTCAATTATGGTTGTACCTATTTTTGAGCATATATAAAATGCAAAAGTATATCCTCAGTCCAGCGAAGCGAGAGAGAGAGAGAAAGAGACAGAGAGAGGAGTGAGAGAGGATTTCAATACCAGTGAAACTGAAGCATGTCCAAAGATGCAACATCCATTCTTTTCCGAGAAACATTGATGCTCTCGTGGACATAGCTGCTTGTCATCTTAACAGGTGGTGGCACCCATTTCGTAAGACTGCAGTGATAAGCACCAGGGATAAGATTAATTTGAACAGTATCCACAATAACTATACTTGCTCTTGCTACCTTTGACTTATGCATGTTACAACAAGAAAGAGTTATTTCAGTTTCATAATCGCAAAATGTAAGACTTCTACTAAAATTAATCTATTAGAAGAACAGTTCTAAACTAGAGATAACCAACGAAATACCCATTAAATCAAGAAATGTGTGGATTTAGCTCACCCTCTGATATTTTCCAAGAAATCTGGTGGGCGCTCTCGACGGACTCGATTAATGAAGATGCCATAAAGATCTTCTGCAGGTCCATCTGCCAAATAAAAAGTAAACTTATTACGAAGTCCACTACTGATTTGCAGCATATTAGCAGGCAAAGAGGTAGTTAATTTATACACTTCCCCATATAATTCAACAAACCATAAAAACAATGTCAGATGTATCAATATTAGACAGTTTTAGTCATCATCAAAAAGTTGTTTAGCAAAGATAAACACTGAACAATCAAACTCTAAAACCCGTTCACCAATCTTAATACTCTTCAGTTTCACCTAAACAAAGAACTCTGATTAGCCAATGTATTGTCAAATTAGTAGAGGTGATAAAACCTTATTTAGCAAGCTAGAGAATGAGCTATAAGCATATGTTTCTTAGCAGACTGGCATGTTTAATTAATGACACGAATTCTAGTTTTAAGGTGCTTTACATATGTCAGCCATATCAAAAGTGGTGGGTCCAGCATTGGCATATTGGAGCATAGCATCAACCGCACTGTCTCGATCGATTCTACCCCAGCCACCACTAGTCTGCCACATACCATAAACAACTCGGCAAATATCCAATGAATTTTTTCCATTCTTGACTACTGCCCGGCATTTATCATCAGTTAATACACACTTGGAAGCAGTTTCCTTGTTTCAGCGCCTCTGTTAATTCTTAGTTTGATTGGAGACAAGGTGAATTGGCTAAAGGAATGGTTTAAGCTCTCTGCCATTCTGATATTGAAAAGCTATGCACACACACACCCCCACACCCACACAGGTGTTAAGGTTCCAAGGGTAGTTATGAGCTCATGCAATGGGATAAATAACAAAAAGAAGAAAAATTTGGAAGCAGAAGTTTTATACTATCTGCTTCCATGTCTCATGAGCTCCCTACCATATGTTTTATCTGAAGTCTGAAAGACACTTACTTCTGTGTATAGTCCCTTTCCTCTCTTTTTGCAAGCTGCCCCACCTGTTTAGATTTTTTGCCATTTAGTCCCTACTATTTAAGACTCTTGAATTAATCAATAATGAATAAACTAATTACGGATCAATATCCCTCCCTAATAAACTTTCTTCAATTTTTTTTTCAAATAGTAAATTAATAGAGAACCTACTTAGATACAACAGATTTACCTAACTTCATGGTAAAATTGAGGAAAAATACAATACAGTGATAAAAATCCATCAATTACCATTCCAGAAGAGAGGGGGAGGGAAAAAAAAAGTTCAGTTTTGCTAAAATACCCACTTCAGTACATTTCTCAGTGACAAATGAGAGGGCAGAAAGCAAAAACATTATTCACAGAATACTGTCATTCTAATGACCAAAAAAAAATTCTGTCCAGATCAATCCAGGCCCAACCTAAGTTGTAAAACTTTCAACCCTAGTCTAATTGGAACCTGACTTCTAACTCCAACTACGCAATTCGAATATTGTTTGCGCTCAATCCGGATTAGTTCGAGTTAACTACTTTTGGTCTCAAATTAGACCTCATAATTCGGGTTGAATATCAGGTATGACCCGATAATTTGACAAACTTAAATTCAAAATAAATTTAGTAAAAACCTAAAATACCGTTAAATAATAATTTTGTGTATATATATTTATTTATTTTAATTTCAGGTTGAAACCGAATTGTGAATTCAAATTGAGTCTGATTTTAGTAATTAGGGTTAAATTATGGTTAAACTCAAAAATCCGAAATCTCAACCCGAATATGGTGAAGTTGATGAATTCGGGTTACCCGCCCAACTTGCAGCCATAAGTCTTACCCCCCAAAAAAAAAAACTTTTTAACTTTCCTAAATAACATACCAGTGACTAGAACTTCAACACAACCCTCTCACAAAACGCCAAATAGACTTCAAAACTAGCAGAAAAACGTACAATCAGGGTTCACATAGAGAGAGGTTTTTGGAGTTACAGTGATCGGCCATGTCGAAGGTGGAGAGACCAGCATCGGCGTACTTAAGCATGGCCTCAACGGCGTCGTCTCTGTCGATTCTGCCCCACCCACCACTCGTCTGCCACATACCGTTCAGAACTCGGCATATCTCCAGCGAATCATTCCCATTATTCACCGTGACCCGCCGGTTCTCCGCCACACCCACCTCGCACCGAACCCATCTCACTCCTACTCTCCTCGACTCGCCACAAGTCCGAGCCCTGGGTTTGGCGGCGTAGCTGGTGGTGTACAGTTTCGAGAACGGATGTTGTACGGACACTGCCATTTTTTTAAATCTTTGACACCGAACCGAAGCAGAGTCAGAGAAAAGAGATAAGGCTATTTGGCGCCTAGGTTGTGCGTAGGAGTAGTTTCTAAATCAGGAGGATTGAGTTAGTTAAATGACATTTCAAACCCCCTGTAGATTTTTTCTTTTTCTTTTTCTTTTTCTCCTTTCTTTCTGGTCTGTTTGGTTGAAATGATCAAAAATAAGAAGGTTGAAAAAATAGGATTAATTCGAAGGAAGTATGAGCGTGTTTAAATTGTATCTCAAAAAAGTTAAAAAATAATATTCAAAAATAATTTTTGATAAGAATTTTAAGAAAATATTTTTAAAAATTTATAAATTACAAAACTTGTTTAATTATATATTTTTAAAAATAATTTTAAATAACTAAAATTTGTAAAACCTGTTTGAATAAGAATTCACAAAATACCCAATTCTCATCTCTCTCTCAACAAAACAAACACACATAAACAAATAGAAAAACACATAGACACATAGTAAAAACACATGAAGACACACATATTCACACACACACGCACCCATATATACACACACACATAGATCTATCAGATCTGAACATATATTTATGAAAAATGTTATTTGGACCTAATTTAGGGATCTTATTTGGAAACTTAATAATGTACAACTATTGGAGTGGTTATAAACTCTATCTAACAATGAAACTCATAACTAATCCATTAGTTGCATTGAAGTCATATCATTAGGTTTTTAAATAAGGTCTTTATAACATTGTTCTATATCTATAATATAAAATATGACAGATTTCAATAAGTTCATCCAACGATTTCAGATAGACTCATTCAATAACCATCAACATCTTTTTTTAAATTATTTACATATCACAGTACTTTCAGACACAAGTTACTCTTAGTCTATATATATATATATTTGAAGAGAGAGAAGACGAGAGAAAAAAATGGGGCACTTTTGCTGCTAACAAAGTTTGAAGTGCGGACCTCATTAAAGATAATGAGTTGTTTATCTTATTTTCTATTTTAACTTGAAAACTCTAAGAACATCATTTAATTGATCTTTAATTTTTGTTCTCAATTCCCTCTTTTTAAAACAAAAAATTTTTGAAAATTTTTAACTAATGTGTTTAGATTGCATCTCAAAAAATAATATTCGAAAATAATTTTTGAGAAAAATTTTAAAAAAGTGTGTTTTGATGTTTTATGAGACACATCTCTCTAGTTTAACTGTTTTTGAGAAAAAAAAATTATTTTGGAACACAATTCAAACAGGCTCTATAATTCCCTCTTTTTTGTTTGTTTGATATAATATATGGAAGGATAAACATTTTATTGTTTTGTATTGGTGGAAAAATGAAGTAAAAAGAACATACAAATTTAGTTTACTATTATACTCCTATATATAAAAATATTTTTTTATTAAAAATAATCTTCCAAATAAGATTTGGAAAAGTTGAGTCCCTCAATTTGCTGAAAAATATAATAGATATGTTTCTAGTATTACTTATGAAGGAAAACCTTCTAGAATGTTAAAAAAAAAATAAAAAATTTCCAGTTGTTTGCTAAAAAAATAACTTTCAGTCAATTTAAATGTCCAATATCAAGTGACAAAGTATTGTACATATATACATTGGTTTGTATGCATATATGAGAAATACGTGAAGTTAGGAAGGTATAATTTATAATTTGGCTTCACCCCCACTCAAGCTCTCCATTTTCTGTCTCCTTAGCTTTCCGCCCAAAAAACGGACGAAAGAAATGGTGGGCCCCAGGGAATGGGGTTTTCCACCCCTTTTTCCTTTCCATAGCATTTTTCCTTGATGCCAAGCAGGTGAAAATCTCTCTCTCCCCCTTATTTTTCGCCACTATTTTTCATTCATCCACTTTTTTTTCTCATACCAAACACAGGCTTAGGTCGGCATATTTAATTAAGGTCAGTTTTGGCATTGCAATAATTTCATGGAAAAAAGAAAATTCCATGGATGAGCAATGATTAAGCAAATTCTTTATTATCTATTTATGGTAGTTAAAATATTTATCATATTTAAAAAATCTTGTTGGATTTGTCCAATATTTTTTTTAAAATCCCAGTTATCCTAGTAGATCACTCTTGTACTTCCTTACTCATATACTAGACTAATATTAGACCTCGTACACAGTCGTCTCTCTACACAAAAGGGTAAATAAATAGGCGGTGGTCCGAAAAAATTTCGCTTTATAAAATATTTGAATTCTCGACTTACTCCTCATAAGAGATTTATCAAGTGACTGAACTACCACTATACTAACCACTTAAGGTTGAATTTGTCCAATGTTGTTTAGGAACTTCAATTGAGTTGAACTAATATGACTATTTCATATACTCACACTTCAAAAAATATATAAGTAATAGTGTATTCCGTGCAAAACATATTTTTTTCACTATAGTTAAAATATTTATTATGATTAAAAGGTATGTATAATTAATATGTTTAATTACTATGATTAAAAGGTTTAAAGACTAAGATATTATGATTAAAAAATTATAATATAAATCATTGAATTTGAATGATATGAACAATTATTATATTTTATATAAATAGGATGATCTGATTTAGCATTTATAAATTATTGTAATTTCATCATTCTCCTTCACTTCTACAACCACCAAGATTGATTTTACTGACTTTCTCAACATTTATGGATTTGGCCTTTGCCCTTCTCCTCATTCACACATTGGTGCATGCTTGCAGTAATTAGGAGTGTTGATTGAAGTGAGTCGATCGAACTTGGGTATGGTCAAACTCCGATCGGCTATGATGTTGCTTGTTTAGATTTGGCTCGGACTCAATCATCGAGCCTAAAATTTTGCTCAAGCTTGGCTTGGTAAGAGTTCGTGAGCTTTCAAGTTGGGCGGGAGCCAAAAACGAGATAGCTTTTTTTCCCAATAAAATTATAAAAATTATTATATACATCATTCCCTTTTTGAGTAAAGGAATTGCAAATTGGATTATGCCATTAGATACACCAGAAAAACCAAACAAAAAGAGAAAGAAGGTAGATGTGGAACAAATGCCACCAGATCTAGAAGAAAAACAAAAAATAAATAAAAATAAAAAAGAGAGAAAGAAGAGGATAGGACCTGGAAGTCGGATCATGCCACCAAATCTAGAAGAAAAAAGAAAAACAAAAAACAAGAGAGAAATAAGGCAGATAGATCTGGAACAATGCTGCCAGATTGGAAGAAAAATGGGCAAAAAAGAGAGAAGACAGCGTAGAGAAGAAAGAGTAGAGCCACGAGTTCTCTGATGCATAGTTGTGTGAGTGTGTGTTAGAGAGAGAGGAAGAGAGACAGAAATTAAGGGATGGGGATAACTTGAAAAAGTGAACTGGACTAGGTTGCAATTTGGGTAGGTCAACCCGAGTCCAACCCAAAAAAAAAAGGTTTGAGTTAGAGTTTTTAATACTTGAATTGAGTCTAGGCAAAAAAATCCTAACTCGAATTAAATTTGGGCAAGTATCGGGTTGTCGAGTTCAACCCGAATATTAAAATTGGATTGAACCTGATTATTAAATCGGGTTGAACCCGAATATACATAAATATATAAATATATTTAATTAGGATTAGTATTTATCTTTATTTTTAGAGTCCAAACTTTCACTTCATTTCAAGTCGTCATCCCCGCGCTTCCATCACTCTCAGATCCCTCTCTCTTCATCTGCGCTTCGCCTTTCATCTCAGATCACTTGAAAAAATTATATCTACACTTGAAAAAATCAAATCTACACTTCAAAAAATCAACCCAAATTAAGTAACACAAACCCAATTCGATTTTTAACCTGAAATCAGCCCAAATTAAATAACTTGAATTCAATATAAGCGCACCTCAATTAAACTCAGGACAATACTTGAGTTGAGATAAGGTTAGGGTTAGGGTTAGAGTTGAAGATTATATACCTAGAGTTGGATTAGAGTTGACCTCTCATTCCACTCGAACTGTACCCCTAAATTGGACGGATGGACAAAAGGGGAGATATTGCGCAGTAGGTTTAGAATAGTTGTTTTCCCAAGATGGAAGGGATAAAATTTGAATCACTAGTTTGTAAGTATTTAATGCATTAAAAATCAAGCGGCTTTGGCTCAGTTCAAGCTTGATTTTATTAAAAAAAGAGCTTTAAAAATTAGTTAGATTCGACTCATAATGTAATATGAACAAGCTTGAGTGAACTAAAAAGGAGCCAAGCCCAAATAACCCGGTTTATTTAAAAGCCCTACGCTTGTTAACTTACTGCTCCAACCTTGCCACTAACCTCTTTCCTTCGGATAATCCTTGCTATACATGTCCCCTCCCACTATTTCCTTCCTTCAACTATGTAAGTCATCTTATGGGAACAATCCTTCCTATTGATGTTCTTACAATGTTGACCCACAAACAAAAAGGCTCCTATAATATTTGGTCTAAAGTTTTTTTGGGTAAATTAAATAGACACCCCCATGACATTTCACAAATGACACTTGAACCCCTTCACATTTGAAATTCGTTACATCTAGACCCCCTATACTTGATAAACGTTAGACATGTTTACGGAATATGCTGACATCAACCAAACAATTTATTATAATTCCAATAATGCCCCCGTCTGGTAAAAGTCAAACTCTACAAGACCATTGTACTTAAAAGTGTTATTGAAATGCCAATTATACCCTTTCCATTTACTTTAAAAACCCCATGTTCAGAGTCTTTATCCTAAACCTTCACATTCGACGAGTATGGCTTCCTTTTATTTTTTTGTCTTCCTCCATATCACTCTACCTTTGTATCTCTCTGTCCAACTATTTTTTTTATGTACAGTTATAAATGTATATACATATACACGTATAATAGCAATATATTTATGTATTGTCTGTGTCATGCCCCAAATTTTCACAAATTCGGGGAGTGAGTGAAAATGAAAAAGAAAAGTAAATGAAAGGTCATTAGGTTGGATAAATTGGCTTCTCATTCATTTACCATGTTTTCCTAAAGTTTTTCAAGCAACTTTTCTTCCATTTTTAGCCTATCTCTTCAAGGTTTTTAAACCCCCCCCCTTTTGACATCCCTCCCACATATTT